AACGTCTTCACATCCTGTAACCTCGATACCAGTAAATGGCACCGAATCGAAAAGGACCTGTACTTGGGCAAGTCATGGACAACCAGCGCATACGTCCATGTCGCACGAAAGAAAGAGGAGGAGCTACTACCAGAGGACAAGGTTGTCATGGACGTTTCCGTCGGCCGACTCGACCCCACAACTTCTAAGAAGGGAGAGGAGGACGAGAGATGGGAGAGCCGACCATACGGATTGTGGGTGAAGCGGTCTTCCAACCAGAAGGACAGCGACTCCAAGAAGGCCGTCACAGGCATCGATGTGCTATTTGGCGACGATGCGGTCGAGGCTCGCGATGGGTGGCAGATTACCGGAACGCCCCTGCTGCTTCCTCTCAACGAAGAAGTCCCCGTCACCCACATCACTCTCCGGAGAGGAAGCCAGAAGGAGCCTCACAAGCCACAGCCGCGAATCCCCGAGAACGGCAGATTCAAAATCATGCAACTGGCCGATCTCCACCTCAGCACCGGCGTCGGGAAATGTCGCGATGCCATGCCTGAGGGCTACAGCGGGGGCTTGTGCGAGGCGGACCCCAGAACGCTGGATTTCGTCCAGAAGATCCTGACCGAGGAGAAGCCTAACTTGGTCGTGCTCAGTGGAGATCAGGTCAATGGCGAAACTGCTCCTGATGCGCAGTCGGTGAGTGACTTTGCTTCTGTCGGGCTGGGCGCACACACTGACATAACTTTTCTAGGCAATCTTCAAAATCGCCCAGATTCTCATCAAAATGAAGATCCCCTATGTTTCAATCTTTGGTAACCACGATGACGAGGGTTCGCTCCCTCGCGCTGCCCAGATGCAAATTCTGGAGTCGCTGCCATACTCTCTGGCAAAGGCTGGGCCCGAAGAAATCGATGGTGTTGGCAACTACTATGTCGAGGTCCTTGCTAGAGGCAAGTCGGACCACTCGGCACTCACACTTTACATGCTCGATTCCCATGCGTACTCGCCTGATGAGAAGAAATACCATGGATATGACTGGATTAAACAGAACCAGATTGAGTGGTTCAAGAAGACTTCTACCAACCTCAAGAAGGCGCACAAGGAGTACAGCAAGGTTCACATGGACCTGGCCTTCATTCACATTCCTTTGCCCGAGTACAGGGATGCCGATCTCGCCATCAAGGGTGAATGGAAAGAGGGTGTTACAGCACCCAACTTCAACTCTGGCTTCCGTGACGCCCTTGTCGAGCAGGGCGTCGTCATGGTCAGCTGTGGACAGTAAGTTTCATCGCTAGCCTTCATCAAAACCACAGACTAACCTTGTCCAGTGATCATGTCAACGATTACTGCTCCCTCTCACTAGATAGCCAGCAGAAGCCAGCCCTTTGGATGTGCTACGCCGGTGGGGTCGGCTTTGGCGGCTATGCCGGATATGGAGGATACCACCGCCGCATACGTGTATTCGAGGTCGATACCAACGAGGCTCGCATCACGACATGGAAGCGGGTTGAGTGGGGCGACACCAGCAAACGTATCGATGAGCAAATCATTGTCGAAGCAGGCGGGCCGATAGGCATCAGAGAAAAGAAGGCATGACAGAACTTTTACGGTTGAATCGAAACAAGATGGAAAAAAAGAAGCAAAAAAAAAAATTTACCAAACGAAATGCTGGAAAGAATTTGGAGTTTCGGAACAGGTTAACTAACAACCGGTGTTTGGGTCTGGCTCATCAACAGAAGGTCTTTCCAACGAGAAAGACCCTCAAAGGGGAGTTTATAGCATATATTATTTTGACTTGTCCAAGTGTTTGAAGGCATGGTTGCTTTGGTGGACTGGCACGATCCGAAAGGCAGCAGAAAGTCAGCAGATTGAAGGAAGTGATGGATGGGCGTCGGGATGAAATGTGTACATGTATGTAACTTTGTAGGAGACATGACGGCCAACTTTCCTCTTTTTCCCTCGCCTTATTCTCGTCCTCATGAGGGTTGTCTTTTTGAGTGTTCTCAGTGTGGGTAGTGTTCGGGGGAGATTGAGTGTACGGTCGAGACCTAGATGGCTAGGTATGAATATGCAGTCCTAGGCCAGACGATGTCTTGTGTGGCTGGCGTGAGAGAGGCCCTCGTACTCGAGGTGACCCCTTTAGCCTGAGGACAACTCAAGACGTGCTCAGGTTCCTTCCTATATTAACTTTAGGCAACCTCGGCAGATGGCGCATCGTCAGACTGTGGATACACGGGGGAGGTGTGTGAGTAGAGGTGGGGGGATTCGGGGGGAGGGTGAAGGGGGAGGGAATGAAGGCGAGTCCTGTGTCTGTCTCTCACATTTAGATAGGTCCGTGTACGCTCCCTCCCAAATACATCATAGTAGTATTGCAGTCTGTAAGTAGGCCATGCAGTGAGTGCGATATAGCACACCTACCTGCTCGAGGGAGCAACAGTCGTCATCATAGTGGTGGAATAGGGATCTTCGTCAAGATACTTGACCAACAAGTTCCGACTCACGTGGTAATACACTTCCACCGGCGTAGGCAGCCTACACCAGACCTAATTGACCATCGGAAGGGGATCTCTGACTTGCCCGAGAAGTCGTGTCCCGTGTTCTTGACTACTAGTCTCACACCCGTCTTCTTCTCTCGTAGGCAGTCACCCAGGAAGAACCTCCACTCCGTCCCTGGGGAGGGCTCCTTCACACACACACAGTGCGCGGCGACTCAAATCCGCTCCTTTTGCCACCGACCCCACCGACCTCACATCGGGATCCGAGGAAGCTCAAGTCGACTACGATACGCGCTGTGGCTTGGAGTGTATGCACGTAGTCACACGTACCCCAAGTTTTGATCTTGCGGTGGGTAAGGTGAGATGAGGCTGAACTGTGTTGTTCTAGGCCGCCCACCATCATGCTCGCCGGAAGCCTCGCACAGGGCATGGCTTTTTATTTGGACGTCTTCTTCGCTCTTCCAAGATTTGATCATGTTTGAAGCTGCTCGATTCGTTCGCCAAGGCATGTGATCTTGTAGGAGTGACGAGAAGGTTGAAAAAGGGGGATCAAAGCTCTCCACAGGTTGTCATTTCTCTTCTGATCGCGATGTGGATGACCAGGTTGGCCTAACAGGTTTGTAAATAGACGACCTGGAGAGGTCCGTAGATCATAGAAAGCTTCTAGGTTACTTCTTGAGAGATTCTCGGGTACGGCACCCACTCAGGAATCCAGGGTCTTGCCCGATCCCGGTCCCGGTCCAGGGAAGTCGGCATCGGAACGGCGCTTCCTGAGCTTCGATGTAAATCTTGACTGTAAACTTACCACTACTCGATATTTTGATCTCGCGTATGATAACGAAGCAATGAGATATGTTGGATTTCTTTATTTGTGTGAAGAACCAGATATCTTTTTCCAGTCACTCGAGTGTGGTAGACTGACGACAGGGTCGTTAAACACTCACGCAACCTCTTGGTCTCTTGTTTATCTGCTCAACTCGTGACGTCCACGTCACCTCAATGACCTTGGAGGTAACTTTGCGCTCTAGTATACTAACGATCTGATAAGAGGACACTCCCGCGTTTTTGGTCACTTGCAGTGGGCCCTGCTGTCAGACGGAGCTACCCTCGGCGGAACTTATTAAATCGATTTGGTTCAGAATGGAATTGTTAAATGCCCGACTTGTCTAGTCGTTTCCTTCGGTACGCTGAACTCAAGTTGTGGGTTCCTCCACCCTCGTAGTCGCGGTGGTTCTCCTCTATGGCGCACTCCTGGCCGCACCATCTCAGCTGAGATTAGAGGGGAGTCGGTTGTGAAGTGTTTTCTCATGTATACGCCTCGACATCTGTAGAGTTGGTCTTTAATGTGGGAGTAGGTTGACGCCAAGAACACTCTTTCAGCAACCCTGTGCGCCTCTTGATAGGTGTGCTCAACTCATCGTGTCCGTGGTGTCTCAAATTACCTGAATATCGTGAGTTTTCTAACGCTATTCTCCATGGATATCTAGCCTGGAGTAGGTCAGTTTTTCAAGCTCAGATTACGAGTCGCGCGAATGCGTTGCCCTCAGACTACCAGCCGATCTTCTGGCATCTCCGGAATGAGTGAGTCTGTTCAGAGCTCAGCTGCCTAGACGTCTTGCTCCAAAAGGTATTGAAAATCATCTCCGTCTCTCTCCACAAGCACCTACCACGATATGCGGTTCGGTAACTACTGTCGTCGAAGCTCTCCATCATAACTTGCTCACCTACCCTTATCATGAGGACGGGGTAACCGATTTTTTCGGCAGCAAGGTATCGAAGAAGACGAATAGCCCGCGATGGGAAAAGTATAGTGCGTATGACGCCGGCGCCAGACTCAGTGACACTGTGCGTGAGCCTCACTCCCACCAAGGGGGCAGCTCGAAGAGGTGCTTTGCGCATTGAACAAATCCGCGTCTCCAGGGCGAGATAAGATTCGAGAGGCGATCGGGTGAAGGCCTCGTGTCGGTTCTGATCGCAATTGTCAGCCACTGATTTGGATGAACAGAGAGTAGAGTTTGAAAGAACGTACTTCGCACTCCTCCCCTCCAGAGACGGCGCATAAATCCTGGTGTGCCCATCCGCCTCGACACCTCGACTTTTTTCCTCCCCATCCTTTCTCCGTTATTCGCGGATCCATCACTTGTACGTGCGGATCGTCTTCCTTCGCTTGGTTTTCACCTTGTGCTTTCGTCTCCGATCACCCTGCCAAATACTAGTAAGCTTCGTCGGTCATATACCTACTACATATCCACGAAGAGCATCTCTGACGTACCTTATTTAGCTTTGATAGCTAGTCTCGTCCATCGCACCGTTGCTTTGCACTTCGTTCTCTGTCGGTCACCTGGTAAGTAAACTTCTTGAACTATATACCCATCTCATAAATAGTACCATCTCCAAACAACATAGCTTTTGTATCAATATGAATGCCTCCCATCACCCTCCCACCTATTTTCTCTCCTATTCGTACGTGAATAAATAAATAACCCAGAGAGACAGTGTAAAATACTCGCTGTCGACACTATAATAATGGACGGCACAACCCCAACGCCTCCTAACGAGGCCTCTCCTCGGGGACAAGGTAAGTTCACAACAAGGCTCAAGGCTCGATGAATTCGCCTGCTATCAAAAGAAACAAGAAAAGAGCGGATGCTAATCCTCTCTTAAACAGGGAACCCGAATCCTGCGGCTCAAGGCTTGACGCCCACGCCGGTGTCGCCTGTAGCGCGGCAGCGGTTGTTGGCCGCTGGGTATACGAACCCGTACCAATATGCTACCTATAGTCTTGCTCCGTCGGCCCTCTCAAAGGAGCTGAACGTGACTTTCCAGGGTCGCCGCGAGTGCTCAGGTCGGCAAATGCTGTTCTGGAAGGGCACGTATCCTCCTGGTTCTCGACGACATGCTACGCAACAGCTCGTTGCGAACGCACAGCAAGGACACAACAGACCTGACCGGCCAAAAGCTCCGTCGGCTCAGCCACAGGTCCAGCTCCCAGGCCAGAGTCTGCTCCATCAGCAACCCAAGGATCAAATGAAGTTCCATATTGGGATTGCAGAGGAGGAGCGCCAGGAGAGGAAGAGGGTCAAATATGATGAGAAGCGCCAGAACAAGAAGGTTCTCCAGCAGCAGCAGCAGCAGTCTCAGCAGTCTCCGCACCAGCCAGAGGAGCAGCCAAAGCAGCAGATGCAGCCAGAGCAGCAGCCCGAGTTGCCCCTCGAAGACTACGAGAGCTCCCTGGCTTGGTTCTCAGACAGTTTTCACCAGGGAACCGACGCCATAAGGCCAGAAGAGATCGACCGCTTCTTCGACGCAATGGGAGAATCCGACTACACGCAGAGAGAGCAAGAGATACAGGCTTTCAACCAGATTATGATCCCAAGTGGTCTGAATCCCACCCAACATGCTCCGGAATCATGGGGTTCTCGACCGGAAATGGCCTTTGATGACGTTTTTGACCAACAAATGATGGAAGACGGCGTTCCATACGGCCCGTATACTTCCTTGTTGCGTGGGCATGGGCATCCGATGGGCAGTCGTGACTAGACATAGTACGGCGATAAGCGATCCTGCATCGTAGCTTGCCCCTTTCGCGTTGTTCTCAGTATGGGGTCTTGGTTCGGGTTTTGGTGTTTTTCTTCTTTTCACCTGACAGTGTTGCGTCTGCTACCTTGCAGTCTACGCCGCCGAGAAGGAGCAAAGTGTTGAATTTTGAGAGGGGGATGTCCTCATCTTTATCTACTCATTTGACCTCAAAAGCTCAATGGCGACATTGAAGTTTTGACACCCTTAATGTCTGGGTTTGCCGTTTAGGCGGAGAACTTAGCCATATATTGGGTCTCATGATAGGGTAGTTCGTAAAATTATTGTTCTGTGGCGATCGAGGTTCTCTAATCCGTGAGTTTCACTTGGTTTCGAAATCCATACATGTCCCGCCGAGCATTTTCGCCAACAGCTCCGGCAGCTAGGTTTGTTTTATTACGCTATGGGCAGGTAGGTGTCTCGCGATTAAGCGAAGTCCACGGGTTACGGAGGAGATCTTGGATCATACCTGTTCGTCCAAGTTGATGAATGAGAGGTACTGCGACCAGTTCGATACCTTGAAGGAAGTTGACTTGCTTAGTCATTCCGTAGAGGTTGGACATCTGGGAGGAAGCGGAGGCTCCACACTTCGGCTAGCCAACCGGGCGCGGGGAAGTGACGACATGTGGGCTGCAGACAGTCCCTGCCGTGATTTCTAAGCAAAAGAAAAGTGAAAGCCCCGCGCTGTTGCAGTTGCTGCAATGGAGGGGTCACTCTGACGGAAGCAATCGTGCTACGGTGCCACGGTATTCGCAGGCGAGAGCTGTCAGACAGTAGCCCAGCTTCCACGGACCGTGGTGGGGCGCCTGCCTGGATTATTAAGAAGTTGACAGCTTACCTAGCTCTGGTCGGTCAGTGAGGGGTTCATATAAATGCCCCAGGTGGCGTTGAGCTCAACAGTAGGTGGATTAGTATTTAGTATTTAGACCAAAACACAACTTCACTCTCTGCCATATCGCGACATCACGTAAAACCTCCGTTCAACCCTTGCACTGTAAGCATATGACATCTCGACTAGGACAATTGAGTAAACAAATCTTCAACATGGCTGCCAAGACCAAGACCGACATCCACTTGTACACCACCGGTACCCCCAACGGTATCAAGGTGTCCATTCTCCTGGAGGAGCTTGGCCTGGACTACCAGGTTACGCCCATTGATATTTCAAAGAACACCCAAAAGGTTGGCATCTCAGAGACGTCCAGTTGTATTGTAGACTGAGTGTCTTCATCCCTTACAGGCCGTCATGCTAATGCACGGGTGCAGGAGCCCTGGTTCCTGGAGATCAACCCCAATGGACGTATCCCGGCCTTGACCGACAAGTTTGAGGACGGCAAGACTATCCGCCTGTTCGAGTCGGGAAGTATTCTTCAGTACCTTGTCGACCGCTATGACAAGGACCACAAGGTCTCTTATCCCTACGGCTCGCGCGAGTACTGGGAGGTGAACAACTGGGTAAGGTCTACTTACATTTGACCGCCGGAGCTGTGAGGCTGATGCAAGAAATGTAGTTGCACTGGCAGATGGGTGGCCAAGGTCCCATGCAGGGGTAAGTTATCTTTCATTAGTAATGTGGTGTCAGTGAGCTAACGAATATGCAGACAAGCCAACCACTTCAAGCGTGAGACACTTCCGTGATCTCTTCTACGTTCTCTCAATCATGAACTGATTCTCGCACAGGCTACGCACCCGAGAAGATCCAGTACGGCATCGACCGTTACACCAACGAGACCCGCCGTCTGTACCGCACCATGGACACAGCGATTGCGGCCAACCCCAGCGGCTACCTAGTTGGTGACCGCGTGACGATTGCCGACATCGCCAGCTGGGGCTGGGTGGCGGCGAGCAAGTGGGCGGGCATCGACCTGGAAGAGTTCCCCGCGCTTAAGGCGTGGCTGTGGAGGCTGGTGGAGAGACCCGGCTTCGAGCAGGGCCGCCATGTGCCGTCCAAGCACACGGCGCTGGATCACTTCAAGATGACGGATGAGGAGCTTGACGAGAAGGCCAAGGGGGCCGCCGCGTGGATTCAGCAGGGTATGAAGGATGATGCGGCTAAAAAGTGAGGGAGTTAGGTGCTTGGTGAGGCTCGCGCGAATGGGCCGAGAAAAGCATTAACGAACAAACAAGTCAAATAGGAAAAAGCAATGGATTAGAAACTGTCTGTGATGTGATCTTCCATCGAATAATGAAGAATGCCTATCCATGACATCAGAAAATGGTGAGTGGTGCAAATACGCTGGCCTTCATGGTGCAAAAACCCGCCAGGTCTTCCAAGTACAAATGAGTCCAATCTGGTCGGTTAGCTCAGTTGGTTAGAGCGTGGTACTAATATTTCACCTGAAATGTTGCGTAATGCCAAGGCCGGGAGTTCAAGCCTCCCACTGATCATGTTTTTTGACAATTTGAAATTTTGGTGTTGGTGCAAGTGGCAGATCATCAAGATCTATCTTGGAATGCTTTGCAAACTTCGTTGCGGCCAACTTTGAATTCCCCTTTTCTTTTTTTGTTCCTTGTGCTTTGGAGAGGAAAGTTCGACCGACCGTTGGCGCTGACAACTTCTGGGTCCGTGTCATTCGGACTCTGGCTGTCACGTGCACCTGTGCAGCTTCCCAATCGGGCCCAGCTGGGTGGCGACCAAAATTTGGGCCAATTGGCTCCCGTCCCTTAGCTTGAGGCCAGCAGGCGCCAGGCTGAAAGGTTCCTGTTCAAGGCCCTCCGCAGCTTCCAAGGTTCTATTATTGCAGCGGTTCCATATAAAAGTTCCCTCCTCTCAACCATCGAAATCCACAATCACCCTCACACCACGCAATTATCCCTTACTGACAGCTTGCTTGCCATCGCGCATCAGTCAAAATGTCGTGGAGAAATCAGGGAATCACGGGTTCCAACAACATCCCCTTGGGAAAGCGTCGGTTCGGCGGCGACGATGGTGGTGAAGAGGAGTTCCAGGAAGCTCCCCCCAGCAATGGCAACGGCGAGCTGAAGCGCGGTCGCAGCCCAGAGCCTCGTAAGTCTTCGCATTGCAGCCTCTTATCTCGGTCAGAGCTGATACTAACGTCGCATTTAGGTACCGATGCCGATGGCCCTCGCCGCAGAAAGAAGAGAAACCGTTGGGGCGACGCGTCCGAAAATAAGGCTGCCGGATTAATGGGCTTGACGACTGCCATCACGGCGAACATGACCGGCGAGCAGCTGGAGGCTTACACCCTTCATCTCCGTATCACGGAAATTAGCCAGAAGCTCCGCATCGACGACGTCGTTCCCGCGGATGGAGACAGGTATGTTGGCCACATGTATCAAGCAATGCGCGGCACCTCGTTAACACCCACTCTCTACAGATCACCCTCTCCTGCGCCCCAGTACGATAACCATGGTCGCCGTATCAATACGCGCGAGTACCGATACCGCAAGCGTCTCGAAGACGAGCGCCACAAGCTCATCGAAAAGGCCATGAAGACCATCCCTAACTACCACCCGCCGCAGGACTACCGCAGGCCCACCAAGACTCAAGAGAAGGTCTACGTGCCTGTTAACGATTACCCAGAGATTAACTTCAGTATGATTGCTAACCCTCTAACCCTCCTAACCAAAATTCTTATTTCCCTTGTTCCCTGCCTGGACTCTGGCCAAGCTTGTCATGCACCCTCCAGGTGTCTTGTCAGACCTGGCCTTGTTTGGAGACTGGGACCGTCATAACTTGCTTCACCCTTTTGATACAAATGCTAACACATAGCTCTCGTCGTAAAGTCGGCTTACTTATAGGACCCCGTGGTAACACTTTGAAGAAGATGGAGGGAGAATCTGGCGCCAAAATCGCTATTCGTGGCAAGGGCTCCGTCAAGGAGGGCAAAGGTCGTTCGGATGCAGCTCACGCCAGCAACCAGGAGGAGGACCTCCACTGTCTCATCATGGCCGATACGGAGGAGAAGGTCAACAAGGCCAAGAAGCTCATCCACAACGTTATTGAAACAGTAAGCATTCCCCATCTTCCATATCAATGAGCAGCAAATACTGACATCTTTCTTCTACTAGGCTGCGTCCATCCCCGAAGGACAAAACGAGCTCAAGCGCAACCAACTTCGTGAGCTTGCTGCCCTCAACGGTACCCTCCGCGACGACGAGAACCAGGCTTGCCAGAACTGCGGCCAGATCGGTCATCGCAAGTACGACTGTCCCGAACGCCAGAACTACACTGCCAGCATCATTTGCCGCGTCTGTGGCAACGCTGGACACATGGCCAGAGATTGTCCCGATAGACAGAAGGGTGCCAGCTGGCGCAATGACGGGGCGGGCAGAGGTGGTGAGGCTGGCCGCATTGAAGGCGGAGACGCGGTCGACCGCGAGTACGAGGTGCGTTTTTCTGTATTCCTTATCCCCAAACAAGCCCAATGCTGACTTTGACAATAGCAACTTATGCAAGAACTCGGCGGTGGCTCAGCCGGGGGCGCTGCTCCTGCACGCATCGAAGCTGGCCCTGGTTCCTACAATAACAACGGACCCAGCGGCGGTGATGCGAAGCCCTGGCAGCGTGGGCCTACCGGCGGCCCTGCTCCTTGGCGTAGCCGCAACAACGACTCGCGCGATGATCGTGATCGGGGTGACCGCGACCGCGACCGTGATGGTGGCGGTGGCGGCGGCGGTGGTGCTGCTCCTTGGGCCCGCGATCGCAACCGTCGTGATGACCATGGTGGCGGCCATGGAGGCGGCCACGGCGGCGGCGGTGGTGGTGACTACTACGGCGGCGGCCAAGGCGGCTACGGTGGTCAATCTGCTGGCGCTGCTCCGGGTGCCGCTCCCTGGCATCAACCTCCCGGAACTCAGAACGGTTACGGCGGCTATGGTGGCTACTCGGGATACGGCGCTCCTCCCGGCATGGCTGCGCCCCCATCTGGCGTTCCTCCTCCGCCTCCTGGTGCTCCTGGTCTTGGAGCTCCTCCAGGTCTGGCCGGTGGCCTCAACGCACTCATTCAGCAGTATGCTGGAGGTGCCCCTCCCCCACCTCCTTCCGACAATGCTCCTCCTCCGCCTCCCAGCGACCAACCTCCCCCACCTCCCCCTGGTGCCTGAAGTGGCTTTTGGGAGCTAGGAGGAAGATCAGACGACTAACATGGGTCCTAACATCGTATCTGCACAACGACCACGTTGACAACTAACGCTCAACTAACAACCAAGGATTCATACCATGACTTCCAGGGTTGGACAAGTGTTCGCACCTACGCATCAACGTGTTCATTTCGCCTGACTGTCTGAAAACCCCAGTGCGGGCAGCAAGCACTTAATGCAAAAAGCAGAATCAACAAAACAGCGGACACAAGAAAGCAAATTGTACGATAGCGATAGAAGGGGCATTCTTTAGTGGGCACTAATCCATAGGCTTTTCTTTATGCATTTGTGCGTTCCTTTCATAGCAAAAAGATGAAGTTCATCCCAATCTAGGAAATCTAGTCTGTCCACGTGAAGAAGTTGTTTGTGACATCCGACACTCCAAAGCTCAAAGCGCTGTCTCGGAGTCGGATCCGAGTGCTGTAGAGGCAAGAAGATTCAAGGATAACTAACTACCTTAGCTAAGTAGGTACCATCATCAGATAGTTTATCTTAGCCACCGATCTGTCACCAAAACTCTGTGTTGTTGTTCCAAGATATAGCAATCTTCACCACCAACCACAGCAAGTCCAATCAAGTTCCATTGGGCCAAGATTAAAGAGAGCCAGTCGCAAGTTTTCTGGGCAAGGTTGCATGAGTTCCCCGCATCGATGACATTCACCTTGCATGTGAGGTGGATGGGTGGGCTACCTGAGGTACAAATGAAAGCCGCCGTTGGTGCTCAAGAACAGAGGATGGGAGCTTGGGCCACCTACCTCTCTGCGCCTCTAGTGAGCTGCAGCAACAGCAGCAGGCAGCTCTTACCCACTGCGCATCATCCCAGGCCAGGAAGGTGCGTCCAGTGTCTGTAGACCCAGATCTGGCATGACGCCTTCCCACACACCGAGCGCGGCGTTTCCACCTCCAGCCTCCTTCATCCCACTTGCAGAACTTCTCTTCTGTCTGCTGACAACTTTGCTTCGTCGCCTTTGTTCGTCTTTATCCATTTTCCGTCAGCTTCTTTCGTGACCCGTTCGTTTCCCCGCTGATCGACTGCTGTCGTTGTTTCGCTGGGGTGTTCCAAGCCCGTCCATCTACCCATCGCGCCTCCAGGCCCTGTATCACTAGTCGCAATTATCTATCGCTTTGCCTTATCTGAGCTTCCGAGGGTTCGTTCACGCAACCCCTCTACCGAGCAGGCTCCGGCCATCTCCGCAGCCTTTCCTCCGAGGACGAAGCTGTAAGGCTCGGAGCTTTGTACCCTCTCCGCGTCGTCTGGCCGAACTCGAGATCGTATCAGCTACATTGCGAGCTACAAGCGACACGGTTTAGAGTACTCCATCGGACAATCCCAGCAACATTCGGTAGCAATGGCTGCCAAGAACCCCTTCGGGTTCACGACGGGCCCGGTCACCTTCTGGCTGATTGTCGTCTACGCAGCTTTCCTCATTCCCCTCGTCTGGATTCACGAATCCGTGCCGTCCGTTTCTAGCCACACTCCCTACACTGGCGTCAACGTAACCGAGGCCTGGCAGGACTTGACGCACATCACCAAGAACTACCACCCGTACAACAGCCGTGCCAACGATGAGTTGGGCGCATACCTCTTGACCCGGATCGAGGAGATCTTGAAACGCAACAAAGTCGAATACTCCAAGGAAACGGATGCTGGCGGCATCGTCTGGCCCCAAGACGTACAGTGAGTGCATTCCGTGTGTTCGTTCTTGTGCCAAGGAAATGCGCTGACTGGAGGTTGTTGCAGTGACACACCAGCTCTTCCACGCAAAGATGCCGTTGAGCGTGCTTCAACTGGCCCTCTCGTGACCGTCTTCGACGACATAATCTCAAACGTCACCTACGCTGGCACCTCTGGCCCACTTGGTCAGCCTGGATCTTCTACCCATGCAACCTACTTTGAGGGCACGAACAAGCTTGTATACATCCGCGGCACAGAAGACGAGGATGGTGAATGGTGGAAGAACAAGCGTGATTCTCGCAACATTGGCCAGGGCGGCGTTCTCGTCAATGCTCACTACGACTCGTAAGTGGCATACTTGCTATACCCAACCAGTATACTGACAGACCAAACAGAGTCTCCACCGGCTATGGAGCCACTGACGACGGCATGGGGTGTGTGAGCGTTCTTCAGATGCTCAACTACTTCACTTCTCCTGGCCAGCAGCCCAAACGTGGAATTGTGCTGTTGCTCAACAACGGCGAAGAGGATGGCCTCTATGGAGCCAGGGCCTACCACTACAGTCCTCTCTACTACTTCACCACCTCTTTCGTGAATCTCGAGGGTGCAGGTGCGGGTGGTCGAGCCATCCTGTTCCGGACCACTGATTTGGAGGTGTCCAAGGCTTACGCACATGCTCCTCATCCATTTGGGTCAGTTGTTGCTGCGGACGGATTCAAGCTTAGAGCGATTAAGAGCGAAACGGATTACAAGGTGTGGGTCGAGAACTTTGGTCAGCGTGGCCTCGACATTGCATTCTACCGGCCCCGAGCGCGGTATCATACTAACCAAGACGACGCTCGGCATGCCTCGCAAGACAGCCTTTGGCACATGCTTTCCAACGGCTTGGCTGCTGTGGACTCTCTTCAAAAGACTTCCGGCTCCTTCACTGGTAAACGCAATGATGGAGACAAGAAGAAGGTTTCGAGCGGTTCCGGTACCGAGGGCGTGTGGTTCGATATGTTTGGAAAAGGATTCGCGACTCTTGAGCTTCGTGGTCTCTTCGCGTGGACCTTGACCCTGCTCATCGTGTCTCCCTTGATTTTGGTCCTCATCACCTACATCCTGTCGAGACAGGACAAGTACTACTTCTTTTCGAGGAAGGTCAAGCTCGATATCGACGAGTCGGTTCCTCTTGGAGGCTGGAAGGGGTTCTTCCGTTTCCCCTTGGCTCTGCTTTTCTCGGGCGCGATTACCGTTCTATGTGCCCTTTTAGTTCGGAGACTCAACCCTGAGATTGTTTCCAGCAGTCCCTACGCAGTGTAAGTGAAAGCCACACTCCATCCTGCATTTTCCTACTGACACGGTACACCAATAGCTGGGCAATGACCTTGTCTGTGTTCTTTCTGGTTTTCTGGACAATCTCGCGAGGCGCCAATGCTGTCAGGCCGAGCGCTCTTCAACGAGGCTATGCCCACATTTGGCTCTTCATCATGAGCTGGGCTGTTCTCGTTGCTGTTACCACCGCAGCCGACAGGTTCCAAATTGCTTCGGGATATCTCTTTGCATTCTTCCATTCGGCTGTCTTTGTGGCGACGCTCATCACTCTCTGCGACCTTTTCGCGCTCCCAAGCAAGCAAGCCTACGCAGAGACGGCCCACGATGATCAGCAGTCCAGGGATAACATATCAGAGGTTCCGAACTCTGACGCTTTGATCTCTCCTAGCCCGCACGAGGAGGGCACCACAGAAGAGCCCACGGAAACAACGCCGCTTAGGAGTGGCGAAAATGGCAGTGGAAACAATGGCACAATTCGGACAACATTCGCAACAACCTATCGACGCTCGCTGTCGGCCATCATGTCTAACCCAGACGACGATGAGGAGATTAAGGAAACAAAAGAGAATCAGCCTTACGAAAGAGAACAACCGTGGTCAGCGAAGCTCCCATCCTGGACCTGGTTCTTCCAACTCCTTCTGCTTGCCCCGATTACCATTATCGTCTTCCTCCAAGTGGCTCTGTTCATCACCTCAGCCATGCAGTCCATTGGTGCCGATGGCGTGGATCCTTTGCTGCTCTATACCGCGATCGCCGTCTTCAGTATCATGATTTCTCTACCTCTTACCCCATTCATACACAGGACAAGCTCTTACGTGCCGCTGGCCTTGTTGTTCATTTTCCTCATCAGTCTGATCTACAACTTGGTCGCCTTTCCGTTCTCCGCGGACAACCGCTACAAGGTCAAGTTCATACAGCGCCTTGACCTGGATCACGGGAACTCTTCGGTTTCGATTCTCGGCATGCAGAAGTACGCCCGCAAAATGATCAACGAGTTGCCATCTGCAGCAGGTCGGGAAGTCATCTGCACACCATCTTCTGGCTCGCTGTCTGATTGTCGGTTTGATGGATCTGCGGTATTGCCCAGACTGCCAGAGCTTAAGAGCACCATCTCTTCTGAGTTCTCGTTTTCGAAGGATCCGTACGCACAACTTGTAACTGTTAACATCACTTACTCGAACTCGACCAACGAGTATGAGCTTTGCATTGACGCCCCAGAGTCAAAGCAATGCATTCTCCAATTCGACGACCCCATGACGTTTAGCGTCCAGGAAAGCGCCGGTCTCGATTCCCTCTTCAGTACGCCTACTGAAGGTGGAATCAACGGCATCACGCTCTGGCGGAGGGACTCGTCCATCCCGTGGATGGTGGACGTCAAGCCAGCCGCAAAACCCTCGCTGGCTATATCCACGGGTTCGGTTCCTTGGAAGTTTTCCAAGGAACACGAGGAACTTCGGATTCGTCGGATTCAAAAGCCTACGGATTTCAGCGGAACAATCTCATGCTCTTGGAGTGATGCTAACGTTCGCGGGACAATCCCTGCCTTGGACGAAGCTTTGCAATATGCCCCCGACTGGATTGCCGTCACAAAGCAGGACGTCGGCCTGGTCAAGGCATACAAACGCTTCAAGGCCTGAGCGGACAGTCGTAATACTTCCTTGACGGCTTCGATGAAATTGATCTCACTATCTTTGGTGGGTTTGTAGGAGCGGACGCGAGAGTCCATGGCTAGGGCCGTACATGGAGGCCACGAGCCCTTGGGAAGCTGGAATAGTGTTTTGTTTCATTGCGGTTGGCGACTTGACCTTTGTTCATTGGACGGCGTTTTCGAGAGGTATTTTTCCACTTTAGCATGCGATCATGGGGTGGGGTACAGCATAATCACCGGTGGCTAGGCTGCGGACGGGTAACGAAAGCATGCGTAATAGGTATCAATTTCAAAGTATCATTCGAGAAACTTCGTCGTTAAAGCTCACGCTCTCGAAATCTGTTTGACTATGTTGTGGAGTTCATGGGCGCGTACATCTCGAGGATTGTACGTGCTTGATGCCCACACGGAGCATGTGTCTAGTGCTTGCCTGATATTCAGGTTGAGGTCGGTCTTTCCTCAACCAAGCCCAATCGATCCCCATGGTCGAGCGGTATAACGCTCTGGTCCGTTAGTACAGAACTCGGTATGAAATCTCAAGTCAACGGATGGAGGATTTCGTAGGGGTCCAGTTCGATTCACGAACTGGGCACCCGAGCTTTTGCCTTTCTGCCCCTTTTGATATATTTCCATGCATCCCATGGATTGCGAACGATTTCATGTAACAGGGTATCAATTGTATTGGACTATCAAGCAAGTCTGCTGGAAAGAGCTTGCCTTATACGAAGGCCCTTCTCCTCGTTCTCAAGCCACCTTGGTATGAAGAAGGTGAGCCTCCCATCACTGGGCAATCCAGTCCTTTCCCGAGCTCCATTCAACTCAATTGCCGACTCCTCCATCACTGCTCCATCCTCTCATCCTTGACACCACCGCCAGCAACCCCCTGCTCCACCTCCTTCGCGTGATACCGCTCCAGCAACTCCCTCATCTTGGCCCACAACTCAGCCTCCATGTCGCGCTCGACTTTGTTGTTGCGGCTGTTGAGCCAGCCGACGTCGAGGTTACCAATGGTACCGACGCCGTTTGGCTCGAGGGACGGGCGCCCGACGATTTTGGCGTCCTCGTTCATGACGGGTTGGCGGGTTTTCGGGTCCGCGTCGTTGCGGAGTTTGATGATGGATGCTTCTTCTAGGGAGAGGATTTGGCGCTTCATGTGGACGTCTACTGTGTGGAGGGTAGAGAGGAGGGCGTTCATTGAGGTTTTGAAGGTTTGGGTTTGGGATGATGGTGTTTGAGCGGAAGGGTTTGAGGGGTCTGATGAAGTATTTGGGGGCGCGCCGAGGGCGGAGAGGGCGGATGAGGTGTGGGACATTAGGGAGACGATTTGGGTGTCTATTTCGCAGAGTTGTTGGATTCGTTGTTGGAGGGTGAATGGTTCGTTTGTGGGGGTGTCGGTTGTCATTGTTGTGTCTGCCATGTTTGCTGTGAGGGAAATGTGTTTTCCCCACTGGGTTGGTCGAGAGGGGAGTCGAGAGGGGATGAAGTTAGAAATTGGCGGGGTCGATGATTTGGAAAGATGAAGGGTATCGTGGTTGGGTTTGATGAGTTTGACTCGTGAGATGAGAGATTGAGGTTAGGTGAGTGAGATGCCCAGTGAGTGAGCTTGTGCCAGGTGAGCTCCAAAAGGTAGCGCGTCTGAGTAGAATAGTGGGCCCGACCACCGGGGAGGTCGAAGCTCTCTTCCAATGACTGAGGTCAGAGAGGTATGCACCATACCTAAAACGGCTTAGCGCCACTCTCTCCAGATATTTTCCGTCGCCAACCTTGACTTCACGTCTTTCCTTTGCAGCCTTGCAGGGGATGAACGAGCCTCATTTCATCGGGCTGAACGCGACGTACGACGACCTCTCATCGAATTTTATCATCAAAACTCCGACTTTGCATCTATAGCGCTCTGTAGATACTGAACGACGCCGAAGGAACACGCTCGTTAGGGATTTAGAGACTGCGGCCTCAGTCCGCCACGGATACCCGATCTAGCTCGACGACTCGCGATCACGTCTCACCCGACGATTCACGACTAATGCGCCGAGAGACGTGAAAGGCGCATCACCACATCACACCGATTTTTCATCTACGTCAACCTCCAACTCAAGGAAATCCATCGCAGGAAAGTTGTAGAAAATGTCGGGAAACCCGGCTCAGCCAGGTGCCAGCACCACCCCAGGCGCCCCTGGTGCCGCTGGTATAGCAGCAGGCGCAGGCACAGGCGCGTCGGGATCCTTTTCACAACAGCCTCAGCAGCAACCAGCTGCGACGACGGTGCCGGCGACAGTAACGCCTATTCCTGCGCCTGTTGTTCCGGTTAGCCAGACGCCGATCCCGCCTCCTGTGACGGCTACGCCTGCGCCTGCGCCGGCGCCGGCTACTGCGCCGATGTCGAACCAGAACCTGAATCAGATTGTAAGTTGGGATTTTTGTAAATTTGGTGTTTTCTTGTGGTTTCTATGCACGCATCATTCGGGAGACTGGGTTGGTATTCGGGTTGCCGCAAGTGTGGTGACTTTGTTGGTCGGAGGTTGGTGGTGATGGCAAGTGCTGTAGGAAAGGTGAAAGATGAGATGGGAGGATGAGGATCAAGTGTGTATTCCTCTGAAGGCAGGGAATAAGCAGACAGCAACTGCTTCTTGCATCTGCTGGAAGATTGCAGAAAAAAGTCACCTCACGGGTAGCTGCCAGTTCTCACTTCTTTGTGCTTGGCCCTACTTGCCTTTTCCTCACCCATCACCTTTCATCATCATTCAACTCACCCACCTTCCCGTTCGTCTTTGTTATTCTTTCACGTCGACACATCATCAACGCCTAGGAGGTCAACGACAATGCCCCGTCTCATTGCAGAGAAAATGTCTGGGCTGGAAATAGTAGGTCAAGCCGGCGGCAGCTCTCGCGATCCCTCTCCGGCGGTGACCGATCTCACACTGGTTTCTGAAACCTCGTGGAAGAGGTCTACCTCTCCTCTATCGCCCTATTTGGCTTTCGTTACCCCCCCTCCAAATTTTGCTTCCCTCCCTAATCATGATTCTTCTACTTCTAACCCTCCGTCCTCTCTCCTCCCTCATCTACGTCCTACCACTCTTCAACGCGAGAGAGCAAATGGCATCATGGCAGACGACGCGGAGCTTGCGGAGGCGTTGAAAGTGTGATCGCGCAGACTTGCCTTTACAATGCTTTTCTCGGCATCGCTAACGGTTCCTAGGTCACAGACTATCTCCTCAAGCGGGGATACACCCGTACCGAAACGATCTTCCGCCAAGAGTCTTCGCACTTGGGTCCTGACGGTAGACCCATTCACAATAAGGTTGATGATTTGGGACCGAAGAAGTACCTGAAGGCGTTCAACTTGCTCCGTGAGTGGGTCGAGAACAACCTCGACATCTACAAGGTAAGTCTCTAGTGGCTCGTAGCTTCTGACGTGTCAATAACTCTGACCTCCTGCAGTTCGAGTTGAACAAGCTTCTTTGGCCTGTCTTCGTCTACTCGTGGCTCGAGCTCGTCACTCAGAACTACTCCGAGGAAGCCAAGATCATCCTCAATACCCTCAAGTCGTACTTTGAGAATGTCCATTCCGATGACCTGAAGACCTTCTCCACCATTACGCTGGCTCTGCACGCCAAGGAGAACCCTACCACCAAGCTCTACAGAGAGAACAAGTACCGCGTTCCGCTCAACCAGCACATCAGTGGTAACCTCTTCCACTTCCTCGAGCGCGAGCGGGATAATGGCGGCGCTGTTATCCTGTACATCCTATCGACCTTCTGCCAGCTGGACTCGACGGCACGTGGCCCTATCGAGCCGTTCAGCTTCGAGGCGATTTACCGCCGATCCCAGAACCTTGACGTCGACGAGGTGGATCTGCAAGAGGGAATTCCTGGAGTCTTCACCGGAATCTCCAACAGGGACCTGTTGGACAAGACGGTGCCCCTCAAGCTGGGTGCTCTGCCTATGGAGGAGGACCTCCGCGACGATGTCAGGGCCGAGCTCCAGGATGAGGATGCACTCAACCCCCCGCCCGATGGTCGCGCTACCTTGGTCGACGAGTTTGACCGCAAGATCAAGCGAGAAGAAAGCGCCGATGGTCCCACGAGAGCCGACCTCCCTCTGCCCCCATCCCGCGCCAGAGACGTTGTCATGGAGATGCAGAAGGTTAGGGAGAACCGTGATCGCTTCAAGATTGATGGACGTACCGGTGGTGTCGGCGTTCCTGTCAGCGCGTGCATGTTCACTTTCCACAACACTTTAGGAAGGCAAGTAGTATCATCTCGTCCGCTGAACCCCACTAACAGATATATCTAGTGTGTCATGCATGGACTTCTCCAAGGATCACGAAATGGTTGCTATTGGCACCACGGACTCCTACATCCGCGTCTGGCACCTTGAGGGCAAGCCTCTCAAGTCGAAGCGCAACGACGAGAAGGACTACAAGTTCAACAACCGCAAGCTTATTGGTCACTCGGCCCAGGTGTACTCGGTCTCCTTCTCCGACTCCATTGCCAAGCTCGAGCACGCGCCATTCGGCGAGGAAGGCAAGGGTGAGTCTCCTATCGAGACGAGCTCCAAGTTGCTGCTGTCCTGTTCTGCGGACGGCACCGTTCGAGTCTGGTCGCTGGATGTTTGGGCCTGCGTCTGCGTGTACAAGGGTCACGATGGCCCGGTGTTGAGAGCCGAGTGGGGTCCTTTCGGCCACTACTTCTTGACTGGCGGCTGGGACAAGACTGTTCGTGTCTGGATGCAGGATCACGCATCCGCGCAGCGCATCCTTGTCGGCCACGACTCCAGCATCTCGGCCGTCGCCTGGCACCCGAACGGAACGTACGTGTTCTCGGCTTCCGACGAGACGGACAAGTCTGTCCGCATGTGGTCTGTTATCACCGGCCAGTGCGTTCGTGTCTTCACCGGTCACACGGACTACATCTCCACCATTGAGGTCGCGCGCAACGGCAGAATCTTGGCCACGGCTGATTGCAGTGGTAACATCTTCTTCTGGGACATCCAGAAGGGCCTTCGCATCAAGCGCTCGCGCGGCCACGGCAAGGGTGGTATTTGGTCCATGAGCTTCAGTGTCGAGTCCAACGTTCTCGTCTCTGGTGGACAAGACGGCACTGTTCGCGTCTGGGATGTCGAGCTCCCTGCCGAGGGTCACAAGGCCGCTCAGCAGCAGCAAGGAGCGGCGCCCGCTCAAGAGGGAGGCGACACCATTGTTGCTGCCAGTGGACAGACGGAGCGCCCGAACGCAAGTGGCCAGGGAGCGACTGGCAGTGGTTCCAACGCTGCAAGCGGCGGAAAGAAGAAGGGCAAGGAGGTGATGATTACGCCCGACCAGATCAGCGCTTTCCCGACCAAGAAGACGCCCGTTATGAAGGTCCAGTTCACGCGCATGAACCTGATTGTATCCGGTGGCTGCTACGACCCTGACCGTTAAGCGGAACGGTATCTTTGGGAGGGAAAGAATCAGACTGTCTTCATCTTGAGTTTGGCGTTGGGGTCGCGGTAGTCGACAAAATGTGATTTGGGCGAGGTAATCCTGGTCTGGGACAGCAAAATCGCCTGGTTACTGGTTTTTGTAAATCATCAATGTAGTAGATACCTCTAGTCAATTGGGAAGGCTATGAAGCCAATTTGCCCGCGCTCTACGTAAAATGCATGTGAATGTTTCCCTCACAATGAGATCTCTGTTTGTAGTGCATTAGGTACATTAATTAGCACCATTGCCCGGCGTCGGTCGGACGGGATCAGTGACGTCGGGTCATTGATGGGACCGCAACCGCTACCTTAACTGCGGCGCTTCTGGGGCAGGCCGGACAGGTACAGGGGCCTTGATGGGCTCTGCAGTCCCAATTGGGGTCGAGTGGCTGAAGCTTCCACCGGGGCCACAGCGAATCAGGTGGTGCGGAGCAGCTGTGCACCTTTCGCATTGAGCCTCTGTCAGTCAAACACAACCAGAACCGGCCATGCCTTGGAGGTGTCCAGTACCTTACCTTACTGTGCTGCCTTGTCTTGCGTAAGGTAACCTGCCACCACCAGACCACATCCCACTTCACCTCAACTTACCAACCATCGCCCGCTTTCCGTGGTACTCCAAAACCTCGACATCTAACTCGATTTCCAGTCCCACGAAATCATTCCGGCCACTGGCGCATTGAGCAACCGAAACGATGGATCCCCTCGAAGAGTCGCCATGGGGCGATTCGCAACCCACCTCCGAGCCCTCGACCCAACAGCAGCCCTCCCAGAGTGAAGAGTCGACATCGTCGCAGCCCGCGGCCAAGTCAGAGGCACCCAGCACGGCGTCCGCACCTCGTCCTTCACGCTCGGGACCTGTCCGCCGACTCGTATCCGCCCAGCCTACCCGCCTCGAAGCCGTCGACGATCCCCTCGGTCCTTTGGGTCCTCTCGGCGCTCCCGCCGCCGCGGACAATGGCGCCGAAGCCGGTCAGGATGCTCCGCCCGTCCCGCCGCAAAAGGAGCAGATGGTGATTCGCACCTCGATGCCCCCCCAGCAGGGCCGTCGCGCCGGTCCTTCCGACCCTCACAACATCGATGAGGACGATTACGACCACCCGTCTGGCCCGAGGCAGCCGCCGCCCGTCCAGGCTGCGCATCCTAGCCCGGTGCGGACGCATACCCAACCTAGCGTCAGCGTCGAGCAGGCTAGCAAGCCGAGCTTCCAGATCACAGTGGGAGATCCGCACAAGGTTGGCGATTTGACCAGCTCGCATATCGTCTACTCGGTCAGGACCAAGGTAAGATGAGGTTCTTCCCTTGTTGAAGCGGGGATGGGAGGGGGAGCTTTGGCTAATCATCGTGGGATGGACAGACCTCCTCAAAGGCATACAAGCAGCCCGAGTTCGAGGTGAAGCGCAGATACCGCGACTTCCTCTGGCTGTACACCACTCTGCACGGAAACAACCCTGGTGTCGTCGTGCCGCCCCCGCCGGATAAGCAGGCCGTCGGTCGCTTCGAGAGTAACTTTGTCGAAGGACGTCGCGCAGCTCTGGAGAAGATGCTGAACAAGACTGCTGCGCATCCTACCCTGCAGCACGACGCGGACCTGAAGCTGTTCCTTGAGAGCGAATCGTTCAACGTCGACATCAAGCACAAGGAACGGAGGGACCCGATCCCCGGAGAGAGCAAGGGTGTCCTCGGCAGTCTGGGTATCAATGTCGGTGGCAGCAGCAAGTTTGTCGAGCAAGATGATGTAAGTGGTGCGCTGGCACTCTTAAGAGAGCTCTGTACTGACAAAGAACGAAAGTGGTTCCACGACCGCAAGGTTTATCTCGATGCGCTCGAGAACCAGCTCAAGGCATTGCTCAAGGCTATGGAGACAATGGTCGGTCAGCGCAAGATGATGGCCGAAGCCGCTGGAGACTTTTCGGCGTCTCTTCACGCTCTGTCTACGGTTGAGCTTTCGCCCTCGCTATCGGGCCCGTTGGATGCCTTGTCTGAGCTGCAGCTGACGATCCGCGACGTCTACGACCGCCAGGCCCAGCAGGACGTTTTGACCTTTGGCATCATTATTGAGGAGTATATTCGCCTGATTGGATCAGTCAAGCAGGCATTCAGCCAGAGGCAAAAGGCGTTCCACTCGTGGCACTCTGCCGAGTCGGAGCTGCAGAAGAAGAAGGCCTCTCAGGACAAGCTCCTGCGGCAAGGCAAGAGCCAGCAGGACAGGCTGAACCAGGTCAGCGCAGAGGTCGGCGACGTGGAGAGAAAGGTGCACCAGGCCAGGCTCCTGTTTGAGGACATGGGCCGACTGATGAGGGCGGAGCTGGACCGCTTTGAGAGGGAAAAGGTGGAGGACTTCAAGAGCGGTGTTGAGACCTTCTTAGAGAGCGCGGTAGAGGCACAAAAAGAGGTAAGATATACACAGCACTCGCGAGGGGGGATTGAGACTAATACGTGACAGTTGATTGAGAAGTGGGAGACGTTCCTCATGCAATTGGACGCCGAGGACGACGAGACGGTCTTTTACCGGCCGCCCGTCATCCAACCCTCGGGCAAGCCGCCCGGCAACACGGCCATTGACAGGGCTCGTGCCACCATCAACGACGACTCTGACTAGAAGCCCGAGGCACGGCGTCCGCTGATTCATTACATTATTCCTACGCATCACAGCAGCGGTTTCTTCTTCGACCCCACGGCGCACTGGGACGAGTGACGAGTGACGAGTGAATCAAGTTTGGGCACATGTGCATTGTGGAGCCTTCCTCTTTCTTGGCTGTAGTAGTTGTTGTGGTTGTTGTACATATCTGACAGTAGAAGAAACCCCATGGGGGTATAAGCGGCTCCCGTAATCCACCTCCTCCTCTGACCACGCTTTTGTTCGCCCTGTCGGCGATTCCCCGTGAAATCTCCCTTTTTTATACAATGATCCGTCTCTATGCATCGTACAGGCTTCCGTACAGGCTTCTTTCCCACCAGCTAAACGCATGGATGCTGATGATTATGGTGACGGCTATCTGTCCTGCCGCATCACCCTCCTTATTTCTTTCCCTTCTTGCCCTTCTCTGGTGCCGCCACCTTCTTGGGGGGCTCCTTGGCAGCCTGCTGCGGCTGCAGCGCGGCATACCCGCTAATCAAATCACCCATGTCGAAAATGTCGTCCTCCTCGGGAGTAGGCTGGGCAGGCGTCGCGGCCTCCTTTCCAGCGGTAGCTGATGTAGCAGCGGCAGCAGCAGCAGCAGCAGCGTTAAGCTCCTCCTCCGTCGGCTTCTTGGCCGCCAAATCGAACCCGCGACCGAAACGTTCACGGAAGGCGGCGAGTTTACCGGCCTCGTCGACTTCCACGTTCTTGAGGGACTTGTCGGAGGGCTGCCAGAGGGCATGGTTGCGCGAGTCCTTTGCGGAGCGGACGAGGGGCGAGGGGGAGGTGGTGCGGACGGTGTAGGTGCTTCCGTCGGAGAGCTGGATGAGCTGGGTGAAGGTGTAGGGGCGGCGGGGGCGGGGGATGAAGGTTGCTGCGCGGGATTGTTGGGTCGGGAGGCCTATTCTCGGTGACGTAGGCGTGGTCGAGGAGGATGTGAGGGAGGGTCGGTGGGCGAGGAGGCTTGTTGGCCTGGGGAGGTGGGTTGGGAGCTTACCCATCTTTGCGGATATCGTCTCGTCGGAGTGTTGGAGAAGGCTGAATTGAGTCGGTGTTGGGCAAGAGCTACCGGTGCAATTGTGGGAGGAATTGGTGTGCGGGCGGCGGGTGCGACGGGCGGAGGGGTGGAGGGAAGCGCGCGTGGGAAGGAGAATTTGTGAAGCTTTTGGCGATGCTGGCTCAATTGGCTCGACACTCCTTGCCGCACCGCGCGACCTGAGGAAACCAAAATTTCGGTTGGTCGGGGCCGGGGAGTTCCGTGCGCGCGGGTTCCACAGCCAGAACTCGGCCGGGGGAACTGCCAATGTGGTTTCTTATCGATAAGAAATTTTTCTGGGATATTTTGGGGGGCCGTTTACATCACCGAGAGCTGGAGCTATTGCAAGGGGGGGGGGGCGGCGGGTCATCCATAACTAGGTTCCTACGGTTCTTCGTTAACACGACGAAAAGCAATTGCTTTACTTTTGACGAATCCCACGAACAGTACCTCCGCACAAATCACCTACCGTGGATACCTACCTGCTATAACTCACCAAATACCGAGGGAATTGCGCGCCAACTACAAACGGCGACTTGGGGCTAAGCTCCGGCGCATACAATGACTGGAGCTTGTGTGTTGGGGACCGCGCTGCGCCGCGTCGGCCGGGCAAGGACCGGAGGAGACGGCGTCCAGCGGACCCTGATTGGAAGCTGTAAGACATTGTCACGATTCACTGTATCTGAACATGGTCACTAACGCATCACCTCAGCTCAACACAACTGCCGAGCACATCTACAACGGCCCTCCGTCGGCCTAAACCCACCGACCTCCGAGCACTGCCGAACAATACACACGACGCCACCGTATCTCTCCTCTCCGCCCTCCTCGAAGCCAAAGACGACGACAACATGGCGCGCAGAACCTCACCAACCCCCAACAATAACCCACCACCCCTCCGCCGACCTCCCGGCACAACTCTGCGGCGTGATGCGAAGACTAGCACACTCAGTCGTCGTCGCCACAGCCACAGACCGCGCGGGACGGCCTAGAGGCATGACAATGTCGAGTTTCGTCAGTCTGAGCATGAAGCCCGTGCCGCTGGTGACGTTCAACGTCCGCACGCCGAGCCGGACGCTGGATGCGATTCACGAGGGCGGTGGGGGGTTTAACGTGCATGTTTTGGCTGAAGGCAAAGAGGGGGCGAGGGTCGCGGATTGGTTTACGAGGGGGAATGCTGCTGGTGGGGAAGGGTTGTTTGAGGGGTTGCCGAGGGGGGTGGAGATTGTTGAGGAGGATGGGGAGGCGCCTTTGCTTGAGGGGGAGGGGGTGTTGTATGTGATCAAGTGTCGGGCTCTTGGGGAGGGGATGGTGAGGGTGAGGGATCATGTTGTTGTTGTGGGGGAGGTTGAGGGGGTTGTTAGGGGAGCAGGGGAGGGGTTTGGGCTTGTTTATGCTGATCGACGGTATCGGATGCTGGGGGAGTGTTTGGTGAAGGATGAGGAATAGAGAAAGAGGATTGAGGTGTGATGGTGAGTGTGAGTCTGAGGATGTTAGGTGTCGTGTATCATACCCCATGTATAGAGATTGTGGATAGAGTGTATACTATGTGAGGGAAACTCCGCCCATTGAATCGAAAAAGAAGACATTCAATATGGGATCACTACGTATCGACACTCATGCGTTTGCTGACGGCGTGGACTGGGCATTGTTCTAGGATGACGTTGAGTCTTTCCTAGAGCTAGATATCTCAGATGAAGAGGCCGCCGGGTGAGAAATATCAAAGGAGCTAACTTTCGGCCATGCCCGAGAGATAGCAACATCATGATACACGTATCCCATACATTCAATATTATCTATTGCGATTGTTATTGTAGGTTCCTCTCTCCCTCCCGGCATAACCTGTTGCACCGCCCACAGAATGTGGTTCTCTCGCATCTTATGCCCCAATCGGAAAATCTGGAGGAGACGTAGTCACTCGGAATTTGAAGACTTAATGAACCAGCGCATTAGCGGCGCTGGCCTTCCGTGGAAGTGGTGTAGCGCTCCGGATGATGCTTGGCGTGGAAGGTTTGGGGGCCGTAAGGCTGGTGTGCCCCCGTTGAGTGGCTTGGGTACTCTTGCCTGCATCAAGCAGTGTGAGGGACAGGAGAGTCCATTGAAGTTCTTTCCGAGCTGCTTGGAGTGGAAATCCAGTTGTGTGGATTTGAATACAGGTTTCCGTGTTTCAATAACGTTGCTGTTAGGGCAGAATTGTGGCCAGAGTCCCGGGCTACTGGTCAGGTAAACAGGATGGCCGAAGTCAGCATGAACCAGCCGTACGAGTGAGTTGTGATGATAAAGAGAGGCCTCTACGAGCTACGATGTTTGTATCGACTCTGCAATGAAGGGTTCGGGACATATAAGTTGCATCGTGGGTTTTGCTTCGAGGAAAAGCATAGTCAGAAGCGTTGCTGACGTCACCCACAGATACACTGTCAACAGGACGCATTTAACACATCACGTCGATAGGGACGACTAAACTGGCGATATTTTGACCAGCGACCAAGGTCGCCATAGAGCCGTAGACACATGGCTCACCCGAACAAGCCAATACGACCACAACATCTTCATGAACAAGGACTCGACACTGCCATCGTCATCATCCCGGACGCATTTTGCAGACCAGAACATTACAATCTCCTGGTCACCTCTTGTCGGGTACTGGGTGCTGACATTGTCATAGTCGTCCAGAACCCGTCAACGCGACTTGTGGGAGCCAGCGAGGCCGGGGTACCAGCGGGTCTGTACGGTGATACGGCCAATGCGCGGGTGGTCGTTGAGGGACTGGTCCGGGATGGGAGGAGCGTTCTCGTCGTTGCGCATTCATACGGAGCCTTAGTAGCCTCGGAATGTGTCAAAGGCCTCGGAAGAGAGGGATTGATGGGGGTTCAACCAGGCGGTTTCGTTAGAATGGTTTTGATAGCTGGCATCGTGCCACTGGAACGTCAAAGCTTCAACGAAGCTGTGAACGGTAGGCTGGGAATAGGACCACCGGACGACGTAGTCGGGGGCTTCATGTATCACAAGCAGGAGACGCTCGCCGCATGCTTCTACTCCAGCTTGCCGGCTTGCCGGTGACTTGAACACGCCGGGGCGACGAACACGGGGCAGTCGGTGCGGTCTTTTGAGGAGCGGTTGCGGTACGCGGGCTACAGTATTCCTGTGACTTACATGGTGACGACGGCGGACCAGACGGTGCCGGTGGAGTTGCAGGAGAGGTTCATCGGGGTTGCGGAGACGGAGGCGGGACGGGCTGTGGATGTTGTCCGGTATCCCGTTGACCACTGCCCGGAGGTCACTGACGTTGAGGCGGTGGTTGACTGCGTGGTGAGGGCTGTTGGTGAGGATGGTCCGATTTGTACTTGGATATGAAGATGGTGTAGCCCGCACCAAAACGTGTAAATAGACGGGAGATAATTGGCTTGTCTCGATGTCTGCTGGTAGACTTTGGACAGAGCAAGTTCTAGAAGCATCTCTGCTGCGGATCCCCTGCAACGGCGGGAAACGGAGCCAGCTCAAGCAATTGTTGTAGTTGAAGTCGAGAATAGACGTCGTGGAAAGAGATGGACCGTGCAGCGACACCCCGGCCGTTGCCAATGATCTGGGCGATTCAGACGCGGGGGAGATGAGATGTGTTGGCATTTCCCTAAGGCGCCGCCGCAGACTTGAGCCAGCAGCCCAGCACCCAATTTCGGGGTAGATTTCACGAAGGGATGCGCCTCATTTTCAGCCTCGTTGACGGGTGGGACTCGTAGCAGGGGTATTCCAACGCCAGAGAGCGGGCTCCCAGGCTTGACTGACATCGAACCATTAAACGATGGAGCAAACGGAAGACTCTGGCAAATAGTGGAAGTGTCGATTTCTGCTTGAGGATCTTGAGAGGGGGATCCATCATCCGGAGGCGGTAAATATGGAGTAAAAGATGACTTGGACTGTGGACAAACAGACGTTGTTCATCCCCACATTGAAGGAGGCAAGGGAGAGTCAAAGGCAAGAAGCTGTGACCACTGGACGCTGTGTGAGAGAAGTGACACCTTTCTCTACTTTCTAAAGCTACAGACAGATACCTTACATAAGGCACATTAGAGATGAGGTGGAGTGCACTTGAAGCTGTTCACATTCACAAGGCAGGCATAGTGAGGGCGGTAAGGCGTTCCTCCCCAAAATGCATGGTGATTCTCTTCTTTTCCATCCCGGTCTGAGGTGCTTCAAAGGCAGGCGCAGGCGGTAGGCGGCAGGCAGACGAGGAAGGCACAAGAAAAAAGGGACCCTCGTCCCACACTGTGGCCCCCGCAGATGAACCAATCACAGTCCCCGCACGGTTGCTGTGGTGGCAGGGCAAGCGAATCAGAGAAGGGTCTGGAAGGCCTGGAGGTGATGGAATCGCATAGAATTCTTGAGCTGGGGGGGTGAGCGTCGCTGCCTTTCTGCTTTGGTCCAGACGGCCACCAAGACTCCAGACGCCTTTTTCTTTTTTAGCCTCCTCCTCTTCCACACGTCGTCTTGCCTCTCAGACTTCTTCTTCCTCGCATCTCAACATTTTCCTCTCTTCCTCTCCCAATTTCTCTCTTCTCTCCTACCCCAAAAGAATCAATTCCCATTGTCGATTCGTAGCAGCGAAAGATCTGTTACACATTCGTAGAGAAGCTCTTCTCAAGGTAAGCTCGCCGAAACACACCCCGCCGTCGTCCCCGGCCTGGTCTGCATGCCGTTTTGCCATCGCCAGCGTCACCCCTCACTTCTCTTTCAACTTGCACTCGGCATTTCGCAATTCCAGCGTCAGCCTCGTCATTGATTGATAGACCATCACCTTTTCACATTCTGCCTCGGAGGTCCAATTCTGCCAGATCCAGAGATTGCTCTGCACAGAATTGGCGACAAGGCCCCCCCCCCCGCTCTACTACCCCTCCACAAACCGCAGCCTCACCGCCACACAACCAACTTCTACAAACAACGTCTAACAAATCTTGACAGAATTACGACCGTTACGCCCTAGATACCCACATCCTCCATCACAATGTCTTCCCCGGAGACCTTCGAGTTCCAGGCTGAGATCTCTCAGCTCCTGTCGCTCATCATCAACACTGTCTACTCAAACAAGGAGATTTTCCTGCGTGAACTTGTCTCCAACGCCTCCGATGCCTTGGACAAGATCCGCTATGAGTCCCTTTCCGACCCCAGCAAGCTCGACTCGGGCAAGGACCTGAGAATCGACATCATCCCCGACAAGGAGAACAAGACCCTCACCATCCGTGATACCGGTATCGGTTTCACCAAGGCTGTAAGTAGCACCTGATACTCCAAACCCAATCGTCCTCATCAGTCGCTGACCTCCACAGGACCTCGTCAACAACCTGGGTACCATTGCCCGCTCCGGAACCAAACAGTTCATGGAGGCCCTCACCGCCGGTGCCGATATCTCCATGATTGGTCAGTTCGGTGTTGGTTTCTACTCTGCCTACCTTGTCGCCGACAAGGTCACCGTCATCTCCAAGCACAACGATGACGAGCAGTACGTCTGGGAGTCTTCCGCCGGTGGTACCTTCTCCATTACCCCCGACACTGAGGGTGAGGCCCTTGGCCGCGGCACCAAGATCATCCTTCACCTGAAGGATGAGCAGACCGACTACCTCAACGAGGCCAAGGTCAAGGAGGTCATCAAGAAGCACTCCGAGTTCATCTCCTACCCCATCTACCTCCACGTCACCAAGGAGACCGAGAAGGAGGTCCCCGATGAGGATGCCACCGAGACCACCGAGGAGGAGGGTGACGACAAGAAGCCCAAGATCGAGGAGGTCGATGACGATGAGGAGGAGAAGAAACCCAAGACCAAGAAGGTCAAGGAGACTTCCATCGAGGAGGAGGAGCTCAACAAGCAGAAGCCCATCTGGACTCGCAACCCCCAGGACATCTCCCAGGAGGAGTACGCCTCCTTCTACAAGTCCCTCTCCAACGACTGGGAGGACCACCTTGCTGTCAAGCACTTCTCCGTTGAGGGTCAGCTCGAGTTCCGCGCTATCCTCTTCGTCCCCAAGCGCGCTCCCTTCGACCTGTTCGAGACCAAGAAGACCAAGAACAACATCAAGCTCTACGTCCGCCGTGTCTTCATCACCGACGACGCCACCGACCTCATCCCCGAGTGGCTCGGCTTCGTCAAGGGTGTTGTCGACTCTGAGGATCTTCCCCTCAACCTGTCTCGTGAGACCCTTCAGCAGAACAAGATCATGAAGGTCATCAAGAAGAACATCGTCAAGAAGGCTCTTGAGCTCTTCCAGGAGATCGCCGAGGACAAGGAGCAGTTCGACAAGTTCTACTCTGCCTTCTCTAAGAACCTCAAGCTCGGAATCCACGAGGACTCCCAGAACCGCAACATCCTCGCCAAGCTCCTCCGCTTCAACTCCACCAAGTCCGGCGATGAGCTCACCTCCCTCTCTGACTACGTCACTCGCATGCCCGAGGTCCAGAAGAACATCTACTACATCACTGGCGAGTCTATCAAGGCTGTCACCAAGTCTCCCTTCCTGGACTCCCTCAAGGACAAGAACTTCGAGGTTCTCTTCCTTGTTGACCCCATTGATGAGTACGCCATGACTCAGCTCAAGGAGTTCGAGGGCAAGAAGCTCGTCGACATCACCAAGGACTTCGAGCTTGAGGAGACCGAGGAGGAGAAGGCTGCTCGTGAGGCCCAGGAGAAGGAGTACGAGGGTCTGGCCAAGAGCCTGAAGAACGTTCTCGGCGACAAGGTCGAGAAGGTTGTCGTCTCCCAGATGCTCACCGGTGCCCCCTGCGCCATCCGCACTGGCCAGTTCGGTTGGTCCGCCAACATGGAGCGTATCATGAAGGCCCAGGCTCTCCGTGACACCTCCATGTCCTCGTACATGTCTTCCAAGAAGACCTTCGAGATCTCTCCCAAGAGCACCATCATCCAGGAGCTCAAGAAGAAGGTCGAGGTCGACGGCGAGAACGACCGCACCGTGAAGTCCATCGTCCAGCTTCTCTTCGAGACCTCTCTCTTGGTCTCTGGCTTCACCATTGATGAGCCCGCCAGCTTCGCCGAGCGCATCCACAAGCTTGTCCAGCTTGGCCTGAACATTGACGAGGAGGAGGAGAAGATCGAGGCCCCCGCCGCCGACACGTCCGCTGTCGAGACCGGTGACAGCGCCATGGAGGAGGTTGACTAAAGGATCTTTGGGATGAAAAATACGGGATACCAGAGAAAAAGTTCATCGGAGTTGGACGGTTTTCGGTTTTAATTGCGGCTTCGGAATTTTCCATAATTGCCTCCCCATATTAGATGTATGGGTGTATTCTAGTTAGCCCGTCATGATCATGAGACAGATGAGGTAGACGCTCAGAATTGGAACGTTAAGACAAATAATCTTTCATGGCGATGTGATGTATTGTGTGGTGTTTCTGCAACTTTCCGAACTCTCCGCACATTGTGATGTGCCGCAAGGTACACCTGACCTGTGATTGCAATGCCTCAGCCCCCCAAATCTGACGGACACCTAGGCCTCCCCTCATTTTCGTTTCCACGGCCTCATCAACACGCGCTGTGCCCATGACTTTCAGTCCAGCGGCCTTCTCGTCGTCGCCTTGAAGCTGGCTCACGCTCGCGCGCGGAATATGGACGCGTGATGCACATGGGAAGTCAAAGAGCCCCTTTGGCTCAGTGGTAGAGCGTCGCACTCGTACTTGCTCAACATGCGAAGGTCCACGGTTCAATCCCGTGAGGGGGCATTCTTTTTGGATCTCAAGTCGAAATCAGCTCCTTTTTTTTCCGATTCACGGATGTCACACACCTACCTACCGTCAGCTATTTTGACCGGTGACCTCGAGATATGTCTATTTGAACTACCGGAAAAGTGCTTGTTACCGCTCACGGCGCAGTTCTCTTCAACAACTGGCTCGACATCCCTCGCCCCTGATTTTTGTCCGTCCCCCTCCTTGAAGCGTACCACCATCCCACTTCTGCCCATCCACGAACAGAACCTCACAATACGGGATCTCAAGGGACCCCTCAGTCCCATCAGGCGTCAGAATCTCCGCCTCCAGCACCCCTTCTTTGCCCTGCCCACCATCATCACCACCACCCTCAACCACAACAACAGCCCCGTACTCACCCCCCTTCCCATCCCTCCACCCCGTCTCAGCCCTCTTCAGATCCCCCATCTGCGGCTCGAGCCGCCACCGTCCCCACCCAACAACCTCAAGCCCGACAACCTTGAAGCTTAGAGCTTGCGTCGGCCCCGTAGACCAGCTGTGCGAGTGGGAAGTATACGCCGCGTCGTAGTTATACCCCCGTTGAGAGCGGTAATACAACGATCCGTTGGCGCTCATCCCCTCCACGAGCGTGGTTCCCGTCATGAGTGGGGAGTCGAGCATGTAGCCCCATGTCCGGCGTATCAGTCGTAACCCGCGACGGGGTTTCCGCGCGGTGAAATGTGCGAGGACTTCGATGGAAGAAATAAAGGGGGAGATTGTATCCGGTAACTCGGGCGTCACGGGCCCGATGGCGTTCCAATTCCGTAGCAGCGCCGCGGAGACGGAGGAGGCTTGAGTGGGAGATGTGGTGAGGTTATACTGCAAAGCCAGCGCATTGCCGTCTTGCGGGAAGAGGAGTGCTCCCGCCGCGGTCTCGTTATCGCGGTACTGCGAGGCGGAGGCATCCCACAACACATCGTTGTACGCCGTCTTTAGCTTCGCTGCCGCGGCGGCCCATGTTGCTGCTTGATCTGCGCGGCCGTTGGAGTCTGTCGTCGTGTCGGCGGCTAGGCTTGCGAGGGAGAAGAGGGCGTGGTAGTTTAGTGCGTTGAGGGCGCTGTTGTATCCCCCGCCGCCGAGGCGCGCCCAGTCGTTTGTCTCGACTTGCTCTGCGAGGCCTACGCTGCCGCTGGCTTCGAGGGCGCGGAGGATGTAGTCTACGCCGGCTGTGATGTTTGCCCAGTGGTCTGCAACCCAGGCCTCGTCGCGGGTGAAGATTGCGTAGTTGAAGCACGCGATCAACGTCCATGCGTGATACGTATCGCTCTTCGCTCCGCGCCTCCAGGACCCCGTTGTCGGTCCCGCAAAGGGTAACTGCCCCGTCGAGGCATTCTGATAGAGAAACATCGTCTCCAGCGCGAAGTACACCGATTCCAAACCGACATCCCCGAGACCTAGATACGCCGTCGTCCCCGCGATACCCAAATCGCCAGGCCACACCGCGCGGTCTCGCTTCGCGCCGTCGAGGAGCATGGGTCCCTCGACGCCGAGGGTCGCGTTGTAGGCCCAGCCTGGTTTAACTTGCGGCAGCCAGCGGGACGTGTTGGGGGGCGCGATGTTTGTTTGGGCCGTGAAGACGCCGGCGTGCCAGATGCGTGTTAGGAGGGGGTCGGAGGGGGCGTGGAAGTGGCCTTGCCAGAGGGAGGGGTTGGGCTGGGAGGGGGAGTAGGCTAGGTGGCAGAGGATGGAGGTTATGGTGACGGGGTGGAAGGCGTGGAGGGTTAGGTATTTGAAGCCGCCGCGGAAACGTTCTGCGGGCATGGTGGCGGCGTAGGGGGTAGAGGAGGAGAGGGGGATTGTGACGTTGAGGGCTTTGTCGTAGTCTTGGGAGGGTGTTGCGCCCGTGTCGTCTGAGATTGCGCGGACGAAGGAGGGGGATTCGGCGAAGGCGAGGGAGAAGTGCGGTTCTGACGAGTTAGTGGACGAGAGGGAGTCGTCTTGTGATTCTGTCATCATGGAGAGGAGGCCGCCGACGTAGCCAAAGTCGAGGGAGACTTGGCCTCCCGGTTGGAGGGTGAGGATGAAGCTCCCGTCATCTGCGGAGGTCGTCACGTCCGCGGGCCCGGAGACGGCGTGGATCCGTTGAGGGGGGACGGTCCGGGTGCAGGGGCTTTTAATGTAGGCCTCCCATGGTCTTGTTGGGTCCGGGTCCGTGGTGCTGGCCGTTGAGGCTAGGAGCGCGGGTGAAGAGAGGAGGAGGAGGGCAAGGCGGATGAGGCGTGCCATCATGGGGGCCATTGTGGGCAATGGGGGGTGGGGGTTTGAGGAGGTAAGTGTGCCATTGTGATGTTATCTAGATGGCGGCGGGTTTGTGTGGTTTTCTGTATTTCAACGACATCATAAGAAAGTGGACGTCTTGCTTGGCATGCGATCCTGATCGGGTAGGTCGGATATGTGTAAGTCGGCGATGGGGAAGAATTTCCCCGCGTGTTCGTGTAAGCGAGATTGACGGGGGTGAATGTCGGGGTAAATCTGGAGCGAGGCGGCGAGCGTTTGCCCCGGGGGGTGCGAAGGCGGGGTTAGCGAGAGAGATCATCGCAACTCTAGAGCACTACTGGTAGGCAAGTAACCCCTGTTCCCTTGTTTGTTGTTTCTTTGACTTGTCAGAAACATGGTTGGTATGAGACTATCTGCTGGGTGTTGCGTTTGTTGCTCTGGATGTCCATGTGAGTCTCAACTCCAAGTCCAAGGCTATATTAAACGCATGGCTTCTGATGTGTAGGAATAACATCTCCTACCTACCATTGCGTCGTGTTCTGCGCCTCTCTGGCTAGGTACTCACTCGGTCCTCCCAGAAGCTCAGCTCGTGTGAAGTTGCGTCAACATCCTCTGTGGATCTCATTCATACATGTATCATGGCCAGCAAGCTTCAATAGGCCAGAGGCCCGGAGCATTCATAACCAACATAGCGAACCAAGCGAAGACATGGTGCAATTTTCCGAAGTAGTACTTTCTGTCCGATTAATGTGGCGTCAGAGTTATTTGGTCTTGGCTAGGTTTCATTCCGCCCATGGCTTGATTCTTAACTCCGTCGATGTGCGTCTAGACCGTCTCGTGGTTGACTCTCAATCTCTGCAAGCGGTGTAACTCGACATCAGTGTGGTTTGTGACAGAGCAACAGAGACTCGGACAGCAGAAAATCAGTGAAAGTTCTGTCAATTAGACAAACTAAGGTTTGCGATTTAGATTGGGGTTTCTCACCTAGTCCTGACGATGAGTTAGCTGTGCAGAATCAAATGCACTTGAGACTCAGTGACAAGTATAGAATCTGCCAGTTGCTTACTGAGAAGCAGGAACTTTTACAGATCTAGCATCCTTTCAAAGCTCCTAAAGACCTCCGAAACGGGGCTTTAATGATAAATTTCCTGGGGAAGAGAGTTAGAGTTAACAATGTCGGACCTCTGGGTGACTCTCAAGCCTTAGAAGTCAGTTCTAAACGGCAGACGCAAAATCGTGAGTGCAACGTCAAGTCACGAGGCAGGTTCATATCCAGGCATTCAAATAAGAGCTTAATTGCCCTGTCTTCTAATCGAGTAGGCGGTAGCCGATGCTATTCGAGATTCACTATTCGCCACGTTGGGTCGGTTCATTCCAGAAGTAGACTTGAAGAGAGAAGCACCTCACAGCGGTTCTCAGTCATGACCCATTTGTCCTTGTCAAGATGATTGAGAGCACGGCCTTCTACACAACGTGCAAACCACGGATAGTGGACCTCCACATCAATCATCGGCCTCATTAGAATACTGCTATAGTTTTCATGCTTCCCAGCAAAACATGTCCATCAATCCCAAGAACCAGAATGCGCTTGTCCGCAGTCCACGACTCCATGCGGGGGGTGTAACATGAAGGTGTGACTACCGATATAAAGTTATCCTATTCAAATTCATGCGAAATTCTTCCTACCACAGTAGGGCCGCGTCTCGTCGCTTCTTAGGCGTGTAGTCCAGATGTACTGGTTGGACCCCTTCGCCAACAGCATATGTGACGCGGCCGAAATGATAATGTCAGCAGCCGGCTATGAGTCCATGATTCTTTTATGTCTCCCTCTTCCACCTTGTTCATCATCAATGTCCTATAACTACCCTATAGAATACTTGACTTTCTGTGTTAAGAAGAGGGCTAAGGTATGCTAGAAGCCGTAGTCTCTGGGAGATAATAGGGTTAATGAGAGCCCATGAAGCTACACGCTTGAATAATAGCACCACGAAGCCCAAACTCAACCTCCCGGTGTTGCGTGAACCCCTGATAGCTCTTAATGGAATGAGTAAGAGGCTCAGACTGCTCATGTATCTATATACTCCCATCAAGCATGGGAAACTGCCCTCAGAAGGGCGGCAAATGTGTAGATCAGGATTGCATCGCAATTAGGTTTACGAAACACACTAGCAATACCTAGTCGAGATGAGTACAAATTCTAGGACATCGGCATCCACCTCCCTGCTATACCTACCGTATGTTATTGGTGGCGATTTTGGGTCGAGGATTGTGCAGTAAGATACGGTGCACTTGCTCTTCGTCGACGGCCTGAGAGAAGGCATTCTGGTCCCAGAAGATGGGCACCGGGGAAGCGTTCTCTTCTGGACGCATATATCGCTTCGGGATGGCTAGATTGCGAAGGTGGGGTGGTTTTAGAGACAGCGATAACCATCTAGTTGGTTCAGAGTCTTGATCTTATCGTGGCCGAAGCACTGTTGCTCTCGTGCCATCATGTGTTGCTTGTCGATCACAATCACTTTGTAATCCCTAACGTTACAGTTCTCCCAGTTTCTGAGACGCTTTCGAGGGCGCGGGAATGGTCGCGATAGGCGAGGTTTATAACTATTGTCGCGTTTCTATACCACATAGCGCGAGCTCTCGTCATCATTTCAATAGTGATATACCACGAATAAACAAATGATGACCAATACGAAACAGAAGATCCCTCTAACTCTTAGCTGCTGCTACCTGGTGCGTACCCAAGGTGTTCCAGATGGCCAAGTGGTCAATTTCGCTACCACCTATGATGGTGAGATCTTGAAGCTCGTCTACCACTGGCGTAGAATTGTTCCAAGTGCGATCGATCTAAAGTATTCAATTTGCCGAGATTCCCCACCAGCAGAATCAGTTTTTGCCTTTTATCTCCCGGCCTACCTCAGCTTCTTGGGCGTATCGAGTCCAACGGACCGAAGAAAGGAACGAGGGAACTGAGGCCTGCTCGAGTGGTTGGTCTATTCAATGCCACTATCAAAGATCCCATACTCAACTTCTCCCTGTGTTATTGCCAGCTAACAAAAGACACAATGAGCAATGATTCTGTGTTGGGTTCTGTCTTCTGGTTCTCTTCCTCTCTCTAAGTACCGCTGATTGAATAGTATCGCAGAAGTCCATGTCAACAAGCCCATTCAGTCCGTACGATTCATACAATCAAGACACATGACCAATGTATGCGCTTCTCCATCAGCACCCGGCATACTCTGCGTACCCGTTGTACAGAACACCCTGCTCATACCCGTCCAAAGCACACCAGACATCAAGACGCCGATCTCAAAGGCAGAAAAAACTATAGTAGCGGCCATCACGGTGCCGAGGGAATAATCCAGAGAACCGAACGGCGAGCTCAAGTAAACCGTGGCCAGGGATAAACAGATTTGCCTCGGGTTCCAGGCTGCCTTCATCGATCTCAGTTCCGCAGCCACGAATTCTTGCATGCCCGGTCGATGGTCGTTCTCCTCTCATCATTTCTCGATGTCACATCCATTTGAATTTCTTCGGCGCACCCTTCAAGTCCCGTACTACACTTGAAAACATAAGAACCCCCCGTCCGTCTCTCGTCCTTGATATAGTACACCACGAATACGTTCACGAGAACTGAGAAAGGCAGAGAGAAGAGAGCACTTTCTTTCATCTACCATCATTCGGGTGCGTGAACGTCCTGTAGGAGTATCGAGGTCCAACGAACCTACCTCAAGGGACAGAAGAGCGAGTTGAAGCTTACCAAAGGGACCAGTCTCACCTTCACGAACCGCCAAGAGAAGTTCATTATGAATTTCCAATTGTCGTGTAGTTATAAGTAGATTTATAAAGGTGCTCTCTATCAGAACATAGGGTTCTCATGCAGTACCATCTAACACTAATGCTATAGAGAGCGCTGTTTCCTAAGAGTAGATGATGCTTACGCAGAAATCTAGTTCAATGAATATACCATCTACGACGGCCCTGCGCTGACTGCTATACTAAGCTAGAGAGAAAAAGCTCGGAAAAGACCCAACGCGCGTCGACTGTACCTTCACCAACAGCTCTTCTAAAAGCCTCCCAAATCTCCTCAACCATCATGAAGAACTCACTTAGAATCAAATGTTCCAACATCCCGCCTCCGTCGCAAGCCCCAAGAGAAACCAAGCCTCGACGTTCCATCAAAAGTGACAACCCGACCGGACGGACAAGCTACGCAGAAGCCAACAGACGACGGCGCCCCCAAAACCCGCCGCTAGACGAATCGACGGCCTCATCGCCCGTCTTCTCACTAACGTTAACGAAGAGAAATCCTCCGTAGTCCGTGTCCTACGGTGATCTAAAAAGCCGTCTACGTCAAAAATCCAGACTTGGGTTGGAATCACATCCCGCGACGTTGGATCCGAATGGGAAAAAAGGGGGGGGGGGAATCGATAGACGAGAGACCAGAGACGGAAAACGAGGCGCAATCCTCCAGAGAATCAAACAAAACAAACACAAGCCAGTCTAGTCCCTCATCAGATCTTCTCAATCAAGCCACGCCGCAAAGCTGCAGGGGCTCGGAATCCTCTCCTGGCGTGGGATCCTCCCATCATTCGACCACATCGAAAACCGTCCTCAACCAACGAAGCAAGAGTCTAGCAAAAACCATTCGCTTTGCAGCTGCCAAACACCCAGAGCTCCACTTGCAGCCGTCAGTGGATAGTTCAGCCGAATTCCCCTACGAGGCCAAAGGGGGCTTCTCATCCAACAAGCGTGTGCCGAATTAGTGGTTTTGGTTGGTGACGTTAGTTCCCGAGCAAGTTCTGCTCGCCGTGGGGCCTCTAGAAAGCCTGTGCGTAGAAGGGTAAGGTGAGAGCAAGTTTTGACATGACAGGGCTACTTCGCTATTGTAATGTTTCTGTCAAAGCCATTGGGGGGAAAACCGGTTCATCAAGTAGTCGAGCTGCCAACGCATCAAGCTTCGGGGCCAGCTGATTGTTAGTTAAGCTAGCCCCATGTCTCAGCACAGCCCAGTATTTCCCGCGAGACCCCAAAAACGGCCTCTTGGACTTTTAGTACGAAAGCCCGGCCGCTTTCCCAACGATGGGGTGTGTGGTCCTTTGGCTTCCAGCCATCGCGCCAATCCCGCGTCTATGGGAAATGCGCCGTGCGCCACTTGCGGATGACGGGTGCGGGCGGAAGGGCAATTTCTTCGCTTTGGCTCCTTCGTCTGTGCGGCCAACGCCGTCTAAACGACGACGACAGATCCGAATGATGCCAAAGAGAGAGTGAAAACTCTGGACCTTTCCCGTCCTCCAACAACCGCCGTGACGGATGTGAACGAGTGTGAAAGCTGTGGGCGCTCGCACCTAGCCTTCATCACGTTACTCACTAGACTCAAAGTGCAGTCTGCGTACCCCTGCTGTCTCATCGGACCCAAGCCAATGGAAATGCCGAAACCCCTGTCTACTTGAATAGGCCCCTGGTCGCGGGATCTTTGGCGGCTACGATTGGAGAAGGGGACAGGGGCCGCAGGTGGGCTCGTCGTTGGTTCGAGTCCTGGAAGCGAGAGAAGACCCTGGATGATTTCATCACTGGCAATTGCTCGGGCTCGCTCCTGGAGACCATCGACTTGTGACTCGATATTCGAGTCGATATGGCGAGTTTGTTTGTTTGTTTGTTTGTTTGTTTGTTGGAACGCTGAATATCCAGATGTTGCGTTGTCTTCGGAGTCAGCGAGACGATCCTGGCCTCACCGCCGCAAAGTACCGGTGACATGGCGATGGATGTAGACTTGCGGCCGGGCAAAACCCAGAGATCTGCGATTCCCCAAGACCTGGAACAAGCCACAGGAAGCAAACGGTGCAAGGGTGATCTGGAAGTGGCACAGACTCACAGAGTGCAACCGAAGCCGGCTCCGTTGGCACTGAGCCACCCGAGACCCGCTTCGCCGAACTCGAGTGCCACGTCACCAGCCTCACGACCTAGTGATGGCATGGGGTCCGGATGAGGCGTGTGGCGGAGTGCAGGTTTTGCAGGTTTTGCATGCTCGTTTGCTTGCTGGTTGCCTCACCACGGTACCTTTCAGCGCCACCGAAGACGCCGTTGCGGAATTGCTTCTGCACCTCTGGCAGGGCCGCCGTCTCGCTTCGGCAGCGACTTGGCCTTGACCTTGCGACATACAACGCAGCCGCAATCGCAACCCATTTATCAGGCCTTGGTTCAGTGGTTCAGTCCATTTTAGACGCGGCCAGCGCATAATAGTCGCCACAGTCGAGCTGCAGGTTTCAGCTGCTCTGGTATGGCCGCCGTGTCCCCATTTGCGCTTGTTGTTGCTGGGCATGTTGCCTGAAGGATCATGGTTCTATGAGCTGCAAGTCCCGTGATCCCAGTCGACCAGTACTGGCAAAGGCCCTTCAACGCCGCGTTCGATTTTGCTGGTCGATTGTATCGCCCAGATACCACGCCGCTTGGTTATCGATTGAGGGGTCGATCTAGCCTTTAGGCCACGAGAAAGAAGGCCATGTTACTATTCTCGTCGTATCCTGCATGCCGCAAATCATGCAACCCATGTTGGTCAGAGGCCAACTGCTGGATAGGTGATGTACGGATTCTGGTGGTAAGCCCGTCCGTCGAGTATCACTTTTGGCGTTCCTTTTGGATTTTGCGGTTGTTCATGCTGCCCATTGACCGTGCCGTACTCGTCAATGTGTGCAACGGGAGCTGTCATTTTTCGTGCAAGCGTATCCGTAGGCTCCGAGACATTGGCAGCCCGTTGCGGGGGAAACGTTCGGGGCCGGCCTAAAAGTCGAGATGAGATATCATCTCTGACTAAGACTCATGACGCCAGTATCATCTCCTTTGAGTGCAATCATCCTGAAAGAGAAATTCGGTCGTCGAGGCCAAGTAGACGATTGGAGATGGACCGTTTCCGGGAGATGCGGGTAAGGAGAGACATGCATGAGGGGGAAATGGACGTTCAGGGACCAAACTTTGGTGGTGGGAGATTGTGTTGGATCGGCCAAGCGATTGGTCCAAATTGTCGATTAAGAGGCCAATGAAAAACGAAGAGAGGGAACGCGCCCCTTCCTGCCCAGAAGTCCATTTCGAATACAGCCAATCATACAGTTGATAATACACCAGACCCCGGACATGGAGAATAGCAACACTCCTCTTCCAGTAGTGGTTGGATGTTATACGCGGCCGACGGGGGCGATGGCCGTTGCTTGAGCGGATCTGGACTTTCAATGAGACAATGTCAAACTCTAGTTTTCCCTGGAGCAAGGGCCTTGAAGATGGGTTGGAGCGTTGCACTGTCTGCGAATGGAAGACTTCCAAAATGTCTTCCATCACTAGACTGCCGTATTGAGCCGACTCCCACCCCCAAGTCATCCCGCGGATAGGCAGGCTGTGAAGCTGACTCTGCGGGCAACGGGCCGTATCAGACGACCGGATCGTGGGTAAGATTACAAGGACGGCGGGCCACTGGTGAGCGTATCATTGCCTGTTGTGCCGGAGAATATAAGAATTGGGAGAATAGTTCGAATCCATCGATCCACCTTGCCCGCATCTTCTGGGGATGTCTTGGACAATGGAAGCTTCAAGGGTGGTGTGCCGTACCATCCATCTCCTATTAGCTTAGTAGGCTGAGAATTCGGTTTACCAAGTTTGACGACACCCTCGGAAAATCCTAATTCGACTTACGGACAGACGAGAAAGCGCGTCTGATTGTTGGTGGCGCTTCCTGGTTGTTGGTTCGACGACGCGTCTTTGAGGCTTTTCGCTGCAGTCATCTATCATGGCCATGTATGGTGTCCAGTAGAAGTCTGCTACTACCTCGCCGCGGGGTCCTGCGTCGATCCTCCTGCGAGTCTCTCGATCGAGTTGCTTTCCGGACTGAGCTTTCCAATCGATGTTTCCCTGTTGGTTTTTCGAGGAGTAGGCCCGGAGAATCGAGAGCAAATCAAGTAGGTGCCGCAGAGCCCATCAAGCCGGTTCAGTAGCATCCTCTGTGATTACTTGCAGAGCGTGTTTGTTGATAGATGACAGATGGCATGGGAAATCGATGATAGCCTCTCTACGACTGTGAGCTCGGCCTGGGTTCCCTTTGAGAAATTGTGCCCGCCCGAGCCGTCCACACCATCTCGAGGCCTGAGGGAATTCTAGCCGAAGAGAGCTCATGGTCATCCAGGATGAAGCGCCGAGGCCATCTGGAGATGTCGCCAAACAAGCGCCGGGCATTGGAGGAAGGGTGGGGCATATGTGACAAGCGTAGCGGTAGCGTGGGCGATCAACAGGGAGGGTGGCACGAGAGCGAGACATGCAGAAACCTGTCCTCTCGGACAGCGTGAGAGTGAGACATGCAGTGGATCATTGATGGATGACATGTTGACGACAGTTGACGACAGTTGACGACGCTGGTGAATCAAGCGGTTCTGACCTGTCTCTTTGCTCGGTAGCAGGCGGTTGGACGGTGGTGGTCTCTAGACACGGTGGAAAGACTGACGCAGGGGAAACTTGAGAGACAGGATACGATAGAGGTACTGCGTCAAGGAGCAGATGCGTAGCTACTGCGAGGCCTGGTTGAATATGTGAGGGCTCCCATCCGGCACTTGTAGAGTGGGCGAAGTGGATCGTATTGTTCCGTAAAGTTAGAAGTGACCAGGTATCGAGAGGCTATCGGGGGCCTAGGGCTGGGATCGAGTGGATGTTGCGAAGCGTTGGTACCGTATGGATAACTTCGTAATGGGACTCTGCTCTTGTAGTCTGAGCGTTTTGGGTTCAAGAAAGGACAAAAAAGCATGGGAAGAAAACGTGGTGGAGGAGAAGAAAAAAGAGACATCCATGGCTGGAGGAGGCGACCGTTGGCCCCGCCTCACTCCACGGGCCACAACTTCACACGGACCACTGGGCGACTGAGGTGCACGTTCCAGCTGAGCCGTCCTGACCCGCAGGTACGTACCGACAGCCGCCGCGCTAGAGCCATATTGGGGCAGGTGCATTCTAGACCCACTCCCTCGACCGGTCCTTCCTGCTTGCTGCTCCAGTGCTCCTTCGTCTTCGGTCGCCATCGATGCTTCCCGTCCAATTCTCTTCTTTCCTTTCCAGCGTCGGGTCACGGGGTGTCTCCTTCCATTCCCTCTGCCGTTCCTTCCAACAATCAATCTTCAAACCTGAGGCTTTCCCATGAGGTATCAAGTATCTTGTATCATCATTTCACGCTCTTGCCATTCACGGCCATTGTCCCGTTCTCTCGTCCATTCCGGGTCAAAGTCCACCCTATTGCCGTTTCCCATTCGCAACCTGAAAATGTCAACCAAACACCTCCAGTCTCGGTCTCTCGCACCAATTCTCTGTACGCCGCAATTCATTCGACAGTGACATACAGCGTTACCCCTGCCTCTCTTTTCGTCGATAACAGCAAACTTATAACTTTTGCCTTCTTACTCATACGACCAGGTCTAACTTTTCTACGGTAGTCCATACACTACTACTGTCCGGTCTCGTCCTCTGATCTTTCTCACTCGTTCGTGGCGGGGCGGGCCATCCCCCCGTGTGCCCTCGGTCGCTTCAAGGGCATTCCCAGCCGCCAGCTTTGGGCGTTTGCCTCCCCGCCATCTCAAGTCCTCAACTCAAGCTCGTCCAGTGTCGCCGAGACTCGTCACTTAATCCCGCCCCGAGTCCCGTGCCCTTCAACCCAAACGAAACTACCGTCCTCGCCGTCGGTGAAGCTCGTGGGGTACGACGTACCGACGTAGCGCATACCAACTGGCGGTAAGCACAGCCATGTTGCTCGCCTAATCTGAGTCACACGCTTGTTCCCGGGTCCTCCCACGACGGCACATCACGATGATATCCCTCTCGATTGTCAAAAAAAGCAGCAACATCGAGTTCGACATGCCGGCAAAAGTCTGTTTCCCCCCCTGGGTGCCCCTCTTCATTCTTCTTTACTCCGTTCCCCCCGAAAGGCCAAAGGACCAGCACCCAGAATCCCAGACGATGCAAAGGACCCCGAATGCGGACAAGGGCACGACAAGGGTTTGAGGCCCAATGGCAACGTCGAGTCGCCTTGTCAAGGCTCTTTTCTGCTGCCATAGGACGAGCCGTGTATGCAGAGTCCAGGGCGAAAAAAGCTACCCGCATGGCGGCGCAGTTGCAGTAGCAGCCAGCTTCGCGCCTCATGGCCGTTGATGCCAGGCCCCCCCCCCCCGCCCGAGTCCCCGACGTACGCAGTATTACTATTCTTCTCGTCATTTTTGGCCCATCAGGTATTAACGGGTAATAGGTAGGCGGCCCAGCTAGGTATCTCATTCTTGTCTATTTTGCCATTTTTGACCCCTCCACCTACTCTCCGTACCCTGCACACATCGGCCTCTCATCGCCTTGCGTGCCGTTCTCAGCATTTTCCCTCTCGTCTTGGCTCCAGTCCATGCCTCTAGCCCCTCTTTCGCTCCTCGAGTCTCATCTGTGTCCTTCTCCTGGGTGTCTTGAATTCTCCTCAGCGGAGCCTCCCCCTATGCATCGCATCTGCACACTCCTCAGGCTGTTTCCACCGCGATAGGAGTTCGCATATTGATGTTCATCCAGCTCGCATCCGCTACTTCCAAATCCCCCTTTCCGTCTTTTCCAGGCGTGCCGGGGGCTCTTCTAGTTCCTCTTTGCGTTTCCTCTATCTGTCAGGATGAGTCAACATATTAATTGGCCCAAACCGCTGTCTGATCTGCTCCCTCCTGCGCGCGCTCCCTGTTAATGGCTGCCCAATCCCGAAGCGCCGTGCTCGGCGGTTGCAGCAGCTCACCTGACTTGAGCCCATGATGCGCGATTCTTGACCGCCGCAAGACCATGTCTTAAGAGGAATCTTAGTGTGGCCTGCGTAGGTATCACATACCTCGACATGTAGCAAGAGCACAGCCAGCCCGGCATTCTAGAGACAAGGGTATAGAAGCCATACGTAGGTGAAGAAGAAGCAACTAGCATTCGACATCTCATCTACTCGCACAGATAGGTAGATGCAGATGCAGCGATGCGAGAGATGGGATAGGCACCTTACCTACGTAGTACGTACACACACGCCCCAAAAAAGGTACCTTGGGTTGGGTACTTGGATCCAACCCCCTTGGTGTGCGTGTGTGCCTCGCATTCCCATCCCGGTACATCGTGCAGAAAGTACTGCTCCTGTCCCATCGTCTGCACTCTTGCTGCTAGTCATACCCCTGCTCGCTGGACCCGGCCGCCGTTGTCCATTCACGTCGTTCCAGTAGACTGGAAAGCAACACGCAAGTGCAAGATACCTGGATAAAGGTACTTGTTAAGAGGTAGATGTTCTGGGCGAGGTGGTGAGTGCCTACCCCGACGTATATACAATCCGATGTTGCCTTCTTTGGCTTCGACTTGGCTATTGCTACGTAGCTGTAGCTTCTCTCTTTCTTTTCTTATTTTGCCTCAATCTCAGTGCTCCTTGTTCCTTGTCAAGCAAGCCCTCTTGCCACGCTGCTTCACGTTTCCCTAGATCTATCTATCCGTCGTCTCCCATCTCCATATTCCTATCCGCCCACCCTCATCCTCACTCATCCTTCTCCGCATCTCACACTTATCTCGACGACAACTCCCACCCAGCGAACCGGCACAAAACGTTTTGACTTGACTGTCTTCTCACGAAACGACACATCACTTGCAACCTCTCGTGTCACCGTCATTCCTCTGTCACAAGAAAGAGGCTGGCTCATCTTTTTCAGCGGCGCCAAGGTACTATCTTTCTGCCTCTCTATCTGCCTGTCTAGACTCAAGCCGCGGCCTTTTCCCCCACCATCTTCGAGACCCCTCTGAACCCCTCCACCACCACTACAACCATCCCGACCGAATCGGCTCTCCCACGGCAGCCGCGCAACCTCGCACCACCCCACCACTTCACACCCTCACTATCACAACCCGGAATCTAACCCCCTTCTTCCGCGCCAGCCTTCCTTGTTGACAATTTTTTCTCTCTCCTCACTTCTGTTTACAACCGTTCTGGGAGAATCATAATTTCACATCTGCTGTGCCGCCCTTAATCCTTCATCTTTTCCATATAACACTTCCCTACGGTTCTTGGCCGAGCCTGATCTGATATCCTAAATCAAGGAACCTTCCTGGGACCATCATCTGTATTTCTGCCATTCTGTTAGTCAGCCGCGCCCAAAACCAGCACTCGTTCTCTAGCCTGAGATCTGGGTTCTAACCCGTCGTACAGCATAAGCCTTCGGGAAACACGACGTCGAACCGGCATTGAACCGTCAGATTTGACCGAGGTCTAAGCACCAGGTTACTCTCGCCGCCGCCTCTTTGCCTCTGAGAGCCTCGTCGCTGACATATACCCAGAATTGTAAACATAATCGTGGCAGAGATATGAGATATTAAGGTTGCTGGATTATGGTGGACAGGCCCAGAGGATTCCTCGAACCCGGGATATCATGGCAACCCGACGCATGGCATCCGGCTTGCCGAGCCGCCCAGATGAACAGTTACGAGCGAGAAGAGCCGCTGCTGCCGGATATATGGAACCGAGTGAAGATTTGCAGAGCGCGCCTCGGAGGATTCGCAGAGAAGGAGAGAACATTCGGATCGCCATTCAACAGCCGGTACAGACGAAACCCGCACTGATACCATCGACTGCCTCTACGCGGCGACCATCCATTCCGATGCCTTCTACCCGACCACCTTTAACTCATCAGACCCAGTCATGGAGTTCTAATAGCACAGCTCCCGAAAGACCCAGCCATGCTCCGACCATGTCTGGCTCTTCGACATCTGGCCAGTCTCAATCGAGTGTTGCCAAGCCGAAACGCAACGTACTGCGGAGAAAGCAGTCGTCTGTCACCCAGAAGACACCTAGTCTGCGCCACGATTCGAATACCGACTCAACTCGAGGAAGCTCATCTTCTTCAGCTCCACGATCCCGGTCTTCAATGGAACCGGCTCCCTACCACTTTGACCGCGGCATGACCGAGAGCCCAACCGAAATTCGCATTGCACACGTTATCGATCTGCCCAAGACCCAAGCGCAACCTGTTACAATCTATCCCGAGCTTGATCGATACAGGGAGATCTATGGGCGACCCTCTACGTCTTCAGAGGGGTCTAGCGTTGATTTCCTTCACAGGCTGGCCACGCACGATCTTCCACCGCCGACGCCCGTTTTTTCCGGCAACAGCAGCCAGCTGAGTGCTTTCAGTGGCAGCCCTTCCACGAGGTTCTCTGAATCAACCAGCCCGGGTCCATACAGTCGTGACACCACTCCCACCTCCATGTCGTCACAGTCGCCAGGGCTGGTAGTCCCGATGCGACTGCCTGTACCCCGAGTGAGGCAAGTGAGTCCGGCGGTGACGCGGCCACCAGTCGCCCGGAGAAGAGCCGGCAGCATACCGAATGAGATGGAGGCGTTTAGCGCCGACCGCCAAGGGCTTGCCGCAGTACGTGAGTCTCTGACTTCGTCATCGTCAAACTCTACAGTTCGAGAAGGAGACCGCAAAGATTCCAAGAAGAAGAAGAAGAGGTTGTCGCCCCTACCCCCGAGCCCCCCGCCACGGAAGTCGTCCCAGAAGTTCGCCAAGGATCAAGACAATGACGAGTCTCCATCAAAGGCCTCCCGAGAGCCGGCCGTACCAGTCTTGACAGCCCCGTCGCCTATTCAATCTCCTCCACGACGAACACCAGCCGCTTCACCTAGAGCAACCCCACCTGCTCGTCCCAGCCGAGACAACACCCCGGCCTTGCAATCCCAGCTGTTTGGTCCCTTGCCCATCATCCATAGCAATCTATCATCGTCCTCCCTGTTAGGCGAAAGACGTGGGCCGGAGCCGCAGCCGATGTCGCGGTCGACGACTCCCTTATCATACCCAGACAACCCGCAACAAACCTCTCGTTTGCCGGTGGGCAGGGAGGCTACACCCGCCCCGCGGTCGGCGAATGCCGTGGACACGAAGAAGAAGAAGGACAGGACCGTCACTCGTACCCCGAGCCCCGGTACATCGACATTCTCTCGGTTCCCCTTCTTTGGTCGGCGGTCTAAAACAGCACCGGAGGTTCCCCCCCAGGTCGATAAGAAGGACAAGCCGGCTCGTAAGGGTCCAGCCGCCGGCACTGGGCACGAAGGTTACGGACGCCTGGGAGGTCTCCGAAGACGAAGCGGAAGCTCAACAACAAATTTGGCCCGCCCGAGTCTGGGACCTGGTTCTTCTCAAGACAGCCTCAACAGCAATCAACCGACCGACCCTTTCTTGCTGGAGCGTATGAACCCCGTTATAATTTCCGGCGGAGGACTCATCGACAACAGAAATAACAGTGTAGACTTGGACCGGTCAGAGAGCTATCAGAGCCTTGGATACTCCTCGGAGGTGTCCACAACTTCCAGCATTGGGCGAAGCCTAGCCCCATCAGCCATTCCTCGAGGTGGTCCTCATCCCTCCCTTGGTCGTCGTCGGCCTTCCGACAGCAGCGACTCCGAGGCCGTTACCATGAGGCCCACCTTGGCGTTCAGGCGATCTGTTCAGCGTTTGCGTTCGTCCCCGGACCAGAGTCCGCTGAAGCTACCTCAACCCATCAACACCACTGGAATCACATCGCCGTCAATCAACAGCCACGATACAAGCATTCTCACGGATGATTCGCAATTCGAAATGCACAGAGAGGTCATTCGAGGCCGCATTGCTGCAGCCACTGCGACAACCCCGAAGAAGCTCACCAAGCGTACACGCTCTCCAAGGAAGTGGAATCTCTTCAGCCGATCTCAGAGCCAGCCAAACACCAAGAAGTCAGACAAGGATGCTGTGCCAGTGGCTGCGACCGTTAAAGTAGTACAGCACAAGCCTGCTGCATTTTACACTCTGATGGACGGTTCCGAGCAGGAAGACATTGGTACACCAGACGTCGAAGAGATCCTTCGGGAGGCTGAAGTCTTTGATCTCCCATCTCCGCCTGTTCTGAAAGAAAGACGAACATCCTCTGCAAGCCAAAGCAGCAGAAGAGAATCCTTGAGCAGGCTTTTGCAGCCAACCAAGTCATCGCAGGCTCGGAGGAACTCGGCGACTGCCAGGTCAACTTCGATCCCAGCAATTCGGTCCATGAAACCTGCCCACACACCTCAGTCTAGTGTTTCGAAGCCAACTGAACCGCGCCCAAGTCGCCTGCCTCAAGTCGGTCGGATTCCCAAGGTTGTGACCTCTCGGCCAGAGCACACTTCCTCGAGAAGCTTTTCCCGGCCTTTCAACAGGATCAGCGTGCAAATGCCGCCGCAAGCTGCAGGCTTCAACCCCGACTTTGTTGCTTCGGGTGCGACCCCGACCCCAGAGCTTTCTACACCTGAACTGTCTCGTGGAGAATCCACCGCGACCAGCGACAAGACCAACTCGGACCCTCGTTCTTCTCTCGTTCCCGTCAAGACGCCCGAGATGGTTCAGATCGCTAGAGAGTTTTTGGCGTTTTCTCCTCGAAAGAACTCCGAGTGCACCACGAGCACTGATTCCAGCAGCCTCGGCATGTACACCCTTGCAGATGCCATGGCTTACGTGCCCGATCCCAATGCCCCCCTTGTTGAGGACGAGATCTGGGATGAGTACAATGATTTGATTGGCGACGTACCACCATCTGCGACATCCTCAAAGGGCGCCCCGTTCCATCTCGAGACCCACAGCTCACGAATGTCAAAGAGATCGTTGAAGCCTCTCGAGTCTCCTACCATTGCGCCGTCTTTGAAAACTCTAGAGAAGAACATCGAGGTCGAAAAGGGCGCAACAACGTCTAGTGTCTATTCCGCTGACATGACTGAGCGTCTCAAGGCTGCCTTTGCGTTGAAGCCTGAAGGGGAGATTCTCGTGCCCGTTGGCGAAATTCCTGCTAGAGTCATTGACCGCGAGAGCACCGAGCTGGCACGCAAGGCGACAGCCGCATCTCAGAGAAGCAGTGGCTCGTCTCGGAGATCACGACAGTCCGACTGCAGCTGCAAGTCTTCCGAGGACGAGTCGCCGCTCTCTCAAGTCAACCTCCGCGTCGGTTCGATGACGGTCAGCAAGTGGTTGTCTTTTGGTCATGTGCTTTTCAGCCCGGCCCGGGACCAGCTTTTGGACGTTGTCGGCTCGCTGAAGCGCCACTCTATTCTCGTTGTTGATGGTCTTGGCAATGACGACTGGTCATTCTACGCAGCGGAGACGTACCCTGCCGCCACCTTCTTTAACTTGTCACCCCGAGCTCCGTTGCCAGAGGAGCATAAGAACTCATCAAGCTTCCCTTTGAGTCCGCCAAATCATCATCAGACTCAATACCTCTCTCAGATGGACAAGTTCCCTTTTGGCGCAGAGAGCTTCACCTCGGTGGTCTTCCGCTTCCCCGCTGCCGCGCCCGAGTCTCACTATCGGAACATTGTTTCGGAAGCACGTCGGGTTCTCAAGCCGGGTGGCTACCTGGAGCTCTCGATTCTTGACGTTGATCTCAATAACATGGGCAACCGGGGAAGGCGTACTGTCCGTCGATTGAAAGAACGCATTCATGTGAACAACCCGGAGACCAGTATTGGCTCATCCTCCGACCTCATTCTACGCCTGCTTGGGCGCAAGGGCTTTTCCGATGTCAAGAACTGCCGCGTCGGCGTGCCGGTGGCGAGCGTTGTCACCCGATCAGAGAGCGGCAGCAAGAAACCACCTGTGTCTAGCACCCGTAAGGCCAAGGAAGTTCGCAGTCTGGCCGAGATGATGAATGAAGATGGCGACTCGGCTGATGAGAACATCACCAAGATGGTGGCCAAGGTGGGCCGGTGGTGGTACAGCCGCTGCTACGAGAGCGCAGCTGGTACCATTAGCAAGAGCATCTGGTCTGATCGTGCATTACTTTCCGAGTGCGAGGAGCTACGAACAAGCTTCAAGCTCATGGTCTGCTACGCGCGTGTACCGGATAGGGCGCGAACCGCAAGTATCTGAGTTTTCCAGGTCTCTTCATTCCTTGTCTGTTTCAGCCTGGTTTCCTTACTACCCTCATTTCCTACCGCAACGCACATGACCCATTCCAACGTATCTCTATCACAAGGGCATTATTACTGGGGCTTTGGAACAGAAGAGGAAGCATCGCAAGATCCAAGAGGGCGCAAGCCCATCGTCGACTCTGTCCCACGAGGAACTGAGTCTTTCAACCCCTTTTACACAACGAAGCAGAGCAGCCGGTGAACACAGCACGGCGTTTGCGACAGGGCTTATCTCATCTATCCGCTCTTGGCTGAGTGGATTTGGACAGTCCTTCCATCATCCCTTACTGTCATATTTTCCTTGTCATTTATACGCAAGCCATCACTGGCGAAATATGTAACACATAGTACGGGGTTTTGAGATCCGTGGTCCTGTATTTGTCGGCTGGCTGTGCCATGGCGGGAACGCCACTTTCTCTTCTCTCATCTATCACTTTTCAACACCAAAGCAAAAGGCGCGATATTAATTTTCTGTTTCTTCAACCTCATCAGCGATAGGACACTCTTTGGGAGCGGATTAGCAAGGAAAGCTGGACTGGACTGAATGTGGAACGCATTATGTATGGTGCGAATAATGTGATGGCTAGGCCGTTGCGCTTCTCTTTTGGGTTGTCTCTCTTTCTTTCTCGCTCAATCGGAGCGCTGGGTTTTGGGACGTGGTATCATGGCAAGGAACGAAGTAAGAGAGACAGAGGATGAGAAGTGTGGTGGCTCAAGGCCCAATTGGGGAGGAAATCAGAAACGAGAGTACGACATGATGATTCATGTTGGATGTCTGGACTGTCCTTGAAGCGTTTTGCATGGCACGAGATACCCCAATCTTTTGGTAGCGGAAATGAAATGATCTGATTCTGATTGTCTGTCGCTTCACTTGTGATGTTTGCATCTTGATGCCCATGCCAAAATAACCATTATCAGTGATACCAGGGCCGAACGTCGTGCTTTCCATGTCCAGATAGTCGAGGAAGGTGAAGCCGAAGGCCAGTTGCCTGGGGGTACCTTCCTTTCCCTTGTCAAGATCGCACATTCGTCGCTTCCCAGACTTGAGAACTTGATCGCTTTTGGCAACAAAGTCCCTCGCTCTTGCCTCGACTAGCCACATACCCCTTACTTAATTTAAGCCTCTCTCTTCCAAATCCTCACTCCTCTGCACCTTTTCTTCTTCCACGCATACCCAATAACCAAATTCACTCTCCTACAATACTTCACGCAAACTTCTCCAGAAGATTACCAGTTGAGCCAGTGCTGAAAAGTCGAAACCGTTACCCGACTTCTATACCGTCAACGATGAGCGAACGAGTCAGCGGCAAGAGAAAGGCCTCCGAGTCCGTCGGCGACATGGAAGACGACTATGAGCGATACGGTGGCGAACAGCCTCCTCGCGACCACAAGAAAGCCACTGACGCTATGGAGAAACCTATGGCTGCCGCTGAAAAGGCTACGGTCTCTTGGGAAGAGGCAGCAGATGTCTTTGATAAGGCTTCATTGGCCTCCCAGGAGGCCGCAGCCGCGCTCGACAAGTGTGCCGCCGCGAACACTGTGAACCCTGCAAACACTGCGACCGCGACCGCCCTCCAGCGAGACATCTAAGATGATGAAGGCTTTGATTGAAAGAGAACAGACGCTGTGCATTGTTGGAGATAGTATCTGGCGAGAGGGGATTCTGATGAAGACCGTCGGCGTCCATGGAACGCTTGCAGACGCGGAGAGTCTCGCTCAGATGCAAAAGTTGGCAATGAGCGCGATGCCTGGTGCTGAGAACGTTGGCATTGTGTTCCTGTTTTCCATGGTACGTTGTGGTGTCGATTCTTTGCCCTTCATCTCTTTCAGTTCTTGTCTTGTGCTTGTCATCTTTTCTTCTCTTTCTTGTCGTGGCATGTCACTAATTCTGATTCTTCGGACGATAGACTGAGTTGGTTGAGCCCCGGGATAATTATCAACCTCCAATGAACACCCGGCTTGTCTCGGCTAGCAGATCCAAGTCTAGGAGCAGCATTCTGCTGGAGAGGCTCCTCGCAGGTCGCAGGTGAGAGCAACATCGACCTGGAAAACCCAAGGAACATGTGCCTAAACTGAACTCGGAGGGGGATCTCTCTGATGCCGAGATCAATTGAGTAATCGGAAGCGTCAAATGACGAGGAACACGGAAACGAAGATGCCGATGTGCTAGCTTCGGTGGGAGAACGAGGACCCCCTTCCGACCGACTTGGAATACCGGAGGGTAGATTTCGAGGCGAGGCGACTTCTCAGCGGCACGGGGTATTTGCGGTTGCGAAATTTGAAAGCTTTGGGGCATGTCAGGCGACGCAACTTGCTTTTCGAAAGATAAATAGTGCTTTGAGGCGTTCGATCATTGAAAAGGGGTCGGTTACCTACCATAATCATCATAGATAGACTTGGTTCGTCACAAGCCAGGCAAGCAAATCTTCATTCAGTTGATGCGAAGCTCCGAACGCTTGAAATGACTTGAAAACTTGTAATGTTTCTTGGGAGCCCCAGCTTCCAGAGCAAGCTTATCTCTAGAATCGACGGTGTCAGCATTGGCTTGAAAATCACCGATTTTTGCTTCGTATCCCATCAAATTCTAGATGGCGTCACTACATCTATCTCTAGTCTTTCTCTAAATTGGCTCTGTTTCGAGATTATCCATTGGCTGATATTAGGGGAAATAGGGTCCGATAAATCGTTCGTTGTTCCCCCTTATATGTACGTACACATGTACTGACGCAATTTAGCAGTTGATAGCTACTTTGCGAAAGCTAGGAAGATGTTCCGATTAAAAGTATCACTGTAGTATAACCGGTAAGTTGCTAATGATTTTTTACTTGACTCCCCTCACTTTGAGTGTGTCAACCATGATGTTGATACAAGAACATCCCGTCTCGTTCTCCATCATCACCTCAGCCTGCGGAATAAGGCCACCTCTCCGAGCTAAAGCAGCAATATCAGGTTGCCAACAGTCAGATCTGGCTCACGTAAGGTTATATTCAGGAGTATTCCACATCCTACCCATTCACCGCCTCGCCCCATATTTGGAAAATCTCAAAGGTGAAGGTAAAGCCCTTTCTCCCACCGGACCTCCTGCCCGGCGCGGTTTTGATACGCGTCTGTTGTTTTCCTTCATCCCACGCCTTTTGCGGAATCCAACCTTTCTTCATACTTCACCTCTTCAAACAAGTCAGACCAATTCCCGCGCAGAGGACTCGGAATTCTGATCTCTTCCTTCTTCACTTCAGACCGCGGTCGTACTTGCCTCCTTCGCGTCTACAACCTCCCTACTTCTCCACCTCCCTTCTTCACCCAACACTCACAATAAACTCCATCCCACGACAGCTTCTTCAGTCATCACACAATCCAACATCGACGGAGTGATCAGAAAAAGTACACCATCCCTTCATCAATTCCTCATCACTTCCTTGTCTTCCTTATCCCACATTCTCACTCTTCTCATCCCACTGCGAAGATGAGTGCTCCCAGACGCATTGCCTACGAGGTCTTTGCTACCCCCATCGACCTCCCTCGAAGAATCGCGCAGCCCTTTCCTCACGACTATCAGCGGGGTCAGAGAGAGGCCCAAGCCCAAGAGAAGGTCGACAACAACGAGAAGATCGTCGGCGAGACCGCCAGGATGGCCGAGACGCTCACAAAGGGCGCCTCCCAGACCCAGTGCGTCTTCAGTGACGAGGATGTCATCCCCGGCACCAGCATTGCTGGCGTCTCTGGCCGGCTTGGTGACGCCAAGCTTGTCTCGATGCAGCGAATGGTCATGGACTCTGTTCCTAAGGGAAGTCAGGTCAAGATCATCTTTATCATCTCTAAGGTATGTTCACACCTCTCACTACTCCTACTCGCCGCCCTTTATTCGGGTTGTAGTAACCTGCGATACCGCTGCTAATGACTATTGGTGAAAAAGGAGAATGGTAATAACGGTCAAGCTGGAGCTGCTAACAATGCCGTCGCTGCGGAAGCCGGACCTGCCGATAATGACCGCATTGTTCAGGGGGACAATGCGGTCCAGGACCGTATCCGCGTCCAGATCCGCCAGCACGGCCGTGGCCAGGCTGGTGGTATCCAGGCTGACGAAAATGATGAAGAGGATGACATCTCCCCGCGGCCTAGAAAGCGCCGCCGTCTGGGCACTCCCTTCCCAAGAGCTTCCCGCCGAGCCATGGCCCCCATGCATGTGTCGCCGGGAGACGTCAAGGCTGAGGAAGACGAGGACGAGGACAACAGCGTCAAAAATGAGGGCGAGAATCTTGAGGAGCGCGACGAAGAGAATGGCGGCCCCCCGCAGCAGCAGGGAATCCCCGGATTTGCTCTACTCAGCCCTGCTGAGATGCTGGCTACAGCTAGGCGAGAGCGACTCATGCACGGAGACGAGCAAATCAAAGACGAGCCCAAGAAAGAGGTCAAGGAGGAGAATGACGCCGAGGCCCTATTCTTCTCTACACCCGACGAAGTCATTGATCGCTTCAGTCGCAGCCATCCCAGCCTGCAGGCCATGGATAGAGAGACTCGATCCCTCTACGGTCTTCCTTCTAGCTTCCCGTCCCCAGCTAGACCCGCCCATGCCTCTCAGCAGAACAATGCCTCTGACAACGATGATGGTGATGATGACAACAACAACAACAACGAGGAAGAATCTTTCCAAACAAGATACGCCGGTATCTCCTTTGACGAGTTCCTTGCCGGACATGCCGGCCCCTTCTCCTCTGAGGACCCTTATCCTCGTCTTCGGAGCTTGAACGACGGAACTAACTACCCCGGATATCACTAGCACTCACTAGCTTGGACGCACGGAAGAATGGAGGAGTACTTGCGGAACTGGACGATTTGGTGTGCGTGGATGGATTCGCACTTGGACGGACAGACAAGTGCCCTGGACTTTTTAATGGTGCCTCACAAGGAATGCATGGTGTCAATTGGACTGAGGAATGGCCTGTTGCTGGTATTGGAACAAGCAGATTTTGATAAGGGCTCGCACACAAAGAAGAACGCGAGCTAGCTCACCCTTAGCTATTAATTCACTCTGAACTTGCAATCCTTTCATGAACAGTGCTTTGAATTATCCTTTTTCAATTACACACACATGTATATATATATACTTATATGTATACGTTTGGCGGCAGCTAATCCGTTTATCTGGCATTTCCAAATGTGGTGCCCGTTGCGTACATCCTCCGAATGCTGCCAGGATCATGATACACGGTAGGGCTCCCTGAAAACATGTTGCCGATACCAAAAACGTGTATAGTCCAGGACTTATCATTTGGGGACTTGTATGAACCAAAGTCATACCAAGCATTGATAGTTCCGTTGGGTTTGGTGCCAGTGATGATTGAATAATCTGTCGGGCGGCGTGGGCAGTGGCCGGTCACCTCAATCCCTGGCGATGCCATCCGTATTGTCCAGATGAGGTTCGAATGTCGATGCAAGTGTTCTTATCCCAGATCTGCTCGGGTGTTGGGTCCGAAATATGGTATAAGACGGCGGTTAATATCGTCGATGCTTGAAGAATGGCAAGCCCTGTCCGTCTTCAGCTCTTCAAACCGCGATTTGGGACGGTGGTCACACAGGTCATCAACTGCTCATGTTTGATGGGATGGTACGAAGAAACAAATAAAAGTCGATAGTCTCGTTCAGTTCAACGTTCGGAAACATTACGGGCCTTAACCACGCGCGCTCCATCACAACACCACATCAGTGGGTGGACCTCCGGAAGCGCGCACCGTCGTTACATCCATGGCATCCTCGCAGTCTCATACAATCCAAGAGTTGGGCCCATATCTATATCAGAAAGACTAGCTCCCACCTTCTGCCGGCCAAAGCATTCCACTCCTCCTTAGTCACGGTAGCACCTCCTACTCGGATCCTCGCGCCTGAAGGCTGCTTCTCCACCATGTAAGCAACCAACTCACTGCGAGATCTGGCATACTCAAAACTACCTCGTCCGACAACTATCAACTCTGCTTCGTCAGATGCAGTAGCCATGTGATTGGGATGATCCCACACTGCCGTCACGGTGTTCCCTCTATGATCCCTTAACAACTGGACTCTTTTGGGCACTTCATCGTCTTCGTCCTCGCTTTCGTCCTCATACTCTTCATCGTATCCCCCCTCGTAACGCTCTCCTTCTCCATTTCGTCCCCCCTCCTCGTCTCGTTCTCTCTCTTTCTGGCGTGCATTCAACCTTGCCACATTCGGGTCTAAAAGCAAGGTGCAGCAACTAGTCCAGAAGATCAAAAGTACTGGTCTTAACTCCGGAACGAGGAGATATGATGGGGCATGTTCCATGGACACCTCACGAATGGCAGCTTCTCTCCATGTAGGCGGCGCCCTGCGGTGGGGGTTGTTGCTGCTCTCCATCTGAATGAAAGACTGGTTCTGTTCAATGAGGACGAGCCAGTTCTTCTCGCCGTCAAGCATGTAAAATTCCAGACCGGCGTGCTCCCCTACCAGACTGCCAAACAAGTCGTCGAACAAGTTTGGGCCTATCCAGCCAATCCAGGACCAGCTCGGGTACGGGACCTGTATCGTATCATGTTTGGTGGCTATTGTGTAAGTTGCTTTGCGCCTGCGAACACTGCTGACATTGTGGTCTGTTGACCATGTAATTGCCACACCAAGAAATGACTTCGGCAGAGCCCAGGTGAAGCCGAAGCCGCTAGTGAGCTGAATGGAGGCTAGAATTCCCTCAATGGCGGCTAGGGCGTCTCCATCGTAAGTCAATTCCCTTTTACCGTAGTCGGACACCAAGCTCTGATACATCCGGTTGATCGATTCTGGATCAGCTTTTGGGATATGAATCCCCTCGTGGTCAAAATTGAAAACGCTGTTGCGAAAGAGGGTGAGGCCACGGTTCACGGGATCTAGAATTTCCCAATTGGCGTCTTCGCGCCAAGTGGCCGATTGACGCTCCCAAAACACCACCTCTTGGGTAAATATCAGAAGCCAGCGGGATAGCAGTATCTCTTGGAAAGTCCATCCTCGTGTCATGTACTTGCTTCGGTTACGATCTGCTGGCGTGAAGCCCAACCCGTCCGGAGGCGGGGCTTTCTGCAGCTACACCCCATTCACGAAGAACGGCCCTTCTGCCGAGGGTCGAGACGAGGCACGAACTCCTGGAAGTCCATCGTATGCGCCTTCTCCGGAGAGGGCGACGATTGTTAACGTAGCGAGCCCGTATATGACTTCCATGAGGGGAATGAAGGTTGCTTTGTCTTGGGGCGAGACTTGAATGATGCAAAGACTGTCGGTCCAGAGGTATCTCTCACCTATCATGCGTGTGACCGTGATGGCGTCCAAAATGGTATCAGGTATCCACGAAGAGTCCAAGGCACCCGGGCATCGCAGTAATTCCAGCGAAGTCCCCTTCAACACCTTGAACTCTCGCTTGCCCCAGACGTAGCTCGGCGCCACCCACTTGGCCCCTGGATTCCGCAGGTCAACGATACACATTGCGTCGACGTCTATGCTGCGGATCATACGGGGCCGTCGCTTTGTGTGAATCGATGTGAGACCGCACGGATCTCCGTGGACGTTGCCGCAAATTCGGTTCCATTCCTTTAATAAGCGGAAGTCGATTTCGGGCGGCCGAATGCGGCCGTAATATGGTTCCAGGTCCAGCCATACGGATGCGTCTCCTTGTGTGTAACTACCGTTGGAGACTTCCAGCAGGTCGCATATATCTGTGACGGTAGGTGGATGCTCTCTGGTTCGCTGATAATACATACTGGCACCGTTCATGCAACGGTTGAGGGTGACTTGCACGTTTCCTGAGCGGAGGGTATCATCGTGTCTTGTATATGCAGTCGCATCCACAACACCGAAAAGTTGTCCAGAGAATGACGCTTGGCCGCTTTCTAGATTATTATGTTGTGTTAGGTTCGGCTAGAATCTTTGGGACCAGGTGTTGAAGAGAGCCGAGATCTGATTGCAGAACAAGCAAACATCCTTGCGATCAAGGACTTCTCGTAATGAAGGGTATTCGTCGCCCGAGCGCCCTTGATCTGAGCTATTTTCAGAGGCTGCGGACAGCTCTTCATCAGGATCGAATCTGTCCGCGTCGTCTTCGTGATCGTCTCCATCGATTTCTTCATCGCCTACAGCGTGTGTGGTCGTTCCGTCAGATCTCACATCTTCGTCAATTGGGTATCCAGCGTCCGTCGCATCCCAGTCCCCCCGATGGTCTAACTCGGGGCGGTGATATCCAATAATGCGGAAGTCGACGGTTTGACAGTAAGAACATAGAGCCATAGAAATCTCCAGCTGGCAATGACGGAATGTCGAGAAGACATGCGTATTTCGTAAAGGGGCGGGAAATTCACAGTAAATTCAAGAAATCGAAGTGAGCGGGGTACAATGGTTTCTTAACGCATAGCTGCGTGACAGTTTGTCAGTATGGTCAGCGGAATATGCATGTATAGGTAAGCAGAAGAGAGTGTTTCATTCGTACTAAAGAGTAGAAGGGATCACCATAGGCTTGTAGGCCGAATGTACCGCAGCCTGCAGGGACAACTCTGCGAAAACCCAGAAGGGAAGTGTCACTTCCGATTATGTCGCACGCTCTAGATAAGTAAGTTGTGTCCTCAAACCCCCAGTCTTTATTGAACATAGCCTGAAATGACCTTAGACTCCAGTTGCGGAGAGAGTGTTAAATAGGTAGTTCGTTGGTGGACTTCGCACGCTTGAGTGCCTGAGAAGCTTATTCCAAAAGATTACCGTTTTCAGCTGTGCCCCTCATGAATTACGGCGTCTATTGGTTGCAGACTTTCGACACCACAAGCGCACAGACCACGTGACTTCTCCTGGAGTCGACGATTGCTTCAGGCTCGTCGATGACGCCTTGGTGTTCAACTGGAACTAAAGATTGAGAGCTCGCAAGTTTTGCGATTCATGCAAATGGGTTACTCTAAAAGTATCTTGATTCGGGTATCCGGCAGCTTCGTGAGATATCCGGTGGCCAACACAACGTGACTGACTGAAGTCCCAAGCACAGGGCGAAAATTGCTGGTTCTGGGTGTAAGCTGCATCGCAACGCATGGCCGGCCGGTCCATCACCGATCGGTATCATTGTCCCATTCGACAGAAATCCAACCCGATGCGTACTAGTAATCCCTAACAAGAGCGATTTAAAGTAGTGTAAGAGTTGATAGGCAAACACATTGGTTCACAAATGTGGAATGGTGAGTGCCAACATGCATGATCCCAAGAAGAGGACTACCCTTGATTAGTGAATGCTCCCCGAGTGAGAAGGCGTCAGCTCAGGGCTGTCCTTTACCTAGCTAATGTATCTTTCTATTGATGGTAATCAGATCATTGCGGTGTAGCTTTCGCTAGACGACCCAGAAGAAAGGTCAGACGCATAAGCTACGGCCAGGCCACTCAACCACGTCTTGTGGTGTTATTATATACGTACGTCCCAACTCTTTAATCTCCTAGAGCAAACGAAACTGCCACGGCATCTTTTTCAATCTAATCTTCACCATCACAATTCAAAACATTGTCACTACAACGCCGACTTCACATACCCCGTGCAAACAGACAATCCCTACACCATGAAGCTTACACTCGCCCTCACCGCCCTCCTTGCCACAACCGCCATGGCCGGAGTGGCCAAGATACGCCACGAGGACGAGACTCTCGAAGACAACTAAAGGCGTCGCGCTGTCAAAGCTGGAATCGACCTCGTCAAAGAAGAGGACATATTCTCGCTTGGCGACTGATCAGTCAAGGCTGACATCGTGTCAGTCAAGGAGGAGGATATCATTCCCTGGGAGATCGCGCTGTCAAGGCTGGCATTGTTCCGGTGAAGGAGAAAGACATCATCTCTCTCGGAGGTTAAACAGTCTTGGTCGATGGTGGCAGTCTTCTCGAGAATATGGAGGCAAGGGAGACTGACAATGACCTGTTGAGCTTCAACCAAGCACATGCTTTACACAACAACATCAGCCATTACTCAATACACGACGCTCAAGGAAACAAGAATCTTCCTCCCCCAGTCTTTCCTACAGCACCATTGTCTCTCAGAACCTGCATCGCTTCCTCGTGACCTCCAACCGCAGCACTCTGAAGCGCAGTCTGCCCTCTCCGTCCCTTGTAACTACAAGCATTCACATCCGCACCGGCCGCCAACAAGCGCTCGATCAAGTCTACACGGCCCTTCTCAGCTGCCGCATGCAAAGCCATCCCATCCCCGTAATTGCCTCCCACGGCGTGGACATCGGCGCCTTCCCGGAGAAGAAGATCGGCGATCTCTAGATGACCTCGCAGACATGCACCCTGCAGAGCCGTGTAGCCCTTATACTTCGCCGAGGCACCATTGACATTAGCCCCATGTTGGAGAAGAAGCTTCACCATCGTCAGGTATCCGCCGCCCGCTGCAGCTTGTAATGCCGTGTACCCCGCCGTCGGTGATGGCGGGGCATTCACATCGGCTCCCAGCTGCAGGAGCCGGCTGACGAGGTGTTCGTGTCCTCGCTCTGCGGCTGCCTGAAGTGCCGTTCTTCCGTTATACCGCGTCACGACAACCGATGACGATGCTGCTGCTGGTGACCCGTGAAGCGAAGGATGCGACACAGGCTTCAATGACACCTCGTCAACTTTCGCCCCAGCGCTGAGCAAGATATCAACGACCTTCTCGTTGCCATGTCCGCAAGCGATCTGCAAGGCATTTCTTTGGAAGTTGTTGCCCCCGCAAAAGTGGATATCGGCGCCGGCGTCGACCAGCATCTGCACGGCCTGTTCGTGGCCGTGCATGCTTGCAGCCTGGACGGCCGTCTGTCCGTAGTACCCGTGCGGGGGCCCGTTGACGGCGGCCCGGTCGGCGGCAAGGATGGCCCGGATTGTGTCTAGGTCTCCGCCTCTGGCGGCGAGCTGCAGTGGTGTCCAGCAGTATTCCTCTCCGTCGTCTGTCTGCAGGGTCGGGTCCCACGCCGCGTCTAGAGGGGGCAGGGATTTTTCCATAGCGGTGTTGAGCCCCGATGAGGTGAGTCAAGGCTTGGAATAGCAGGTGGTATTCATGGGATTAACAGGATCTAGAGAGAACCATCTAGTATCGGGAGCTATCAAGAGACGGGACGTTGAGCTGTGATGCTATCAAGAAAAGCAACAGTCCAGGCCAAATAAGCCAGTCAAATTTATGCCTGAAGATACATGTTGCTTAGTCGTGTGTTGTTGACGGACTGGAACACCTGCATATTGGTTGGCCAAGACGGGCGTTCGATCTTCTTAAATGCGCTAGCTTAACGAATCCTACTGCTTATCGATCGGGATTCGGCACACGTCTATCATCAAGATGCGGGGGTTAAGAACGACATGGATCTGGAGCGAGGTGAACGGTTAGATGAATATCATCGCGATTGTTTTGCAAGCTTAAGCCAGTGCTCCTCTCTCCCATGAACCACCTTCTTTGCCCCATTCAAATTATGCAACGATGTCTGGGAAGTGGGAGAAGCCTTTTCGTGATAAATCCGACTTGTCATCGGAGGACCTCAGCCTAACCGACGAGACGCCCCGAGTTCAACGCGCAGGTCCCAAACGGCCAAGTTTGGAGATTATTGGGAGAAGCCGTTCTCACAGTTGGAATCGTCGTTCTAGGTGGGATAGTCATTCATGATAGAGTTCTTTGAAGAACGGAATCATTGCCATATGGGCCAGTGACTATGTAACCCCGCCTACCCTCTTCATGAAGCAGCGCAAAAACCACCGCCATCACCATCAGTGCCTCAGAAAGCTGTCACTTCCGGGAACACAGCTGGCTTCGGGTCAGATCTAGTATACCCGGATCGACAGATGCTGCTGAATGCTACGAGAATGTGAGAGGTACATGAGAATTGGCAGCAGCTGTATCCAAGTAAGTTATCTAGTATGCCGTTGGGATATGGCTGGCTGCCCCTCTACAGCCAGTCGAGGCTACTTTGCGGCAATCGAGGACAGCGCAGGATACAAAGTCCAGTTCCCTGCAGCAGACATCAGCGGTAGGTTGTCTCCCGAGGACAAGCGCAGCGGCTGGGTGCTCTCAGTATTTTATCGGATTCACTGCATGGTAAGCATTCGACAACCTATTCCGTACTCAGAAGCCTCGCCGCCAAGATACTAACGTGCTAAATCCAGCCGAAGGCCAATCATAATCACAAGGCTCGATATCTCTCGAAAAGTGTTCGCAGACTGGAACCCCTCTAAGTTGGGCCACACATCCCACTGTATCGAGTACCTGCGACAGAGCATCCCGTGATCGGGCAATACCAGGCTGGAAGGCAGCCTGGGATCTCAGTCATGAGCGTGAGCCAGACCACTCCAAGCTCTTCAAGTTTAGCATGGAAGACTGTAATTTGGAGAGCGGGGAGTACTGCCACTGACAATCAAATCACTATACACCAAAGTTGAGAGAACCAGGAGAATTTGACCCCCTACAGTGCTTATGTATTGGCATCTTTATATATCACATTTCACAGCTGGTGGTACCAATATGGTAAGTCACTAGCTGTTGGAAAGGACTTACTACTATTGTTAGGCTTCCGAAACATGATGCAAGACTCTTTCTGTCGTGGATTATCGTGATCATATTGTTGTCTATGTTGTGTTCTCTCCTTTCCATATGCAGCCAGGAATATCCCTCATCTGAGGCACCTGGATTCCTGCATTTTCATTGGTTGGTCTCACCCAGATTATTGTGGGTTCAGATTGCTCGTTCTGGTCCGAGCATACCCGCCCAATTCCACTTCTGCACTTCAACACTTTCCGCAACCTCTGCACGTTTGCAATAAGTCAACCCACCCCAACGAAAATGGTCTCAGATCACCACCACTAAGTACACTCAATTAATTAACTACCTTCCACTGCTACTACAATACACTTACTATTATTATTAAGTAAATCGACCCTTGCGAGTCGACTGGGACTAACGAGACGGTCGCTAGAATCCTCCTAGGCTCTCTATATATCCTTAATATTAACGAACTCAGTATTAGGGTCTATTCACTTGAGTTATTTACTACAATTCCAAAACTTGTATCTAATTAGTACCATAAAACTAGTATTTTATAATATAAGAAATTTATACTAATATCTTAATGAATATAAGGGCCACAAATGTTTTATAAATATATCTAGACTCAGTGATTTTCTACAATTTTAATGATATATTTATAATTTATAAATACAGGTATCATAGCAGTTACGTGCTTAAGAAGTTACATGGTAATAAGAAATCCGCGGGATAAGTGGTGTCCGACCAATCTCCAGCCATGGCCCAACTTCCTGCAGCAACAGAGCATCGTCTTCGGCACCCTCTATAACACTTTTCCCGTCCACAGACGCCGCTTCGAGAGCCGATCATTTCTATCAGGCCTAGGCAAAAGAATCGCGAAGCGCAAGATCACTGACGAGAAGGCCCTCGAGTATTTCCTACATAACAGCGTCGAGGACCCCGTTCGAACGATCATGGACGAGCTCAAGGAGGAGGAAAAAGTCAAAAGCGCGTTCGATCTAGGCAACGGAATCGTCTTCGAGAACCACCCGCATGCCATCAGCGACATAGCCGAGGAAGTCGTCGACCGCAACGTCCCATCGATACCCCCCTCCACACCGCACAACAGCAAAGTCAACCTCAAACAGCTACGAGCCGATCAGATCTGCGTTTACCGATCCGAAAACGACGACGACTCGAGTAGCCGTTCGATGCTCTACGTTTCCGAATATAAACCACAGCATAAGCTTACTGCGCCGCATCTTCGCCTTGGTCTGCGTCCGATGAATATATATAAAGAGGTGGTCAACCGAAAGACCATCCCCACATCAGTTAACCCAGATGCGCGGTTCCAGTATCATGCGGAGAGACTTACGGCAGCCGCTATCTCACAGACCTATCACTACATGATCGAAGGCGGACTCGAGCACGGCTTGTTGACGACGGGCGAGGCGATCGTGTTCTTGAAGGTTGACTGGCGCGAGCCCGAGACACTCTTCTATCATCTAGCGGAGCCGTCTGCGGAGATAGATGCTCACCCTGAGCATGCCCACCTCTGTACGGCAGTTGCTCAGTATCTGGCCTTCAGCCTGATTGCTCTTGGTATGCCAGGCGAGCGACAGCCACATGGACAGGATGAGCGGCGCCAAGCTATGGATAAGCTGAAGACGTGGGCGGAAGACTTCGAGACGACGCTACGATCAGTTCCAGACGAAGAAAGGCAGCCACCGGAGAGCTCGCCGGGATACGAACCGAAGGCTTACAAGGATATCGACAGATCTTGCTTCATCCGAAGGAAGAGGCGAGGACATACGAGGGACGGACATGCCAGGGAGCAAGTAAGGAGGGACACGGATGAATCATCTGAGGACGAGTCGAGACGGGATTTACCAGACACGCCCACTCCAAGGGAGCGGCAGACACGCGGAAGGGACACCGAAATCCGGGGCGATCAAGGTAGCCAGGGAACCCGACGTAGTGAGCGGATCTTAGTGCGTCGGCCTCGAGGTGGTGGAGAAAGGGGAAGAAACGACAATCATACGCCGTATTGCACCCAGAAGTGCTTATTGGGGCTTGTTAGCGGCGGAGTCCTCGACTCAGGGTGCCCGAACAACTTCTTTCATAATAGGAAGCCGAGCGATGGCCGCCGCCACGACCACAGTAGTGGCCGCCCAGATACTCGGCATCTAATCGACCACACTAGATTCGTAAAGCTTCTTAGAGAGCAGCTAGAGCGGACACTAGACGACGGTATAATACCTTTAGGACAAGGCGGTGCGCGGGGAGTCATGTTCAAAGTGAGCCTGCTTGAGTATGGCTATACCTTTATCAGCAAGGGTACAGTACAGGCATTCATTAACGACCTTGAGCACGAGGCAGCCGTTTACGAGCGTCTACGGCCTCTCCAAGGTACATATTTGCCTGTGTTTCTTGGGGCCATTGACCTCCGGCCGCTGAACAGGACTTATTACTACGATCACCGAGTCTACGTGGTGCATATGACATTTCTGTCGTGGGGAGGACATGATCTCTCTACGATAGAGGGCGTAAGTGGTGGAGATAGGCACCTGGAAGCGATGGCAATGCAGTCATTGGGTGCAATTCATTGTCAGGGTGTTGTGCACAAAGACATGCGGAAGGAAAACATGGTGTTTAATAAGGAGATTAACGGGATCATGGTGATCGACTTTGAAAGGGCGCAGCTCTTAAGACCACCTCGGTGTGCACTCACGCAACTCGTGCCGAACAAGCATAGATGGACGGCGGAGGTTGTAAAGGGCAGCAAGTTAACAAAAAAGTCAACAAAGCAAGTTCAAAACCAGGGAATCTTTTTGGGCGATATTGAGATGGTAAAGAACGTGTTTGGGAAGCAATCCACTTAAAAGCCAAGCCTAGGAAATCGAACATCACTCTGCCTTCACAGCCTAGCATGAACTACTTTATCCTCTGTTCTCGTCTATCGCAGCTCGGCCTCTCGGCATAGCTATGCACCATCATGACATAAGAGTTTAAACTTAACCTTATAACTAAATTTAGACTTATATATATATAAAACGTGCATGATAAGCGAGCGGATCAGACAAGCTAGCGGATCACCCGACCAAGACAACACTATCTTTACAACTTTAACCTACGCTAATCTACCGAAAATAATACATTCTTTAAATAAAGAAGCCTAGATACTCCTAGCATTTCAGGCTATTAAAAAAACCTAGAAACTAAGTATTCAAGTAGCAGCTAAGATATACTTAGTACTGTTTTTAACGCTACGTGCCTATATAAAAGGAAGAGCCTCACGATATAAAACTTTACTTATCTCTAGGAATTTAACCCCTTTGGAAGAGGATAAGCTAGTTAAGTATATCCTCGACCTAGACGCTAGATCTTTTCCTCCTCGGCTTTGTAGTATTAAAGAAATAGCGAATTAATTACTCACTAATTGTAACGCGCCTCCTATTAGGAAGCGATAGGCTTTAAACTTTGTAAAGCGACAACTATAATTATAAACGCGTTATTTTCGCAAGTACGATGTTACGAGCAGGACAAGGCAACCAACTGTGGCACAAAGCAAAAGCTTCGATAATGATGATGACTCCGGCATCATTGTCTCTTGTTCTGCATTATATAGCTACGCGCCCACAGTGACAAGTTGCGGCGGGCGTAACATACGACTATAAGAGGGCCTAATACAAAGATCCAGATATAATAAATATATAGTTCTCGCTTATAACAAATATAATTGCAAAGTATAATGTTGTGGACTTAGACATCTATAATTTTAACAAGACTGGCTTTATAATAAGCTAGATATTAACTAGAATAACTAGTTATAATTAGTACCAAAAGGCGTTCAAATACGAAAATGATATAGCCCAGCAACTGTAAATAGGTTATACTCATTCAGGCCATTAGCTCGTTGGGCTACAACATTCTACTATATATTATCATTATAAGCTAATATTACCTCTCTACTTAGTATATAGAATCCGGTCTCTTATATAACTAGGTCATCGTAATATTTAAAAATAGATTAATAATAAATAAAAGAGGCCTAGATTAGGCTCGGCACTTTAAATAGTTGTTAGAAAGGTAAATCTTTTACCTTATTATTTGCCTTATCATTCATATTACGTAAGCATATTATATAGCATATTAATCTATAATAGTTATAAATTAATATGGATATTGATTGTGTAAGCAACATTAGTTATGTAAGCTTACGTGAGCGAAAAAAGGCACTGGAAAGTAATAGAATGCGCTGGAATTTACTTGAAAGGTATTACGTATTACGATTACGCATTCACTTACGTATAACATGCTTATTAATTATGATGTAATTAATAAGCAATGAAATATTTTAGTTGGAGGATCTTATGCCTATATAAGAGCATCTTTTTACCTACTTAGACCTTTTGTTAAGCAAGCAACTTCTTATATAATAATCTAATTATATACTCTCTTTACATTTACATACCTCTTTTATATACGCTTAACTACCCCTATATTTATATATTCTTGTTTCTATATGAATATTCACCATTTAATATTCTTATATAAGAATATTACTACTTACCTCTTAAAGCTATCGTGCCAGAAATTTATATATTTAACTAAGAGGTTCTAAAGAGCCTCCCGGGCCTTTTATATCTTTTTAATAATAGCCTGCAGACTTGGTATCGTCTCTAACTCTAACTCGTTCAAATCGTCTTTAATACATTACGAAGTTTTAAATCGCTCCTTGGCAATCGCGTTTTCGGACATATCGTCCCGGTTTAAGCGACGGTGCCCTATTGGCGGAGGGCCTCTATATTTACCGGTAACGTAGTAAAAAGGTAAATAAGAAGAGTCTCTAGAGATCGGGAGGATAGAAGGCTATAATAACAGCGGCAGGTCTAATTATTATAAAGAAAGCAGATTTCCATTTATTTATATCTTTTACGGAAAGTAACAGTACTCCCCGAGAGGCTTTCTAGCTCCTTCTTAGCCTAGCTAAAGTAAAGTAAAGAGATAAATACCATATGTTCTTTATTACTTAAGGGTAAATACTACCCTAGCGCAATATCGAGCTAAGGGTAAGGATAGACGTAATTCTAATAAACTAGCCCTTAATTACTAAACCAACTTCATAAGTTATAAGAGGTTATGCAAATAGCTAAGGAACCAGCGCGCCGTTAATAAACCCGATATAGTCAGAGACGGTAAAGGGGGGACCGGCCGCTTACGGGGCCGTTCTAGCCGTTAAAAAACGGGACCCATAATTCTCGGTAGTCATCAGCAACCCGGCTATCACGACTGCCCTCATTAGCTTATCTATAGGAGAGCGGACGGGATCCCGAGTTTTCTAATGGGTATGGTCGTATGTGGTGGTTGAAAGAGAGCGTACGTAGTCCATGGAGGAATTCACGATGCGGCTCACGTACAACCACCCACGACTCGCCCAGTCGGATAGAGGAAAGAGGGGACAGAAGGGGTGGCAACAGGAGGATCAAACGAGTCAAAAGATGCAGTCGAAAAGTCTATCCTGACTTTTAACGGGAGATAGAGTTCAGGTACGAAGGAAAGTGTGAGTCTAGTTGGCACGGATGGGATGATTGTGCCTGTAGATTCTATGAGGATCTCGCTCGCCAAGAGAATTACTCTTCAGACTGATGTCAATAACGTTGGGAGACAGCTGCAGAAAGTTGTTCGTCCTGAGTATTCTATGTCGAGCCGGCCGAGATCATTCCCTTCACTATCTTAAGCGATGACGGTGTAATTTACTACTACTCATGGGCATCCTAATGTGTCGGTCAGTTTGAATGCGTATGCTCTCCGCATTGATTTTCCTACTTGATGGTCTTGAACTATGCCGGCCTGGTGGATTACTACGTGTGTGTAGTAGTCTGACATCAGGCAATCGAGCCGGTGGCCTCTTAATCAATAATACCATGATATCAACCAGCCAACATGCGACCAACTGGCTGGCCTTAAGGCCAGGCTGGGACTCCCTCACACGCCGACGCTACGTCCCCAATCCGCAAAGCTTCGATACCTTCAACAGACGGTCTCCTCTTCCATCAGAACGACTCGAAGAGAATGAGAATCTGGTTTGACAGCTCTCCCTCCTCGCATTCCGCCGAAGTGTCTTGAGTCTCAACCTTGAGGCTAGCAAATAGGTTTCACAAAGCTCCAACAGAGATCTCTGAGACTCTGGCATAAAAGCATCCCACGGGCTCGAAACCCGCGAGCCAGGGACCACCATTTCTATTCCAGGAACAAACATCAAGTGATGTCCGCCATCCGACCAATGCGGCAAAAGCATCTGCCCACATACCTATGAACGTCCAAAGTTGGGTGTGAACCCCGATGAACGTAAATAAATCTCCGAGGTAGTAAAAGTCAAAAAAGAAAAATGTGAGGAGGATCGACAAAACCGGTCGAACGCGCGTCCCCTACGTTTTAATCATCGCACACAGGCCGTTAAAAGGCTCGATGAACCGCAGCTGGGATTCAGAGAGTACAGTTCACGTTTTGCTGAAGATGGAGCGCTCGTGCAGCCTCTCTCTCTCTTTCTCTCTTTCGCGTCTTCCAGCATCCCCGCTGGCGTTTCGGGCAACGATGCTTACCCTGATCCTTACCCTTTGGTACATTGGTTCCCGAGCATTCAAGTCAGGCGCGTGCTGATGCGGGATGCGACATTCTACTAGCTGAAATCTCGAACATGGTGGAATCTTGTCGCGAGCCGCTGTTGAGAAGGTTCTTCTTGTCCTTGGGACATCCTGTACGTCGTCTTCATTCACCTTACCCCCGGAGAGCCCAAGATAAATTTGCCGTCAAGCATGGACGACGACGCGTCCAATTCCAATACCTCATGTGACATAGAGCTCGGAGACTAGTCACAAACTCAGAAACTAGTCTCAAGTTTAACCAGTTTATTGGGTAATGTTTCCCCCAACAACCTGTTGCTAGTCAGTCCGCTAAACTTGAGTCAGCTCCACAGTCTCGGCAGGTACCCGAAATACTATCTCCAAAACGTAAATCTTGACACAAACGCCATGGAAAGTTGAGCAAAGGCTCAAACAGCCTCCTTCAGCAGCGCGTGCGCCAAAAAGATGGACGATCTGGGAATCGAACCCAGGACCTACCGCATGCTAAGCGGTCATTATACCACTAAACCAATCGCCCATGGCATGATCTAGCCCGGACTTGAACCGGAGACCTTCAGTGAACAGGCGAGGCGTCGTAGAACGCTCGAGGTGTTAGACTGACGTGATAACCAACTACACCACCAGACCATTTGATTGATGGAAACAATCCTGAGCAAGTGTACCATTAGGGCAGGGTTCTCGACAGGAACCACCATGGAGCTAGGCGGAACCCGGCAGGACGGATGCGGGAGAGTGGGTCCAGGGTCTCCGGGCTGGTCTACCGAAATTCCAGATGACCAGGTTGCCGGGACCCAAACTCGAGAGACCGTGTGCCCATCAGCACCATTGCGCAGAGGAGATTCCGTGTGATTATGCTAGAAAACATGGGGCCATGGGACAAGTTGACGGACTCATGCGTTGTATGCGAAGGGCTGACTCGTTATGTTGGCCAGGCCTCGGTGGCCGGCCAGCCAGCCCGAGTGGTAGATGTAGTGTGCTACTCGTGACACAGTCGTGAAGAACTTGACCCGAAGCAAGAAGAGACTGCAAGCCACTGTGGACCACGAGCCAGTGACTCTGGGAGGGATCGAGGGCGGGCACAAGTTGTGGGGTGGAGACAACCCCAGCCTACACTGCAATATATCGCTCAATGTCTCTTCCATGTCCGAAGATCGTGGCGGACATAGCTCAGTTGGGAGAGCGTCAGACTGAAGCGGATCTGATCCGAGAAACTTCATTCAATCAATCTGAAGGTCGTGTGTTCAATCCACACTGGCCGCATCTTTGCTTTTTGTTGCCCTCTAGTAATTAATGCAGGGCGTTCGTTCGCTGTGGTTTCTTTTTTGGTTGGTTGGTCCCACACGATATGGAGGTGATTGCTGTCTTTTTTGTCTATTTTGGTACCATGAGCGTGGTAAGTAAGTGCGGCTCTGCGAGGAAGGCTAAATAGAGTCTAGCCAGCTGGCCTGTGAGCAACGTCATACGGCCTAGAGAGGGGGTGGTGGTGTATGTATGTATGTACATCGTCTTCCGGAGTCGACACCGAAGCCTGGCCACTCATAGGACCGAATGAATGTATGATTCCTTTTGGGGCCCGAAAAACGTCTCTACATTTGACCCGATCGTGATCGTATGTATATGTCCGTCTTCTGTTCGTCTGTCCACTAGTTGCCGTCGTTCGATCTCCTAGCCTGGTATTTGATACAGAGGTGCGTCATGAAGAAGTGAATACCCCTAGGTTATGGCCAGCGCAGGCTCGTCCGGTCGAGTAAATTGACAATTGGGATCGGGTTCAGATGGGGGGAAGTTCAGTCGTTCGCTTGGATTTCCACTTGTGGAAAGGGCACATTGCTTGCCGCGTATGCCAGACAAAATGGACGCCCCCAGCCGGTCCGGTCAGTGCGAAGATTGGAGCCCGTAACAAACATCAGCCGAATCTTGCGCGTGGTAACGGTAAAACTGGGAAGCAATGCCCATCAGTGGCGGCTTTGGACCATATGACGAGGCTGTTGAGCGGACCGACAGTGCCCGGGCCGCATTGTTCTCAAGTTTGCGAGCCGGTGTGTTTCTGGTCGCCACCATCGTGAGCAATGGAAAACACGACGTTGAGCACACGCAGTCCTCTTCGGTGCCGTCGTCGGCTCCGTCTCCGCATTTTCTCAAATGCTTCGCATTGTACCTGGCTTTCGAGGTGTGCTGGCCGGCTGCCGTCTTGGCGAAGAAACGCCGTTCAGGCAAATCCAAGGGAACTTCTTTCATGGGTAGTGGGTAGAGGCCGGATTTCTGAACAGCTAGCCGCCATGCCGTCTCGAAGACCAAACATGGAGACAGCGCATCGACGTTCCCGAGGCGGGGCAGGAAATCCCATGGGCAGAGAGATAAGAGCCATTCCGGCTGGGTATAGGCTGAGAGAAATCGACTTCTCCCAGGGCTGACCGTGGTTCAAGGGCGAATTAGTTATAAGTTTGTCGTCTTGTTCCTTGTCTGCTATACGTGGCTACGTGTCGAACGCGCTAAGAGTTGCGGGAAGGCGCGTCGTCGGTGTGGTAGCTTTGCCATGCAGATCCCCCTCTCGATTCCTTCGTCATGCTGGCCCCAGAGTCAGAGGGGCCACACGTTGCACACGCGGCCACCAGCAGGCCTCACCTGGCCCCCAGGCCCGGTAGCAGTTTCGCAGGCGACCTTTGTGCACTGCCTTCCCGGCGGCAGTGAACGGCCGCTACTGGGCATGCATGGATGGAACCGGCCGGAGACGATGACAGGCAAGCAAACAGCTAAGCATTGCGGGCTGTCGGTAAATCTTGCCCTGGCTGAAGATGAACCCTGTGCCTATTCTTGGACATCATTATTGGCAGGCCATGCGTTTGCTCATAGCGGCGCAAACATTGTGTGTGCGGACAATGAGCATTGACTTTGGTCTGGTTGTCGGATGCAGAAAGAGGCCGTGATAATTTCAGTTGCTCGGAGAAATCAGCGAGCAGGTTTGATGCATTATGGGGGGGGCGGGATCAGGGAGATCCAAGAGTGAGAGAAAGGGGACGACGCAGCAGCGAAGAAGCTTACTGCAAAGCTAAAGATGGCGCTTCGAGAAGACGAGGGCCTGACTCTGGTGGTTTAGCTGTTGTGGTCGTGTCTGGGTGGGTTGAGGTTAGGAGTTGGTCGGAGATGGGATGAATGTGGGAGGAGTTGCGCTACACTAACAATTTCTGGCGCGTCTCGGCCAGTAAGCGAGCCGAAAGGAACCCCTGCATCCGTGCCAGAGTAGGCAAGTACTTGACGGGTGTTTCTGTAAGTATTCAGTCCGTGCAGAATGTCAACGAAGATACTAGGCAATACTTGAAGAAGTCTTGATCAAAGTAGAGCAGGAGGCGTCCCCTGCCAAAGGGGAAGGATTACCTAAGACGCTTGTCTCACTCTATTCTTCAGGGCAGGCACGGAGCAATCGAGATTCAAGCTTGATTGTACGTACTGACTGTACGGAGTACCTCCGTACCTTATGTACGTCTTCGTCTTCATCTCCAAGACTTCGGCATGTGCCGGTCGCATCCTCTCCTCCTCATGAACTTCATCAAGTTCTTGCACCAGTGTCGCCGCTAGATTCCCGGATTGCACATCCCGGGTACTAGATCAAGTGATCTTACCAACGCAAGGACGCCAGACGACTATGGAAATCCAAACATCCGTCACGCATGCTCCAGCCCATCAGCGGCAAATGTTTGGGGCTCTTCTTTGAGGCACGGGTGTGGCAGCAAGCTAAAATCCGGAGGTGGCAGCTCCCGAACGACTCCTGTTGACCATCCATGTTTCAGATGCGCCTGGCAAGTCCGCGAAACCGCCCTCGAGTCCTCGACGCCCGAGGAAGCAGAAGTCGATCACGTCCCAGTCGGTCCAAACTCCCAAACCCTCCGAATTTCACTCGTGCCCGGCCCAGGCGCCAGGTCAAGCTTACCAGTCCTTGACTTTGGATTCTCCCTTTTTGGCCCTTACTGGGTTCCTGGGGCTCTGGAGGGGCCATACGACCAGACTCGAGGTCGGGGTTGGCTTGTGTTGTATGTCTTGCCCTGGTGCCGGGAGGCAAGCGGGAAGCCCTGCTTTGCCTGTGTTGCATCTCGTCTGTGTTTCTGGTGTGTGCACCTACCTGCACCTGCACCTGCGCGCGCGCGCCGCTACGATGCATTGCTAGCATCGTTTTCCGATTTCACTCCTCTCTTTTCTTTCCATTTGTTTTCTTTTCCTTCTTTCCGCTCTTATTTACACCTACCCTCTTCTCCAACCCGCTACCGTGCCCTGTTTCCTGCTCTGTTTCTTCTCTGGACTTTGGGGCTTTGTAGGAGAAACATTCGAGAGTCGACGAACCAACTACACGCTGGACGACGGTTGAACGACAGGGAAGCAGACAACGGGACGCGGCTAGCAAGCAACTCGGCTTTGGATCAACATTCGTAACTCGGAGCATTCGTCACTTGCTCTTGTTAATTCCGAATCCTTGTGCCATCATTGGATCGTCGACATCGCACCAGGCACGGCTGGCAATCTATTCATCTAATGGCCAATGTCTTGAAGACATACCCAAGTCGTCACACTTCCCTCTCCGCCTGGGGAAGCCTTTTCACACAGACGACTTTTCCTTGTTCATAATACCGACTCGATTTGATTTCGGGACCTGGCGTTGTCCTGTATCTTGTTGGCGCTGGATTGATACCCTTAAGACTTCTTTTGAGGAACAGCCCTCCATCTACTTTCTTTTCGAACCACAAACGACGCTCGCGAGCCTCGATACACCATCACACCCCATGAATCAGACAGCGACCATGTCGTCCATGCCAATGGAACTCAACCTACCCCGGGTTGTCCCCGGCGGTCAGCACATTAGCTATTACGTCGCCATAAGCGCGATGCTAGTGGCAGCCTGGCTCTTCCAGTCGCGAAGACCAAAATTTCCCGACATGCCCTTCTACAAGGCTGCCAAGACGAAGTGGATGTTTGACGCCGAGACTTTGATTCGCGACAGTTACGGCAAGGTATGGTATACACCAAATGCATGTAGTTCGATCGCTGACACCAATGCAGTTCCGCGATACTGTATATCAGATCAAAGCGACAGAAGGTCTGCAGGTGCTTGTACCTGCAAGGCTCATTGGCGAGTTGAGAGGCTTGCCAGAGGAGGTACTGAGCGCTACAGAGGCCGTCGACGAGGCCATGTTGAGCAGATATACCAACTTCACCCTGGGCAACCATGCCGACCTACTGTCTACACTCGTACGGTGTAAGCTGTCGCAGAATCTGGCGAGGCTTGTGCCCCAGCTCAAGAGCGAACTCGAGTACGTCGTGGCCACAGAGTTTCCGAATTGCAAGGGTAAGTCCGTCAGTCAGAATTTCTGCCTCGCCCAACTAACACGTCCCAGAATGGACACCGGTAAAGTTCCAACCCTTTGCCCTGCGAGCCATTGCACGGATCAGTGGCCGAGCGTTCGTGGGCCCCGACATCAACCGACAAGAGCAGTGGATGGACATTAGTATCAACTTTGCCATCCACGTCTTCGTTGCCGTCGTGAAGATGCAGCTCTTCCCGGAGTGGGCACGACCGATCGCCCAATATGGAGTTTCAGAGCTGCGACAGATTCGCAAAGACGTTGACAAGGCTACCGCCATGCTGGAGCCCATTATCGATGAAAGACTGAGGGACTTGGAGATGCCTAGCTACGAAAAGTCCCCCGACGACTTGATCCAGTGGCTCGTGGAAGCCCTCCCGGAGGATGAGAAGAGGGACGTCAGGTCTCAGGCCCATTTGCAACTTATCCTTGCAGCTGCGTCGATTCACACCACGAATAACCTGGTGACGGATTGCATCTACGATCTGGCAGCCCACCCAGAGGTGCAGGACATGCTGCGTGAAGAGGCTCATCAAGTCCTTGAGGTAGAGGATGGCTGGGCGCGGAAAGAGAGCATGGCGAAACTGAAGAAGCTCGACAGCTTCATGAAGGAGACCCAGCGGCTCGCCGGGAACATCAGTATGTCAATCCGCAGGCCACTTGTTGGGACATATCACTAACACGTAACAGCCTCCTTCATCCGAAAGGTCGTCAAGCCCATTGACCTCTCTGACGGCACTCACTTGCCGCCCGGAACCAAACTCCTGGCCCCGCAGGCCGGCATCTCGCACGACGAGAGATACTTTGAGAACCCAGACACCTTTGACGCGCTGCGCTTCTACAAACTACGACAGAAGTCCGACGAGGACGCAAACAGGTGGCAGTTCACCAGCATCAGCGACACTAACATGAATTTCGGCGCTGGCAAGCATGCATGCCCGGGCCGCTTCTTTGCCGGGAACGAGATCAAGATGGTACTGGCATACTTTTTGCTCAACTACGACATGAAGCTCAAGGACGGGGAGACGAGGCCGAAACCGATGGTTATGGTGATGAGTAAGTCACCTGATCCGAATGCAGAGGTCTTGTTCCGGAGGCGAACGGCTGCGGTGTGAGGTTGAGGTCGATATCGCACCGTGGCAGCTGCAATCTACATTTAAAAAGGCATTAAAACCATATTCTTCACGAGGCGGCTGGTGGCTTAGGAAGCCAATCGCAAACTCTACCAACGAACAGATAACCCCCGTGGAAGCAGACACGGAGGGCACGCATATCAAAAACATACACACGTTTTTTCCAAATCTTCTCGGCGTCGGGGCCTGGAGCTCCAGGGAGTCTTGGATAGGCTTTAATTGGAGGCGTCCTTTGCCGGCCCGTGGAGGAGATACCAAACCAACTACTTATTGTACATTAACCACAAAAAGACACATAACTACCTATCCCATCAATCAGTGGACAACATTAGAAGCGAGCACAGCGATGGCAATGCGGTTGATGGCTAAGGGTCAAACGTTTATCGTTGTAGTAGCTAGCATTTGGAAGCGAGGGGGGTATGGGGTGATCGCATACATGACAAGGTCACTATTCAAAATAAAAACCAAAAGAAATTTCTCAAAATATCTTCTCGGGCGTCTTTCTCAATGAGAAAACACGTCCTGCGTACGCAGTCAAAGACGAGCTAGCTGCAGAGTTGAATCGCCTTCATGGCGGGGCTCTCTCTCCCATATGGAACTTAAGTGCTCTTCTGTGGGAAAAATATATCAATAAGATAAGCCTTGTTGGCTAAGTGGTATAGCGTCTCACTAGTACCTAGTGGCATGAGAAGATCGGCGGTTCGATTCCGCCACGAGGCATCACCTTTTTTGCCAATTCGAACAATTTTATCATACTAATGATGTTTTCTATCTATTGTTCATTCTAGGTAGGTACTTATTTATGTCCTTAGTGCATGCCTTTTGTTAGTTATGACACCCGGCCCGTCAACTCGTCTTTGAACCAAGTACTTGCTGTAGCGCCAACTTTAAAATTGTCTGTGGTTTGACACCAACTTCAACTCCAAACTTCAACTACCTCTAAACTTTGCGCAAGAAGACGAGATCCCTCTCGCGCATTCACTTCCACTCAGCATTTGCACCCGTTTGTTTACCTTGCCTTGCCTTCCAGAGTCCGGCAGCCAAACCAGGGCACCCGTACACACACACACCGAGCACGGTCAAGCCACCCCCGCCCCTCGTCACCTGCAGGGACCTACCTTTCTTTCCCTTTCCCCGCCTGGTTGCCCATTCGCTTCCTCGTGCCTACCTAGTGATCCAACCAAGCCCTCGACAGAGACGATAGAAAGCGAAGCCCGGAAAACAATTGCTTGCTTCCCAAGACAGCCTGGTTGACGACATCCTCCTCGTTCATTCAGTGAGAAGGCAAGGCAGGCTCTAAGCGCTTATTCGTAACGGAAGGGTACCGTAGTATGTCGTACGTAGCTTCGTAGGGCTGTCTGTGGCCGCGGTAGGGCTTACTTCGAGAAAAGGCGGGCTGCACACGATGGCGTCTCGCTCAGAGCGGTATCATCCGTCGGTTGAGCGATGCAGGTCGTTAACCGACGCTGACTGCGGGAGGTGACTTGCATACAGTGACACTGTTGGTGCAGCGGGCCAGCTACAGTGCAGCGGGATGGAAAGCCTGCCCATTGCCATCCATAAGGTAGCTTAGGATAGTACCTAGGTGAGAGCGTATGCCCTCCCGTCACTTTGAGAACATGAGGTTGTATGTAGCATTCGTGCACCCCGTGGAAGCAGGCTGCGATCCATCCTCTCCCTCGAACGAGTCGACATCCCTTCTCCCGTCGGACCGCTCCCGCCAAGTGACGCACACGATGACTCCCCCAAGCAAAAAAATCGTGGCACCATTAGCGCGGACGCCGCAGCCTTACGTACCACTCAACAGGGATGGAAGCGCGTCCTATAAGCTACCTATCTCACCTTGCCTTGACCAAAGTGTACTTTTTCAAAAAGTCCTGGTTACCTAAGGCACCGTAAAGCAAGTTAAGGTTAGGTAGTATGCATCGTACGGTATGGCAAGACAAAGGGGGAAAAGAGGGAATTGGAATTTCCAAAAGAAAAATCCATTTCGGAAAATCCCATCACTCACTCAGCCCTACAGCCAAACTTGATTCGCCATCGTCCGCCGCATTTCCCTACATACCATCTACTCTACAGTACTGGTACGAAAATTCCAAAAGTTGTGACTGAACCCATCAGGCCATCACTTCCCCAAATTATAATACAGCAAAACCTGAACCCGACATCCAAGCCGCGTCCCGGCCTCGTCATCGCAGAACCTCTACGATCGCATCTAGCTGGGGTCATTCTCACGTACCTACGCAGTAGGTACTCCGTACCTCAAGTTGCTTCCCAAAAAAAAACCCCCCAAGTTCGAAGGGAGGTTGCCGCGTATGACAGCCAAACATTCTCCTTTCTCCCAGCCTTGACTGCGTACCCCGTACCGATACAACTTGCCGCCTCGCGATAAACGAAAAGCTACATCACGTATCCTCGTGTCCTGCCTCCCTCCCTAGCTTACCCCCCCATCCGACGTCTACCAAAAGGGTAAGCCGGGGTGTTGCATGGGATGGCACGATATCTAGCTCGCATCATCGCGTGAATCACATGCGCGGTGCCTGCCCACCCCCTCTCCTACACTAGGTTCTCCTCGCGCGCTTGCTCCGCTCTCCACACCTTCAAACCCCCGTTGTAGAACGCAGTGCATCACCCCTAGACCGCGATAGCGCCTATGTACCAGGTACATCACCTGTCATAATTCACCACGAAATTTCAGCGAGCGACGGGGACCGGTTCTTGACATGGCTCGTCCCGAGATAAAGTGTGGGGTTCGTCTTTTTTTTTTCTTCGCTCCCGCGCGCTAGCCTGAGGAACATGAGGTGGTGCACGAGCTAAGTAGACATCGGTTGAACGCAACGGGGCCTGGCCTGGCCTAGACGATGCGAACCAGATCAGACCAGCCCAAACTCAATTGTCCGTTGGTGTCAGGTTTATCACGGGCGATGAGCTGCACCACTAACAGATAGGCAAAAAGAACCCCCCCATTCGTGTATTCAACTAGAAATAGAACAACATGCCCCCAAAACAGAACAACAAACGGTATTGTACCCCCTTGAATCAACTCGAAAGATGCCAGCTCGGTTATCTTTACAGTTCATCAAAACTGGGTCTTCAAAGGGTATCAGTATGCCGCCCAGACAAAGCAGATCCATCGCTCCAATCCAAAATACAGTCTATCATCCTTTGAGCCAAGTCTGTTTCCGAGGCAATAACATGTGGGATCTGGAACCCAAATAGCAGCATCCCAACTGAAGAAAACAAACAACGCGCTCGCTAAGTAAACTCAATAAACTTCAGTCGATCGGCTCGCTTCCTCGGGGTATATGCGTCGATTACCGTTCGACCAATCTTCCGTCGCCGCTCTCGATGGTGCAGATATGCGCACCTCGCGCTCTGGAGGCAGAGATGTGTGTTCAGGGGAAGCCTCGCGCCCTGGTGACACCATCCCACTTCCCGTAAGCGGGCCAAAAAACTCCTCCGGCGATTTGACAGCACCGTCTCTCCACCAGTGGTACAGAACGTCTTGCTGCCACTTGTGCACGTTGCCAATCCTTAGCCGAAGAGTGTGTACAAACGTGGAATAAAGAAGTTCAACGGCAATCGGCGAAGTACGCAGCTGCTGCAGGAGCCACCGCGTGATAAAATCAGACTTATCCTCTTCCTTGAACTCGCTGATCAGCCTAGAAATGCCCAGTTCCTTCTGAGACGCCCGCAACTGCGGTAGCGTAGCTGGGTTCGCCGCATAGATCTTGGCAGCGCGCCTCACCTCCTCAATGGCAGTCACCGGCTCTGGACGAAGTACATGGTCTGGATGGGACAAGAGTTCGGAAAACCGACCATGGGCCATTGATCCGGATCTTGGGGGCGTGTTGTCGAGTGCCATGTCTTCGCCAATGTTGGGGTCGAGGGCGTGTGCGATTTCGAAGGACGGATGCTTCTTCATTGCACCATTTTCTTCGCAAACCCGCTTCAGCCTGGTAACCTCTTCTGTCAGGCGGTCGACGTCCTCACGCTTCTCGCGCTCCTCTTCCGGATATTCGTCCATGAATTCGACTTCTTCCGCACTAGGCTTCATCCCAGTCGATTTCTTAACGTCCATGCTGTACGTGTATTGCCTGTGATACAGCAGGAGATCGTCGTACTCTTCCTTGGCGTTATTCAAGTCCCCGATAGCAGACACAAGGTCTTGCCAAAGCGGATGGGCATCGTCGGAAGGTCCGTGGCGGGAGATACCGGTGAGTTCATATGGCACATCCGGTTGCTCTTCAAATTCGTCGTCCTCCGAATCCTCATCTCGCATCCTTGGCCGTGGTTGTCTCTTGCTACCGGCGGCCAAGAGACTGAAAAAGCGAGTTTCAGTGTTGTTGAGGTCTTCCTCTTCTTCGTCTAGTGAGACCTCGTGTTCCTCATAGTCAAATTCGATAGAGTGGTACTCTGTTCGAAGTGCCTGCATCTCGGCAAATCGCGCCTCCAACATTTGGTCGGATGTTCCGGGTAGACCACGCCGACCCTTGACAAGGATTGGGCGCAACATGTTCATGAAGTTGTTGTCGGCTTCATCCTTTCTGCGCCGCAGGTCTCGAAGAACCTTACGCCGGCCGGCCATGTCTTGCTTCAGCGAGTTCACTTGCTGACGACGATCCTTCATCTGTACCCATAACTCCTGTATACCGTCATCCAGAGATGCCATGGACGCCACCGAAGATGCATCAGAATCGATGAGGCTAGGGACGGAGCTCCGTGAATTCTCGAGTCGAGAGACTTTGTCCGTGATAGAGTCTGTAATATGTTTCCTCTCGCGCTCATAAACGTGACGGTCTTGCACGGTGGGCATGAGAGGTGGGAAGACTACGCGATTTTTTTGTTCAAAGTAGTCTGCCTCCACAGAGCTTGTATCGTCGTCTGAGCTAGTGTATTCGTGATGCCACGAGCCTGATGATAAGGACATGGACGGCGAGAGGCTGCGTTGCATCGGGACCTTTGCCGGCCCTCTATCCCTGAAAGCAGCATCGAGGTTTGACGGCGGCGGAGGTGGTGGTGGATGTAGCAGCATGGTCGGCACTGGTGGCCGTGGTCCTCGGGACGGCGGAGGCGGAGGATGAGGACGTTTGTGCTCGTGACTGGCCCGATGGGAAAGAGGACGTGGTGTATTCGGGCCTGAGGATTGAGAACCATGGTATTGTGACGCATCGGACTTTTGCCATACGGGTAGAGCTGCCATCGAGGGGCCAAGGGAGTTCGGCCGTGTCAAGGTCGGAGGAGGAGGACGTGGTGGTGGATGTGGCAGTGGTAGTGATAATGGTGATGGCATGAGCTGGACGCTTTCGAAATAGCTAGCATCAGTAGTCGTTGCTTCGGATGGAATGGCATGCTCGTGGAATGAGGCATCCCCTGACAAACTTGAAGCGGAGGTCCGTCGTTGGGGGCTTTCGGTCGTAGTCATGAAGAGAGGCTATGGTGCGTACTGGTCGTGAAATTGTTCCATCGCTTTGTGACGTTTGGTGATCCGACAAAGGGAGTGTTCGTCGTCGATGGTCGCTGGGTCGAATTTCGAACGAAAGGTGACGGCTCGAGATTGTTGTGGGCGTAGTCGACGCGGCTCGTTCCAGTCACCACCTTCTTCAGGTACTGCTAATTACGGATGCATGCCAGCAGCAGAAGCAGGCCAGCAACAGCAGCAGCAATGCAAACGTGTGAGCAAAAGGATGGGTGCTGACCGAGGCGTGCAAGGCCGTTGGAGGAGCCACCTTGACTCCCTTTCTCGGTAAGCGGATCCACTTGCCTCCCGTGTGCTAGCCCCCTTTTGCACCTGCCTTCCATAGGTTCTGCGGTGGATTGTGCCTTCCCAGCCGTTCAGCGGAGACCAACCAGGAGCGTAGCTGTAGCCATCCCGACGCTAGTCCCGATATGTGTCAGCACCTCAGCTAATGAGCCCGAGCTTCCGTGGGGGCCTTCTCGGCGGGTCCCCATTGGGACCACTGTCACCACTGGCAGGTGGACACGGACAGCGCGGGGTCATATCGAGCAGTCGTCGCTACTGGTGGGAAGTCATCCCACACACCAAAACACAACTGGACGAGAAGCGCAGCCTGGTTCCATTTGTCTCTTTTCCAATCACTCGTACCGGTACAGAATTTCCATCAAGACGCGAGCCAACCGCCGCCGGCCAGCAACCTCTTCGGGCCTTCATACAGGCAGGGGTGCCGCCCCTTGGGTTGCACGCCAAACAACGATGAGAACAGCGACGGGGGTGGGCAAGCGGGTGCCATCTGTGAGACCACCTCGCCGAAGAGGAGAAGGCAAGCCTTCTGGGCCTACTGTTGTTTCTTGTCCACTTTGCTCCACGTACCTACGGTGGGAAACACTCGATGGATAATGAAGTGCATCCGGCTTATCGACCCCGGGTCCATCGACCATAGGCACTTGGGAGGGTAAACTCGGGAAGAAAAGGCAACCGTGCCGTGCCACACCCTCTTCTCGTCGTTCTCCGTCTCCCGTTTCCTGTCTCAGGCTCTCCCGTTTACCGATCTTCTTCCTCACACTCTTTCTCTCAGCCTGGGACCGACCTTCCACCTCAGTACATCCCCTTAGGATTCGAGGTCTCCTGCAAGACGATGCAGGCTCTGTGAAGGCTCATACCCTCCTTCCTGCAAGAGAACTGTCTGTCGCCTTTGCGCCAGTCACATCTCGCAAGATACGTCACGCGTTGCCGCACAGCTGCTTCGACCAATTAAGCGGGCACTCCTTTTATCCTGTCGTGGCCCCGAGGCCTCGAGGCCCGGCTTGCCTGTCGAGGTTCGCTTGTCTGTTGTCTCTTTCTCCTTGAGCCTCAAGCTTACACCATCACCAAGACTCGGTCTCCGTCCCCGAACCCGGTCTTGCGCGGAGGCCCACCCATGATCGGCGCCGAAGTTCGAAGCTCTCCAAGTGTCGACACAAGATGCCATCATGCACAAGTCGAGCAGGTCAAGCAAATACAAGTCGAAGAGTGGAGGAGGGAGAGGTCCGAGTGCGAGTGCCTGGAGTGAATGGCTTTGGCATGAGGACTACCAGAAGCATTACATGTTCCGCCTGAACAGCAATGGTGAGTCATGAACTGTGTATTTCGAACACAACTAACGTTCAAAGGCGAATACGAGTATCGCTGGCAGGATGTTGAGACGCCGGCCCCGGCGCCGCAAGACGACTTCACTCCCCGAGCAGTAGACGAACTCACGGAAAACATGGACAACCTCGACCTGCCACCTACCACCGAGAGTAGTTATGGATACGAGGGTCAGGATACTGAGCATAATGGTGAGTTGGGTGAAAACGTCGCATAGCAGGGGCTAACCCTGCTGCAGATCCATCATACATGTATGAACCTTCGGCAACATCCCATGGCAGCTCAGGTCGATCTAGGAAAGGAAAGGAGACTGCCTACGCCCCAGATCCTCACGATGAGGGAGATCCTCCACCCGAAGATCCCCCGGCGCCGCCCTTAGATCCATTTTGGGGTGCCGAAGGTGGCACCACTGGACTACAGGACGAAGAATGTAAGTGAGGGTACTCTTGTGAAGAGTGTCTAGCTAACAAACCCACAGTAACTCCTCCCCAAGCTGGTGCAGAAAGCCTGTATCACGAGTCCGAGGGATATGGGGCAGCTCATGATCCGATTACGGCTACGTACAGTCAAGGTGAGACACTCGGGTTAGGGAGTTTGAACCATGCTGATGCCGGTAGACTCTGGGTACGCAACGGCCGATTTAGATGACTTCGATGATCCGATTGTGCAAGAGGCTATGTCGAACCGCAACGAAATGTATGGGACTTCCGGTCATGGTGGACCATCAACGGAGCCTGCGTATGGTACAGGTATAAAAAAAAACAAGCGATGCTCCTCATTGCCACTCCCATGGCTAATTACCCAGACAGCTTATCCAGCATACGAGGAGGACGATGGTGCGGCAACGCCGAAGGGCAGGCAAAGCCCTACGCCATCATTCGACATAAGCGGCACTCATGGGTCTGCTGAAGATCTTGATCCTCGTGAGTGGATCCGTCCATCTATATCTCGTCCTGCTGACTCTAACGATTTGCAGGTTACGTCGTTGAACCGTCACACAAATTCCGACCCGGATCGGTAGGTTACCCAACAATCTAATAATTGGGGTTTACTAACACTGGCAGGTCTTCAAAGTCCTATGGTCGGAGCCATCCGGCTCTCACGCCGCAGGAAACTCAACGATATCCGAGAAGCAGCAAATCCAAGACCAATTCGGAGGGTCGGTGTTCATCGGTTTCAGGCGCTTCATTGTTATTGCAAATGACGAAGGGCACTGCACATGCGTGTACGTTAGCGTCAACCATTGTTTGGAAACTTTCACTGACAGTTTAGGCCAATTCTCACGTACCAAGGCAAAGCTTGCAAGAAGAGGGGCGTGAAAGCCCACAAGCACGGCATGATCTATAGCCACAAGCTTCATCGACCGTTTCGTGACGAGCCAAAGCTCGGTTTCCCACCAGTTCGGGCTAAGATCACGATCGAGGGAGAGAAGCTCGCTAAAGAATCGCGCGTCAACTACTCCAAGCTTGTCACGGTTGAACACAACGTCAAGGTCTTCTTCATCGGCTACATTAGCTCCGACGACTTTGAAGACGTTGAGTACGCTGTTGATGACTGCTGGGAGAAGAAGACCCGAGCGAAGAAGAAGTCAAGAAAATAAGCAGACGACTTTGTTTGCAAACATGTTTGCGTCTCTGTCACAACTTGTGATGGCAGCACATTTTAACAAATTATACGTTTGGAAGAAGCTAGGCCCGCCTACGCTCCTCTATCACGATGAGACGACAGTCTATTTTGCCGACAACCCGGCTCATTTACTACGATATTATTGCGGAAGCTATGTCATGATGATTCACATGTTATCAAACATTTACTTGGATTTATCTGGCATGAAATTGTTATTCACAGGGAGTTGGCAGCATTAGCAGTAGCATTGATGCAGGCTCGAACAACAGTGGAGAACATGGGAACAGGCCATGGACAGATTGCATTACTAGAGTCTTTTCTTTTCTTATTTCGCGTGGATATCTCATCTACCTACTATCTATCACCCCAAGATTGGACTACTTACTCAGCCTCTGTTTGTGAAGTACCCTGCATATGAATTACGATGGGGCTGCGCCGCAAACCCGAGACCCAGCGTCCTGGAATAAGGCAGCCGTACCTTACATGGAATTTACAATTCCTGTCTGGTGTTATTGCACTTTTGTTCCCCAAAAGGTTCCGAGCAGCGACCCCTACGTAAGGTAGGCAGCGACCCCTACGTAAGGTAGGCAGCGACCAGGAAAATTGCTGTGCATCAGTAATCGGCCCCGACCCCACGCTTTTCCCCGGTGTGGACCCGGTGTCTGGGAAATTGGAGCTAGCGGGACAGCCGAGGCTCGGTATCTTCTCCCCCGCAAACGTCACCGCCCGGGGTAAGGTCGGTCTAAACTCTGGGGGAGAGCAGTTGACTGATTACCTGTACTGATTTCCAATCCGGGCCCCTTTTTACCTTGTTCTTCCCCCATTCTTTTTTATTCTTTTCCTACAGTGCCTTTTGAGCTTGCTTTTCTTCCTTAGAGATACTTGAAGCAATCAATTGAATACAGAAACCAGAAGAAATCGTCAACAATGGCCGAAGCACAGCTCAACGATTTCCCCTCCCTCTTCTCCCTCAAGGGCAAGGTCGCCGTCGTCACCGGCGGCTCCCGTGGCCTCGGCCTACACGCCGCGTCAGCGTACGTTTGAATCTCCCACTTTCCTGCGTGTTTTTCTCTTTTTTTGCTTCGCGGAAAACAATGTCATCAAGACCCCCGACTGACGATAAAGGAAACAACAGCTTCCTCCAAGCAGGCGCCTCCAAAGTCTTCATCTCCTCCCGCAAGGGCGCCGCCTGCGACGAAGCATGCAAAGCCCTCAACGCCCTGCCCAACCTCCAGCCCGGCGCCGTCGCGATCCCGATCCCCGCGGACGCCGCGTCCATCAAGGGCGTGGAGCACCTCGTCGCCGAAGTCAAGAAGCACGCCGACCGCGTCGATATCCTGTTCGCCAACGCGGGCGCTACCTGGGGTGAGGCGTTTGACACGCACCCGGACGAGGCGTTTGCCAAGGTGATGGATTTGAATGTCAAGGGTGTGTTTAACACCATTCGGCTGTTTACGCCGTTGCTCGAGAAGAGCGTTGCTGCGAATAAGGGCGGCAACGGGGAGCCGGCAAAGGTTATTATCACGGCTTCCGTTGCGGGCTTGGGGATCGGTACGCTGGGGAAGCAGGGGACGTACGGGTACAGTGCCAGCAAGGCGGCCGTGTTGCATCTCGGTCGTAACTTGGCGCTGGAGCTTGCGCCGAGGGGGATTACGGTGAATTCTATTGCTCCGGGCTTCTTCCCGAGTAAGATGTCGAATGGCCTCTTGGAGATGGGCGGCGGTGCGGATAAGATTGGAAAGGGGAACCCGATGGGACGATTGGGACGGGCGGAGGATATTGCGGGCGCGGTGGTGTATCTTGCTAGTCGGGCTGGGTCGCATGTTAACGGGGAGGTTATTGCCATTGATGGCGGGTCGTTGTGGCAGAGGGGGGAGTTGAATGTTCCTCCTAGCAAGCTGTGAGGAAGCTTGTAAGCTGAGGTTAGTTCTTGGATTGGAGAGAAATGTAGATTGTAGATGGGGGGGTTTGAACAAGAATGTGCATTTTTGCGCAAGGTTATCAGTGCCTGGGCATCGAGTCTATCATGCTACCGTAATGCCGTGAATTTATATCGCATCCCTGCCTCCCATGATATATACAGATAATGATTCAAAGCACATTCAGAGCCAACAACTTGGGGGGAAAGAGAGAGCTCAACGCACGAAAATCTACAACGGCTTCCTCGCCACCCAGAAACTCGCGCGGTACGTCGTATGCAACATACTCTCCCCATCATGAATATACGGCGCCTCAATCCCCTCCTCACGCTTTTCCACAACAAAGCCCACCCTCTCGACAAGCGCCATGACCTCGTCATCACTCAGCTCGAAACTACCCGGGTCCGCGATCCCCGACGAGTTATTCGCGTCGTGGTCGCCGTCGCCGTCGGTATCTCGTCCGTGGTTCCCGGGGGCATTATTCTCAAAGTGCCACAGCAAAGGACCGAAATTGATAAGTAGTCCACCGGGGCGGAGGGCATGGCGAATCGTCTCGAGGTACCGAATCAGATTCGGCGCCGTGTCGAGAAAGAACACCGTCGCGACGGCGTCATAGGCTTCAAAGTGTTCCTCGTCCGCGTACAGGCATAGAAAGTCTGCGGCGCACATGGACATGCTACCTATCCCCGTCCCAGAAGCGTGCTGCACCGCCTGCGCCTGCGCGAGTTCCGTCGCCGGATGGATATCCGGCACGGCGCAGCTCCGGAGGTGATTTGCGCGCGTGCGGTGGTTGGAGAAGGAGTGGACCCAGGGGTATATCTTGTGTTGGCCCGCTTGCTTGGTGCAGTTTAGGATGTAGGAGGAGGCGAGGAGCTGGTGGTAGGAGATCTCGTTGCCCTCTGCGTCGTGGCCGTTTAGGCAGAGGTCGTAGACGAGGCGGCCTAGGCCTGCGCCGGGGACGAGGACTTTAAGGGGTTCCGCGTTCACGGGGCGAGCGGCGGCGGCGGCGGCGTCTGCTGCAGCAGAAGAAGAAGATGACTGCCGGGCCTTGCGCTCGCGATCGAGGGCGTCGAGGACGGGACCGTAGCATACGCTGCGCTCCGCGGCGCCCTCGGCGGACCAGTCGCGGTAGAATTGGCGGAGGGTGCTGCGTGCTTTATCGGTGTCGCCGTGCTTGGCGACGCCGACCCAGGGGTCTGGGAGCTTTGGTTCCTCTGCCGAGCCCTCTGGTACGAGGTGGAAGGAGCGCAGGCCGTTGTGGGCGATGGCGCGGGCGAGTTCGGCGTTGGACTCGATTGCGTCGTCGGTGCGCTCGAGGGTGTCTAGGAAGTTGAAGGGCGGGGCGGCGAGGAGCTGCCAGTGCGCCTGGGGGAGGGCGTAGAAGGATTGGCGGCGGAGGTGGGTTACGTTGAAGTGTGCCACTTTTGCGTATTGGCTGTGTGGATATTAATGAGTCGAGGTTTTGAGATCATGATGGTGAGGAAGATGAGGATGAGTGAGGACGTCCACTGGTAAGTTGGGATGAAGAATCACGCCTTGCGGAACTCATTCATGATCTAGTGGTTGCCTCCTCATACAATTGAAAACCAGGAACAGGATAACAAAGCATGAACCACTCACAGAAAAGAGTCGAGAGCGCAGAAAATGACCCTCGTCTCCTCGGGATCGTCAACCGTGTTCTCCATGCCGCTCCATTGCTCGTCATCCGCCATGGCTGGCTGGTTGACCGGCTTTCCTTCCCCAAAATTTCCTTCCCTTCTATGACCCTCGCGCGTCCGTCGTCCCTTCACCAGAGTATGGAGCGTGAGGAATTATCCAGTTCAACAGCACTAAGCCTGAACGCTGGCGAGAGTTGTGACGCTTTCCTGCGTTTGGTTTGATGGTTGGCTGCGCAGAGTGATTCAGATGAGGGGCAATTATTCCGAACCGCCCAGCTCCAGCATACAGAAACCAGCTTGACAACTAGGATCGGGATCGAAAGCCGGTGAAAATAGTGACTGTCCTCCGGATTCGATGCAACCGCGAAAGCAAGCAATTGAACCACCTTGGAATGTCGAGACCGTTGAGAAAAGTATAGATAGAGAGAGAGAGAGAGAGCTTTGAGCTTTGAGAAGGCGCAAAAAGGAGTCATGAAAAAAAGCCATCAACGGTACCCCGCGGCGTCGTTGGTCCATCCCAACCACCCCGCCGAAAAAAAGGGTCCCCCCTCCCCGCCCCTTTCCCCGACAGCGGCCGGCGGCTGCCGCGATCGCATCCTGCATGGATCAAGCTGTCCCCCACCCGAGCACCGAGGCCAGAAACCTTGGGTTGGGTTGGATGATGTGCACTGAAGGTTCCCGTCGGCTTACCAATTGACTGACACAGGTACCGTGGCTGGGAAGGCTTAAACCTCGTGGACTCAAAAATTAAGGTACTGTGAGTATTCGTACCTTGACATTCAATCACAAGCCCTCAGCTTTATATCAGTATAAGATCACGATAACATGTAATCCAATTCGAAACCCCTTCAAGACCTGATGGGAACCATATTCAGATGCGGAGTGGGGATGTTGCTTTCTCGCTTTGCTGGTCTCATGACCACAATTTAGCGGATTTCAATGAGTCTGATTGCTCAATACGACGGCATCTTTGGGGTGTGAATTGTATACCAACCAGACGTCGACCGGAGGAGGAGGAGGAGGAGAACTGAATGATGATTATTACCACAATCGTAATGAAAAGCATCTCCGAAACCCAGCATTATAAGGGTTGGCTAAGATGCGGAGAAAGCTGGTGTGTACTCATCCAGATATCCGAAAGAGCATTATTCTACCCGGATATCCATACTGGCTTACAGTGCCAATTGCGAATGCCCTCACTCACCACATAATTCACTATCCATAACTCCTACTTCACTTTACCTCACTGTCAAACTTCAATATCATACCTCGACATCACACCTTAGCATCAAATAACAGCTACACAGGTCATCAATGAATCTCATTTTCATTCCCCACAATCATCAATCTACATGATCGCGTTTGCTAATCTACACATCCCATTCCCGCAGGGTAAAAAAAAAAGTCACCGATACCCGAAATTACTATGAAGCATCCCAACGCCCAAAGGTCTCAAAAATGCTCGCCAATCGCGCAAACTTCAACCCCCCATTCGTTACTTTGTGTGTGTTTGTTCTTCTCCATCTCCCCCCCCCCCCCCCCATCGTCCAAACAGTATCATATGCTTGCTTCATCAGTCTGGCTCATCATACTTCATTTCTTTCCACCTTCGTTTCCCATCATCATCCAACTAACTGACCATCATGACTCAGTGATCACGGTGACGACGCTCCTTTCTCCTCTTGCGCCTCTCATCAGCATAATCACTGCTCACGGCGCTCTGGCTGCTCAAACCAGGAATGACGTGGTGATACGACTTATTCCCCATATCGCTCTCCACCGCGCTCGTGATGTCGCTCTCCGCCCAGCTACCAGGCATACTCGGCTCAGGCTCCTCCCTCGGCGGCGGGAGCGCGTAGCCCCGCGTATTCTGGTCCTCGGCAACGGTGCTCGCCCGCTGGAAGCTGAAATCGCGCCTCGAGCTACCCGCAGCCCGGCCCCGCTCCTGCAGCTTCTTGGCCTCGGCGCGGATACGCTGGCGCTCGCGCTCCTCGTTGCGGTCGGCGGTACTGTACACTTTACGGATACCGCCGCCGCCGCTCTTCTTGTTGGGCGTCGACGTCGGCGTGGTCTGCTGACCCGAGAGCAAGCTGGCCGAGACGTTTGATTCGGTAGGGTTCGTCGAGCCGTCCCACTCGGACGCCTCAGATTCCTTGTTCAGACCGCCGACGCGGGCGGGCTTCTCGTGGCGGTATGAGCGGAGATGCTTCTTGGCCGCGCGTTCAGCCTCCTCGTCAATGAGCACGCCGGCCTCGTCGTAGTTCTGGGATGAAGGCTTCTCCTTGTGGCGCGCGGCTTCCTTCTCCCTGCGCCTCTTCTCCTTCTTGCGATCGCGCTTCTCGCGGGCGCCGATATCGCTGGGTCCCGCCGTGATGCCCGACAGCGTAGTCCCCGAGATGCTCGTCTGGTTATCGTCGTAGTCCTTGTAGACGCTGCCGCCCCCGAGCTTGGTCGACTTGGTGGCGCCAGACAGTAAGGTACCGTTGGGACCTCTGCGGCGCAGCACCGTGGTCTTGTAGTCGTCCCAGTCGTTTTCCTTGAAGTAGAACCCTCCGTTTCTGGCCCAGAAGAAGAACCAGATGCCCGTGATGATGATGGCGGCGCCGATGAGGCCGAAGAGCACAAAGATGGCCGTGTTGTTGATGTCGGCCGGGTCGGTGACGCCGACGTGGGGGTTCTCCTTGTATCCCGTGCTGTCGCGGGCGAGGAGGAGGGAGCGAGCGGCGAGGGGCCCGACGGAGCCCGCGTCGATTGATCGGGCCGTGATGTCTGCTGTGTCGGGGAGGCTCGAGAGTCGTCTGGCCGCGATGAAGGAGCGGGCTTGGTGCGCCAGGCCGTTGACGACGGCCGGAGCCATGATTGGCAAAGGCTGACTTCAGTTGAAGTCGTGGTACGTGGTAAAAAGTAGTTTTTTTAGTTTTTTTTTTTGTATGGTATCCGGTAGTAGTCGGACGATTGCTGGCAGGACCAGCGATCAATGGAGGTGAGACTGGAATGTGGTTGTGGATGCTGTGGATGGAATGCTTCTCTACAGTCCACTTCGGAAAATGGGTAATGCACACTTCTCTCGAGGCGGAATGTCGAAAAGGTGCAGAGCAGACAAGATTACGGATAAGGTAAGAGGTGAAAGTTGCCTGGCCAGCTGCGTGGTGGCGGATGGCTTGTTCCTATAGAAACCAGAAATTGCCGTGGCTGGGGGGATGTGCGCGAACAAAGTGAGGTGGTTGGTGGGGGAATGTTCCTGGGGGTCGCTTCCCTGCTCTCTCTCTCTCTCTCTCTCTCTCTCTCTCTCTCTCTTGGGACTCTTCCCTGCGCCTGCACAAGGCGAATTTGGCTCTGTCAAATGGGGGAAAACACACCGACTAGCTTGTTCCTCACTTATTCAAGTCGAAACCCGTATTCTGGTGTCTGTGTTGGCAAAGCCGTGTCCAGCACCCCGTCGCGCCTACCGCCTCCCAAGCTTCCTTCCCAGCCTCCCAATGACGTCGAGAGTAAACAGACCCCCCACCCGCAGCCCAGCAACCGCCCTCACCTCGACTCACCTCACTCACCTCACTCACCTCACCTTACCCAATCACACAAAAACCATGCCACCGTCCCAGGCAAAAGGTCAAAAAAACGGACACTAACGGACGACGGTGCCATTTCATTCGAACCGTTGGGTCTCCCGTGCCGCCGTGCGGGAACGCACGCGGAATCCACATTTAAACCGTCCGCCTTCGAGCCGTTTGGCCCGTTGCTTGAAGGCTTTCCCTTCTTCCAACACGCGCTGAGTGCTGAGTGACATGACATGTTCCTTGCGCCCCCTTCCCACATCCGGCCATCTATCTAAGAATAAAAGACTCCGTACGGATACCTACAAACATCCATACCAACCACGCCTCAAGGATCTAGACTATGCATACCAGCACCGCAAAAGAACAAATAGAAGCGTTGGCCTTTTTTTCAACAGGCCCTTAGATCCCAGGCCCCTCCCCAAAACGAGCCCTTCTTCGACCTCCCGAACAGTGAACTAAACCATCCCGTTTCAAATCTGTATCACAACGCCGGCGCCAGTAGCTAAACGCTGAACGAAGCCCGGGAGTCTTCTTATAACCAGGGGAAGGGCGGGATCACAATCGCCAATTGAATGTCCGAACTTACTATGATTGGTCTTGCAAGAGCCCAGGAGAGCAGAATGAAGAGGCCAGACATTCAGTCACCGTAGAATTCCTGAGGCAGGTCTGGAGTATGAAAGTGCGGCCTCGCATCAACCGGGTTGCCCGGAACGGGCAAGTGATTAACCCCCTTTTTCATCCCCCGCGGTCCTCCGTATTAAATGGGAAGAGGGGTGTGAACCTACCAAAGATCACCATTCAGCACCATAATCATGAGACAATAAGAGACTTGTTGTTCCGACATGTTTATTTCATATGCGGCCTACACGGCTCAGCCATGTTAGGGGTATCTTGTCCTTTGCCGCTCGAGTAAAAAGTGAAAAAGATGGGCAGTTCATCATCTGCTACCAAATACCATACACCACCATAATAGCCCAGTTCCAAATTCCCCCTTTTAATACCTGCCCATCCCAAAGGGCCGGGGGCCTGACTGAACTACATCCTTCCGTCGTCCCCAACGCCCCCATGCCCATGGCTTTGGAGAGGGCAGCCGAGCCCATCCCAATAGTATCCTGCTAACACTGTTCTCGAAGTAGAAATGAAGGAAAGAGAAAAAAAAAACCCCGCGCAAGGTAGCTAGCTAGGCATAACAATTTGCTGAATACCCTTCTCCCTAAAAGCACAAGAAGTGCGAACTTCCCGGATTGCCGATACAGGTTGTCTATCAAAATCGTCCAGCCTAAATGTCGTGGCTGGAAGAGCACGACATACGCTTCGCCTCGGAGGAGACACGGCCATGTCGTATAGCACGACACCCATGTCTCCTCGCAAGGCAAGAGACTGGAGAAAGTCTCCGCATATGCCCAGAAAAACACACTCCATTATCGTGTCCCGACCCTACAAATTCAAAACGCCCGCGGGTCTCACCCGGGCCGCACAGCCATAATCGGCACATACATGATTCGTCCTGTAAATGGTATAAAAATGCTTGGAAATATGAAGAAAAAAAAGGAGCAGAGCTCGCGACAGCCTCTGCTTTGGGTATAAACTTTTCCGCTACCAGAAAGTCGACCTAAGCAGTTGCGGAAGCAAAGAAGAAGGAGAAACGAAAAATAGGAAGCTCATCATATCGATACAGCTTTCAATCTGAGTTCCAAGTGCAGAAACAACGCTCGCTCTAATGAAAATCGTGCAGAAAACGGAAACAAAAAAAAAACAAATGTGTGTCGCTTCATCAACTCGTCATTGTCGTTGTAATTCGATTTATGTAAACGGAATGCGGAATTGTTCGTAGTCGCCCGCTTGGCTACGGCTGTAGGAGTCGGCCTGGCTTTCGGATCGATCACGGAGGGCTGGTCGGTCCATACGGCTGCGACGTTCATCAGAGTAGACGGTATCCCTGTCGCTCCCACCAGCAATGCGTGCTGCCTGGCTGATGTTGATTTCGCCACCATCCTGACACTGGATCTCGGCGTTACCAACTCGGAGGACGGCATGACCAGTGACTTTGATGGTGATGTCGTCGCCATCAATGGCAGAAGACCGGGTGGTTCGTGTGGTGGCGCTTCGTAGGAAGTCGCTTTCGTCAAGGCTGTCGCTACTTCCACTGGACCTGCTGCTCTTGCTCTTCTTCCCAGCCTTTGAGAGAGCCGCAGCAGTCAAAGGCACCCCGCCGCCGCTTACGCCGTTCTGGTATGCCATGGCAGCAGCCTGGGCAGAGTCGTACTTTATCTGCGAGTAGCTACCGCTTTCACCGCCGGCCATGTAAGAATGGCGGCGGCTACTGCGAGTAGGTGCGGGAGCAGGAGCAGGAGCAGGCTCGATCTGGTATGCACGATGGCTGTACGTGCTGGAACCCCTGCGGTGACCACGAGGCCTAGCAACAACGCCATCGTCGTATTGATAACCATGAGGCACGATGTCCTGGTACATGAATTCTTCGCCATCAAAATCATCAGAGTCATAGCCCTGGGACATGATTTGGCGCTGCTGGGGGTGAGGTTGGGGCGGGGGACGGAAACCCTGTTGAGGAGCAGTCGTTCGTGAACGAGGCGGTGGCGGCGGCGGCATCAAGTCGCTGTCCCTGTCCCGGACCTTGAGAGATGGTCGTCTGCCGATGGGAATAGGAATGTTCTCTTGCTCGTAAGTGGGACCGGGGCCGTGGCCGTGGCCAGGGCTAGGATGATAACCGTAGTTGTCGTACTCGAAGGAAGAAGCTGACATGGACCGGTGTCCCATGGCCGACGAAGGCCTTTGTTGGAAGCGATGAGCCAGATTCGAATGTCTGGGGCTGCTCGCCACAGGGGTAGGCGGAAAGTAATCATTCGACGGCGGTGGAGGCGGGTGGTGCGGCGCCTGCATAGGGTAAGGGACACTTCCGGGGCCCCAGGCGCCAGGCGGTGCCCCATACGAAGAGCCAGGTGCAGGCGCGAACGGAGACTGCACATGCGGTGATGGGTGAATAGGAATCGGCATAGGAGCGGGAGTAAAGGGTGATGAAGCATGAGAGGAAGGCGGCGCGTGAATAGACGGGGCAAATGGCGATGCCGCAGCCGGGGTGAAGGGCGAGGCGTTGTTCGCAGCATGCCATTGCTTATTGGAGGTGGGCGGTCGGGAACCTTGGCCGTAGTAGCTCGCAGGTCGACTTGAAGCTCGGGGACGCGAGCCCTGTGCCTTTCCCGGTTGCTGTACGCCGTATTGCGAGGCTTCTTCTTCCGAGAATTTCGGTCTTCTGTATTCATCTGGCTTCTGGGCTGTCTTCTGGGTGTGAACGACGGGCGCCGTGTTGACGTGCTTTGTGGAAGGACGAATTGCGGACTTTTTGGGGGCAGACCGGTCGCGCTGCTGCTGACGATCGTCTCGTTCGCGCTGCTCTTGGTCGCGAAGCTCCTGCTCACGGCGTACAGCCTTTTCCTTTTCTTTCTTGATGCGGTGTCTTTCCTCTCGATCCTCTTGACGAGCTTGCTGCTCTCTGGCAGCCGCCTTTTCGGCGGCCCGTTCGTTAGCCCTTTGAAGGGCCTTTTCGGCGGCTCGGTCGACGACCCGTTGTTCGTGTCGTCTTGCCTTATCCCTCGCTTTCTTGTCTGGAACAGCGGGGTGGATGGTGTCGTCCGAGTCGGTCTGGCCGTATTGCGGGGAGGTGGAAATCGGTCTCGTCATCCTGTCCTTGCGAGATTTGCCGCTGTTTGCCTTCTCCTTGGATGGGCTTCCTGGTGCTAGTGACTGGGCGTACTTATTGGAGCCCTGAATGACGAAACCAGTCTCCTCGTCGACGTCTTCGACGCAGGCAACTATTTTGGGGGCCATAGTGAAGCGGTGTCGATCGTCGCAATGGGCTATAGTATGGTGATGTGAGCTCGGTAGTCGAGCGACTGGTGTTCGGAGGCAAAGGTGCCTCTGTCGAGACGAGCAATCGTAGGTTCGTAGCAAGTGATCGAAGGTGTGGTGAACTGGGGGGGGGGGGGGGGAAGAACTTGGCCGCGGTGGGAATCGGGAACTTTTTTGTATAAAGGGCGAACGAGAAAGACAGTGGGGATGCGGAAGGGGATGCGACCACTATCTGATGGAGGGAGTGCCCGTATTTGTGGGGATAAAAATCCGACCAGGATGAGGGGGGGGGGGGGGGGGGGGGGCGTGAAATTGGGTGTGGGAGAAAATGAGACGCTGCGGATACTGGTGCTGATGCTGGCTAGGTGTGAGGCCGGGTTACTTATTCGTTGTTGGCTGCTTGTTATAGGCGGAGAGGGAAAGAGACGGAGAGTAAGAGTCAGAGTGGACGAAGTTATCATGGATCTTCAGGAGAAGCGCGGACTAGCAAGAGATGATATTCGTTGAATCTGTTGTTGTGTTGTGTATACAACGTGGGATGGATAATCCAAGAGACGAGGGAAGACCGTGGCCGTGGGCGGGCTATGGACGAGCGTGCTATCTTATTAATCCTGACTTGCCTACCTCACCCTATGCTTTGCATTGCAGGAAAGGTAAGGTATGGTACTTCGTTCGTACGGATACCTTTGGACAGGTAGCGTGAGTGCGTGCAGTTGCAGTGTAATGACTGCGGCTTGCGCCGTGAGAGGAAGAGTCCGGAGCGAGGGAGGGGAGGGCGAGCGAGGTGTGTGCGCAGCCCAGCAACTCATTCGCAGCACCACCAGAGAAAAAATAGCCTACAGAAAAGCCAATCGTGAGGATGGCCTAGACTTGACGACCCGATGTAGGGGCGTGGTCACAGCAAAAAAAGGACCTGACAGCGGATGAGGTCGTCTCGTTGCCCGGGGTGCTCTGCCGCTCGTCCAGTGTCACTCCAATGGCCGGCCAGCGCTCGACGATAGCGAGCAACTCCAAGTACCTCGAGAGAGAGAGGAGGAGGAGGAGGAGGAGGAGGAGGGGCGTGTGCCTGAGCCCGCAAATGGCTGTGAGAGCTCTGATGGATCTGTAGCTTGGCTCCGGCTTTGATGCTCGATTATCCGAGGCGGACGGGAGCGCTGGAACGGACTATGCTTTGCGGGAGACGGAGGACAGGCCTGCAACGTTGGAGAGGGACGGAGAGGGAGAGAGTGAGGGTGTGCGAGAAGATGGTTGCTGGTACTGCCCAGCTTGCAACGTCTCCCAAGTCACAGAGTCGAATACCGGGGTCTGCGACTTGTCAAGAACGTGTGCGAGTCTGGAGAAGCATGGGACCCAAGGAGGACAGGGAAATTCTTTGCTGTCGTCACTTCTCCCTGTCAAACTGTATCGAAATCGCCCAAAATTGGGTCGAGGACAGAGATTGCCGGCGGGTGAAAACTATTTTTTCTGGCCCTCGCTGGGTCCTGGGAATCGGGACTCCTGGGTGGGAAAACTGCGACAACCCACACGAGAAACAAGCTGGAGCTAACAGAGTAGCCTCAAGCTCCACCGCGTGGCAGCAAGGACCGTGGGAAAGGGCTCAGCTAGAGCCTAGAGTCTGCTGGACCGACGTCGAGCCAGTTCGTCTTGTTCCAGGAAGCTTCTGTTGGCTGTGGTTCATCCGCAGCACCGGCGTCAAACCAGGGAAACCCCTTCAACACAGCATTTGACCGCAAAGTTGGGAACTGGGCGGTCCCCTGGGGGCCCTGGTGTTGGTGCTTTTCGTTGGCGCCGGTGCCAATCGTCGCCGCTTCGAGTCAGAGCGCCAGAAGCACTCAGGCCCAACTGTGGAGAAGCCCTTGTCTTTCGTTTCTTCCCGTCCGCGACCGTTGCAATGGATTTGCCCTCGAACGGGGGTCAAGAGCCTGGCAAGGCCTGCTGGGGGTGTTGCGAATTCGTGCGGCGCGCCAACAAGTAAGCTTTTTACGGCACCAAGTTACCAACGCGGAACGTTCATCCAGATCGAGTTTCCATTGCTGTAGTAGCGCTGACGTCCTTGTGCGCCCATGTGTTGCGATGCCGGACAGCAGAGCAGTCCTGCTTGTGTGAGTGTCCGATCAAGGGCTTTTTCTGCGTTGTGCCCCGACGGCAGTGTTTTCTTCTTCGTCCCGCCATTGAAATCTCGAATGCGGCAGCCACCCCTCCCCTCAATGGAGGTCTACTGGCTACGAAGGCCCTGGAACAGGTACTCGACTGGGGCGTGGCCACAGGACAGAGAGAAACAACGTTCTCTGAGTCTTCTGCCAGCTGTCTGGATGAGACAGGATGGGCTGGCTCCCTTGGGCTGCGCTGCGATGCTAAAGTCTGGCTGTTGGAGTGAGTCTCCGTGTGCGCGGGAGATCCACCTCCAGGGCCGAACCAGACGGGGGTGTCACTCAAAGATGACGGAGCATTGCTGTCTGGTGCGTTGTGCCCTTTTCGACTGGGGGGTTCTTTTTTTGACTTCTCCATCAAATGGCTGGTTTTACTGCCCGACCTTGTGACTGGGCTTGGCTCTTGGGTATCAACGGCGAAGCGGGCTGACGAACGACACCACAAGCGTCCAATCGTTTGCCGCGCTCTGCGGCCTGCCAGACCTTTTTCTCTCTCTCTTTCTTTGACCAAAAACGTGTTTTCGTCTTCGGTTAAAAGGTTGGGTGTGTGCAGAAAAAAAAGAAACAAAAAGAAGGTTCTCAGGATTGGTGAGGTGATCGACCGAGAGAGACAGTACGGAGTGGTCTGGTGCGCGCCCCATGAGGCGGTTGAGGTACTTTACGACTCGGAACTTGCACAAACCAAACATCAGGAGACGTTTCCTGTACTTTCGATGCCATCCTAGGTCGTGTAGGCAACTGGGAGCCTTCAAATGGTCAACGAGCAGAGTCTGCACACAATGCAGAACCGCCCCCATCGCCCTTCGGCATCGCATCGCCAACGCACTTGTGCCGGAAAGCCCAATCATGGGCCCGACCCACCCGGTCAGGAATGCAGATTCATGCAGTCCGGGCCCGCTCGCTTTTCTCATAGGGCGGGGCCGGAACGGCAATGAGAGTCATCGTCCCATCTCGGACTTGAATGGCTGCTTTCCCTGGCCTACTTGTCCAAGCACGGATTGGTTCCTTCAACTTGTTAAACGAGACCATGTAAGATGGCATCACGATGCTGAGTTGCTGCAGTGTTGCACGTCTAGATCTGTCTCCCCGCGTCTTGCTGTGTCGGTAGGCATGCGTCTGATAGAGCTGCGTACGGATATCTTGGGGTACGATGCCCTTGTCCCTCCGTAGTGGGTACCGATCTCGCTGGAAGAACCGCACTGTTTGCAGGAACTGCGTCACTGAGGTATCCGTACACAGACTCGAGATCGCCATCATGTTGTTGTGGTCAAGTCATTGGAGTTTGTTCCCAAGGTGACTCCGAAAGACGTGTCTCCATGACAGACTTGTTCTCGCGTCATTGGCTTTGCGTCTCGAAGTCGAAAGTGGTCTCGAACACTGAACAAACGGCTCCGATAGGCCGTTCACATCGGCCATCGGCCAGACGATGTACTTCAAATACTCGAAATGTACTGTGATGATATGTCTTCCCCTCCATCCTTTCGAGGAAAAGTAGATAGCTGCGATCTGACCTCGTTACAGTGCCCAAGTCTGAAGCATCCAAAGGAAAGGTGACATGAAGAAACATTTGCGATTGACATTTTGCCTGGATGGCGCCGAGACCGTTCTCCACGCGTTGTACGCAACTGCACAGTCCGACTGCATGACATGCATCTATCCCACAGGCATTGACATCGTAAACCAGCGCCCACTGTGCTCAAAATCCGTCTAGCGCGAGGACATGCCGAAATGGGTTCGAGTGAGGCCCTCCCGGAGCCTCTCGTGGCTCCGTCTTATCGAGGAAGCTAGTCAAAGTTGTTCTTCTCCTTGGTCCTCTCCTCGTTGAGATGTGGAGCAATGTCGCATCCACGGAATTGAATGGGTCGCCAGGATCCTCGGTTCGGTATTTTGCGGAGGATGGCTACTTCGTACGCTCCCTTACAGCACATTCGCTGTCAAGTGCCTTTGTCCGTCAATGTTTGAGTCGGACTGCAACTCGTGCAGAGCTGCCGCACCACTCAACGGCCGCAATTGAAGACATCGTCATTACGAATCGTATGCAGCGAAACGTGATTTGTGTGCTTAGAAATGCGGAGGCCGGGGAAACGGTTCTGACGAACGTCTTCAACTGTATGTATCCATCAAGATCCCTAGATCTGATGCACGCCACGGTTGCATTTCTAGTATTTTCGCACATCATCCAAGTTGACGAGCCTGCCATTTGTCCAATATGCCGCTCTTGCGCGCTCCAAATGCATGGTGCCGAGAGCGGATGGTGTTGCAAAGACGCGATGGACTGACATGTCGATATATCCGAGGCGGACGGATCGACGGGCGGTTGTTGGTTGTGGAGCGAGGAACTCGACACCAACTCGGAGCCACACCGCCTTTTCGCTTGAGGCATACTCCCTCAACGCCACTGTTGAAAGCATTCCCAGAGCGCCACATTGGTAGGGTGTAACATGGTCTGCCACACTGAAGACGTGTGGTAATCAGAGATAGGGTGAACGAAAGCGATATAATACGCAGCGATTCGGGAAGGTGATACCGTCGTGATTGTACCATATGCGAACGCCAAATCGACCGAATTTGGAGGCTTAAAATGCTGCAACGCCACTCGTTGTTGGCATTGTGTGTCGAATCTCCAATAGCATGTTGCTGCGGAACCTTATCGCTCAACGCTGGGCGACTGTCCATTTACTGCACACCAGCCGGTTCAACTCGACGTTGAGACCTAAGAATGCCGGAGACGCAGGGAGTTTGTCTCAGAGACTTGGGCAGGTCCAGATCTGCCTCTTATACGCCGCCCGGTATGCGTGACGTTGCACGGTAGTCCACGTTTCAAGCCACGATTGACGTGTAGTAGTGTTTCAAAACATACTGCTGGTCTTTCGCAAGACAGGAATCTCAACGTCGGCGACAATCGGCCTGTGGTCAGACAGAAAAACGCCGTCATCGAATCTGTTCGACAGCACGCCAAATGTCTTGATGGTGGCCGGGCTCGGATCCTTCACAAACAAAAAGTCGATCCTCTTCGGTTCCTCGTCCGGCTCGTCAAACGACGTGTACGTGATCTCGTTTCCGTAGCGCTTCGCTTTGGAAACCTGAGTTGAGACATCGACCATGCCTGACTCCGGTGCCACCATTGTCTTGTATGCATTGTCATCCGGCGTACTGTTGAAGTCACCCGCAAGCAGGACAGTTGTCGGAGGTTTACCGTTTGCTCCGTTGCTCCACTCTCGAGCAACGTTGAGAAGCAGTTTGGCGCTCTCTTCGCGAGCCACAACGCCTCGGTGATCGAAATGCGTACTCATGACAACTGCACGCGTGTCGGTCTGTTTGTCAAGAAACTCTCCAACGGTGACAACACGGTTCAGTACGGCGTCCCATCCCCTAGATGGCTTTTCCGGCGTCTTGCTCAACCAAATAGTTTCATTCCGTTCGCACTGCCAACGTTCAACCTGGTAAAACACTGGTGAAAATTCGCCACCTCGCTTGCCATCATCACGACCGAGGCCTATGTGAGCCCAGGCAGGACCGAGGTAGGACTGGATGTCTTCGAGTTGCGAGTAAAGGACTTCTTGCAGACAGATGAATGCTGACTCGTGGCCAGCCGTGATGAAGTCCAGCTGGTTGCAGAGTTTCGGGCCCCGAAAGCTCCACGGTTTCTCGTTGGGAGTGGGGTTCTTGGTGGCATACCGGACATTCTGGCTCACTAGTCGGAGCAGCATGGAACTGGCTGCCGATGGCTTCGAGTTGTCAAGCTTTACGAGCATTCTGACTGCGCAATGAACGATGAGTCGAGCCGCGAGAGGAACTGAGATATGTTGTCCAGACAGACTTGGTCAGCGGAAGCTTGACAGTAGGCCGGGGCCGTGCGCCTTAGCTGCGGAAACTAGGTTGACGGCAGAACGCCCAGGGGAAGATGATGGGCGAGAAGAGCAACACCAGGTTCGATATGGAAGAATTGAATGGGGCTGACTCGGTAATCTTCTGAGATGATGAGATGTCGTTGGATGAATTGGATCTTTAACGTTGGAACAAAGCTGAAGCTCGCTTTACTTGAGATGGAAAGAGCAGGCATCAATTGCCCCCGGCCCCCAGCTCCTACCCCCAGCTGCCAAGTGGGTCACGTGCTGATTCTGGAACACGGCGGGGAGGGAAGGAAGCAACGGCCATGGTCCATGGCCCAAGCTCCTGCATTCTTTGGCGATCCGGGGTTCTGCTGGGCAAGGTATTTTCGCCTCCCCCGAACCATCCTCCATGGAATTCCAAGCTGCGCAGCCATCACATTCCGATCCCTACCCACCTCCCTTTTACCAACTTTCCAACCAACAGATACTTGCACAACCACCATGATCCTGTCACTTTGTCAGCTCGAACAAGAGCCTACCTCCCTCCGCCACGGACGCTGGCAACTGGCTTCCAGTCTGTCAACTTTCACATTGGCGCCTGGCATACCTGCTGATGCCTTCGCCGCTAGTCGCCGGCGCCAGTCTCAATGGAATGCCTTGGAAACATCCATCTTTCGCAGTCTCTGGCAAGGTACTCCGTAGCTCGGAAGCCATCGCACACTCCCACCACGATCAAGTCTTATATCCGCATTCTCGTTGGATGCGCGACCAGCCCTCCCCTCCATCTCAGTGTCCCGAGACTCTGGATGGCGTTCTTACATGAGAATGGCAGCTAGGTAAGGTAAGCTAGGGCAGACAATAGTCAAGTCTCACTGCCTCGCGGGTCGATTACTCACCATCTCAGGATAATCAGGGAAACCTGGTGTCACCCGGTCCCTCCAGCCTTTCCCAAAAAGCCGGCCTCTTCCAGTAAGCGTCTTTCCACGGCGGGCTGATACCGGCACGGCGACCCACAAACCAGTCACGTTCTTATCACGGCCCGCTGCCCGACTTCAATTTTCAAGACGTGATTCAGGCCTCATGGGATGGCAGCGGCTACTGTTCGAGGAGATGTTCGTCCGCTCTTGTCAAATCCAAGTCATGACGCAATGTGTACACAGTCGGGAAAGCAGCTGACTTGTTTTAAGTCAAGACAGGACCTTGCAAACCAAAAAACCAGAACTGTCGTAACAAACTATCGACATTTCCACTTCAATACGGGTCTGACTTGAGCTTCTTCGTATTTCGCGAGTTTTCGGGAATTTCCCGGAGAAGCCAGGAAGGGTCAGAGGCCTCATAATCGAAAGACGAATATGGTGCATGGCCATCTCGCAGTGGTTCATGCACCGTGGCGATCTTCCATTTCTGAGGCTGAGGGTGGTGCAGGATTCGGATGGGTGACTCGCCGAAGCGAGCGTAAGAGGAGCAAGGCTGCCAACTTCACCGAGGAACTATCGGAATACGGCTGCCTTTTGTCCAATCTACAGTACGTTGTGAGGCCGGTCTGTCGAGCTGACTCAAATGCGCCACTTCGAGGCGTCATGCAAGGTACGCCAGCCGCTCTAGCAAGCGTGGGAGGGCGATCAAAAACTTGTCCCTTGCCCAGTCTAGTCGACAGCTGTCTTGCACATTCCTTGCTCGCAGGTTCATGGCCTCGAAAATGCGCACCGGTCAAGCGACGGTGGTTTTGCACGCTGGGGGAGTCGGCACGTTCGGTTGGCGCTATGGTGGGCAAGGTAGTCATCTGCCTGACTCGGCCTCCGACCAATACGTGTGGTGGTTGCAAGTCTGTCTCAGCTTATTCATATAAGCCGCGGTAGTCGCGCGCCGGTCGACACACCCACGCGGAGGAACGCGAAGCGACCAAAAGACCGGATTTCCTACCGTCTGCCAGGAATTGTGATAGATTTCCAATACGAATCCCAGCCCGGGGCCTCAGCTTACCACCATTTCCGGATGCGTATCTCTGCTTCTGGCTGCACCCCGGCCATTTGGAGACACTGCGCTGCTCTTTCTCAGACACTCATGGCGGGTGAGGAGTCACGCTCCTCATAGGCCTCCTCCACGTGGGGGTTGATGGTGGCTGGCTGCCCCGCGATATGGAGACCTCTGCACTGGGCAATGGGCACTGGTGACCACCATCTTCCAGCCATACAAGGCAGCTCTTGGCTGGGTTGATGTGACTGAGCCCGAATCACCAGCCAGCCTGCAACCTTGTCGGTGTGCGTGCGTGCTTGCGTGTGTGTGTGTGTGTGTGGGTGGGTAGGTGAAGGCAGTGTCGGATAACGTCCGCCTTGCACCTCCTCTGCCTGGCTGAGGCTGCGATGCAAATGTATAAGTAGGAGTTCACCGCCTCGTCTCCAGTTCGTGTTCCTTCACCTAGGTCTGTCACGTTTTTACGGCATCACATCATTGCTGAAATCAGGGACACTCTCCAACTAATTGCCACTTTCGTTTGGTATACTTTTGAGCCGGCCAGACCGGCGAGGACCTAGATCGTCTCGTCAGTGATTTACTGTTCAGACGCCTTTCCGACATTATCAAGCTCAACACGACTACTAGCAACCTAACAAACACCAACACAATGCCTCGAACACCAAAGACACCTTCACGGCGGGACTCATGGCCACCAACCCTGGTGCGCCTCGCCCCGACAATCCCCAAGGACTACCCATCCCTCGACGACATCGACGAGGACCCCTTGACCTATTTCCTAACACCCGCGCCCGATCTGGAGGAGGAAGACGAGGACGACATGACCATGATGGACTTTGACGCCGGCATCGAAGACGACAGCGAGCGGGAGATCGTCCGGAGCGTCAGCCCCTCAAGCCTAGACGGGCTAAACAAGTCCAAATCCCGAAGCAAGTCGCCGCCCGTCCCCGACCTCTCGGACCTCGCCACGCCGGACAAGGACGACGAGGAGGAAGATTACATCCGCTTCGCGCCGCAAGGGTTCATGATCCCCTTTAGCCTGCGCGATTTCGCCATCGACGGCCTCAAGTCCATGGCCAAGTCCAAGTCTCGCCCTTCCGAGCCATCGGACAACAACGTGCTTCTCTCGCCGTCGTCGTTCCCGCCTACCCGGGGCCGGCAGCGCACGACGTCGTACCGGCACCACCGGCCGCAGCACGTCTGGCGCGAGCCGAGCCCGGATGTCTGGTCTATTGAGGAGGAGACGGAGGAGGAGCTCCTGAGCGAGATGGGAAGCAGCGTCGGCGCCGTGAGCGATTTGGAGCATGACACGGAAGATGAGACGGAGGAGGATGCGGCGGCGACGTATCCGGACAAGAGCGGAGATGTACAGGCTGCGAAGTCGAAGAAGAAGGTCCGGTTCCTGTTGCCCTCATTGGAGTGAGCGAACTGGGTATCCCGGACGAAGCATAAGCATTACACGGCGTTTTTGGGGGCCAAGCATGTTCTACTCAATCTGCATTGGGAGGTTTATCATCATTTAGTTTCCTCTTTTCTTTCCTTCTTCTCCTTCGGTATACGCCGTCCTCTGGTAGGGGGCAGGCAGTCTAGTCTAACAGCATGGGATATGGGAGTTTCTGCACAATACCCGTCATTTTGGATGGTCTGGGGGGGGGGGGGGGGCATACGGGTATTCGGGGCACACACGGAATTTTTAGATGCATAATTGAAGCAGCCGCTATGAAGGCGGATTAAACCCTGATCTACACTTTTTCGCAACCTTTATTTTCTCGTCTCTAGTGTGGTGTGATGTGCTACTGCGCGGTTAATGAGTATGACGGGTGACGGGTGATAAGAGATGCAGGACGTGATGGTGTCCGTTTTTTTAGTTTGAACAGCTGAGGCTGGTGCAGGTATGGCACGGTAAGGCGAACGAGAAAAAGTGTCGATGGATGCAAGCATGCTCACGATGTTCCCCTCTCCTCGCAGAAATCAAGGTTTGAAGAATCGTCTTTCCTGTGTGATGCTAGATCTCGATTGCGGCCCCACGCGATATAGCCTCGGCCGGATAAAACAGGTCCTGCGGAAGCCTGCGGGGAGTCTTGCGGAGGAAGAAAGTCTCACTCTCAACAGGGAAGAGGTTCGGAAGGGGAGGGAGGAGGAGGAGAGGGGGGAACGGTCGGTCCCACCCACGTGCAACTGCGCGGTCCTCGTGATGTCGGGGGGCCGTTATCGTTTCGCTGCTACATTATCCGTACATGCGAGACATTTCGCAGGCGCTGTGCTGTGTATGTGTATGTGTATGTGTGTGTGGTGATAACGAGTGTGGTGATAACGAGTGTGGTTTGGTAGCGATTTTGGGTTATTGGATGGGAAAACAGGGCATGAGAAAGCTTGGCTTGGCTACCTACCTTGATTTGGACCTGTAAGACTATGGTATGTATAATAGTTGAAAGAATGGACCGTAATTTGTGATGGGATTTTGGAGAATGGTTGCGGCGGGGATATACTCCAGACCTTGATTTCTTCTTGCTACATTGGAAGTGTGTTATCGCGAGTAAACAAAGGGTTGCATGTCCAAATTCATGGGACCCCCGTCGATAAGGCGAGGCGGCGTCAATGCTCCCCCCGCCTGTTGCGACTGACAGTTTTGGCAGTGACAACGACAGCGACATGGAGCGATGATGATAAGTAAAGTTATCAACCGCCGTTTCAAGGATGATGCTCGTTGTCGCATTGCGTTGCCCACGACCACCGATGGAGAACTTGGAATAAGAATTTATATTTGAGGTAAGATACGCGGACTCGGAAAACAAGTTTAACAGCAGAGTGAGTGAGCTGGCTTCCTTTTTTCCCCCCCTTCCGTCTGTGTCTATGCCCGACGACTGCATTCGTTGGCAGCATTTACGGAGTAATGTCATTCGCATCTCTCACCAGATTGGTCGATCAAGGGGAATGACGGTGGGTTTTATCGTATTTTTATCGACTCACTTGCGAGTTGAGGGGTCTTGGTGTCAACATCCGAGATCCGATCTACTGGCAGAAGCGAAGGGCTAGGCGAGGGAATTAGAGTCCGTGAGGCGAGTGTTGGAGATTACTCAGATTCGAGCACTTGGACAAGGCGGGAAATGATGGACGCGGCGGGATTCCATGAGTACGGATAGTCCACCCTTTAAAGTCCGTTATGGGGAGATTGGCGGCTGGCCTTGGGCCTTGGAGAACACGGCCTCGGGGGAGATTTGAGAGCGATAGAACCAGCCCTATCAGAAAGTAAATAGACGGGGGAAGAGAGGGAGGGAGACGGCGAGAGTGACAGATTCCCATGCGTTTCCTGGAAAGCTCCGTAAGGTACGTACATATCGGCCCCACCAAGCGGTTTGTTTATGTCTAAGCTCCGGCGTCAACATCCACTGGTTACTCCGGCAGTGCCAGCTCAACGCAGCCCACGATTGGATCAGACTTGCTCTCTCCATCCTGCCCTGTCCAGTCCTCGACAAGAAATCGAAAGATACACATACAAAGTCACAGACTTCACACATACAACGGGATTGTCTGTCGAGCTGCTCCTTTTTTCTTTTTTCTTTTTTGCGTGCCTCGCCTCACCTTTGCTCATCCAACCAACGTCTACATACACGGCCTGCAAAGCCGGCCTCTTGATCTGACCCCGTCTCACCGACATACAGCCTCGCCTTCACCTCGTTTCCTCTTTCTCTCTATCTCGCATTACTCTGACGTCTGACGTCCATTTGCGCTCCCGATTGCAACCCCTCAGCTGTCAACAACAACCTTTCCCTTCCAACTCTACCACATGCGCCCATAGGAACGCAGCAGATCGTTTAACCTTAAGCGGCAGCATGCATCTCACCTAAGTCAGTCCTTCCCACGTTGTCGTTCGTTACCTCACCCAAGGAAAGAGAGGGGGACGCACCTGTACGACACCAGCTCGTACCTGTCCACTGCTTGCCCGCAGACGGGACCTTTTACTGACCAAACCTTTGACTGTGTAGATAATGTCTCCCAAACCTCCCGACGAGAAAGAATCGCCGGACGCTGCGGCGGCGGCGGCGGCGGCGGTGGCAGCAGCAGCAACCACCAAGCCCTCCACTCCCGCCACCAAAGAAAGCAATGCGACGCCGCCCACGACTCCCAAGGCCGTGCCTGCCCGCCCCCGCGCAGCAACCATGAAGAAACCACCAGAACCCCCGACCCTGCTCGCCGACTTCCTCAGAGGACGCCCCTCTCCACAACGTGTCGCCGCCGAACGCAAGCGAAGAATGAGTCTCGACGCTGTCAAGGCCGAGCTGAGGGCCGAGATGCGTCAGGCCGCCGTCGCAAAAGTACAGCAGCCCGGCGGCGTCAGGGAGCGCGTGAACAAATGGCAAAAGACAAACGCCGCAGTCATGGCCTCGGCTGATCCCCTAGCACCGCCCAGCGAGCCTAGCGAGCTGGCCTTCCCGGGCGACACGGAGAGCGTCACGGAAGAAGACCGCGTACGCATCAAGTTGCGCCAGAAGAGAATGTCGGCGCCAAAGATGTCTACCCCAAAGATCGAAGTACACAATGACGGCCCGGCCGACGAAAAAGATGAGACCGTGGAAGACTTACCCGGCGGAGACGCTAAGCTGGCACCCAAGAAGCGAGTCGTTAGCGACGACCATTGGATGGCGCAGAAGAGAAAGAAGAGCCCCACGAGAGCAAAGTCGCCGCGGACCAAAGACGCCAGCCCAAGTCCCACCCCAAGCCCTTTACCAAAGGGGTACGTGCAAAAGACGCCCATCCAAGCACCCATCTCCAAAAAGATTTCGGATTGGGCAGCAAAGGTCGAGCCGCCAGATCCGCCACTAGTCAAGCAACACCGGGCCGCAAAGTCAACAGACTCGCTCGACGGCAGCAGGATACAGGCAAGGCTCAAGGAGCTTCAAGAGAGGCAAGCTACGTTACCAAAGAAAACGATGGATGATGACGGCATCAGAGTTACGCCGATACAAACGAAGAAGCTCGATGATGACGGAATCCGTGTCAGGCCGCTCAAGACACCAGCATCAGAGGGGTCCGGCGTCAAGACACCAGCATCAGAGGGGTCCGGCGTCAAGACCCCGAGACCCCAGAGCGCAGGAGCCAAATCCCGCGAGCGTAGTCGCGGGGCCAGCGCGAGGCATGAGTCGGCGGACCACATCGTTGTTGTTGTTGTTGAAGAAGACGAGTCCACCATCGAGGTCACAGAGGATGTCGAGTCTAGTATGCCGGCAACACCAACACGGAAACCGTCAAAGGCCCGCAAAGTGAGCCACAAAAAGAGGGCCCCTCCACCTTCAGACGATAAATCCTGGGTTGGCACCTCAGAATCAGCAGTCAGGACAGGGCTGGACAACTTAGATCTTGCGCCAAGCTCGCTCACCAGTGCCCCAGGCGCGAAGCCACTAGCAGACATTCCTGTAGGATTCTCTGCATTCAGTGAGCTGGATCTGCCCCTCAACAAGACGAGGCAGAAGGCTCAGCGCAATCCCAGCTTCAAGGCTGCCGATGTGCTCAAGAAGGTGGTCACCGGGGGCAAGAAGATCCTGCATGACGCCGTTGAGCCTCCGAAACAGCCCGTCGTCAACCAGCCTCCCAGTATTGAGAAATGGCTCAACGGGACAGTCGATCCGTTCGTCGATGAGCCGGCGAAGAAGGAGGAGTCGCCGGCGCCAAAGAGGAAAGCGTCCGAGAGCAAGCCCGTCGACAAGACAAAGGCGCAGGACACCCGCAGACGATCATCGGCCGAACCCCGTCAGCGGAAGCCTTCTCTTCCGACCCAGACCGAGCTTTCGGAATCAACTGGGCTCACCGAGTCCACCCAGACAACACAGTCAACCGCAATGACTCAGACTACACAATCAACGGATTGGACAGAGTCAACCCTATCCTCGACGGATCTGAGCGCGTCAACCGAGAATGACGAAAACGTAGCACCCAAGAATGCCGAAGAGAAGCCAAAGGAAAAGCCAAAGACACCAACTTCTGCTGGTGCGGCTGGCCTTCGCCGGAGAGCTGCTACGAGGAGCTCGCCGTCCCCCGCGAAATCTGTCAAGAAGCCTTTCCGTGAGATCCTCAAGGAGGCTTTCAGGGGAGAGTCCACCGGCCACCAAACTCCGCCTTCCAAGTACATCAGCGAAGAAGAGCGAAAGCTGGAGTTGGATCAGGAGTATGATAGTCCCGGAGAAGATGATGAGTCCAGGCGAACCATGCGCCGTCGCTCTTCTGGGTCCAGCCGGACCTACTCTGATCGAACATTTACCGACGACTGGACGTACGATGATGAGTCCTCGGTGCAGGACAATACACCTCGTCGCAAGCCACCAACGAATGGTGTACACGAGTTGTCCACGATTCTTGGCTCTGCCGATACCCGCAGCAGCTACGATTCCGATATGACCTCGGTCTTGTCCGAGACCACTGTCACGC